AGATACGGGCGGAAACACAGGCGGGCAGTGGTCGGAAGCCGAGGATCGAGACGCGCACGCGGCGTTGTGGCAGATGCGGCGAGCCTGGCCATAATGCACGCACCTGTCAAGGAGTTGCACAAGTGCCCGAGGAAGACCATTCCGAGTAATTTCAATCATTTTTGTCAGTGTTGGTTGAATCATGTTGAAATTTGTTGTGCAGATGTGTTTTTGTGGGACGTTCGCTTGTCTGGGACGTTCGCTTATCATGTACGTTATAACTTATTCAATTACAACACCGAACCTTCGTACAACCCCGCCCCCTCCCCAGCCCGGCACTACTACTATCCTGCTGCGTTACTTGCGCCACATCCCCAACCACGGCCTTTCGGTCAACTAGGTTCTTTGCATCTTGCACCGTAAGTGATCCTTCAAGCTGCACCCCTGTTCTTTTGGCTCTCTGGCACTTGCTTAGTGCCTCGTTGGCCTTGCGGAGCGAGGAGACCTCTGACCGAAGGAGGGCCACCTTGTCCGGGGCGCTGTGGGGTAGTCGAAATGCTTGATCCAATCCAGGCCTACCGCATTAGTAGTCCAGCCATCGTCGGTGGTTGCGATGCGCTAGTCGGCCGGGAGGTTGCACTCGGTGTACCAGTTGGCGAGGTGATACTGCGCGGCTAAGATGACGAACGGAGGGATAGCCCAGCCAAGGGTATTGACTCCCTGGATTACCGTCGCCTACTCGCGATTACCAGGCTGGGCCAGTTTGGCCTTGCTAAGGCCGTCGGAGGTCGTAATCACTATGCCCACGAAGATGATGCCCATTATAAACCCGATCTCGTCGAACTTGTAGACATCGTCAAATCACGATACCGTACTTGGCTATAGCATTCCATACGAGTGCAAACCACTCGCCAATGACCTGTGTATCTTCGTACTTGGCCCTCTGGTAGTCGTATCTACGCGTATAACGCATACGGAGCTCTGGCTGGCGTTTGACGAAGTTGTGTGCCCAGAAATTGTGTGCCCAGAGCTTGCCGACGGGGGGTGTGTCGCATACACGTAGCAGTTGATTGGCTATATCTTCTACACTACGTAATCTTGGTGCAAAAGCTCGCTTAGATAGCTTAATTATATATGAACAATAACCTCCTCTTCGGAATCGGTGAGTGGGCGCGACCTGGTCATATTGTCGCATCGTGCAGGCCGGCCAGCGTGTCGGCCCGGAGAGTGTTATACGGTGTATTGTAGAGCCGAGCTGCAGCTCGGAGGCTTAGTTTTCCATTATTTTGAATAGCTTGAAGGGTTAGGACTATCCTAGCTTCCTTTGAAGTAGCAGGCATATTGAGTTGTAGAGAAGGTCGACCTTGGTATGAAATTGACGGGTCGCGCTAAAAACCTGGTCGACTCGCTAGTTATAACACATCGTCAACTGTTAACTATGTAGTTAACCAACTACTTTTCTTTTCTTCCTTTCATTTCATTTCTTTCTTTCTTTTCTCCTTGCTTTCCATTTTGTTTTGTTTCTTCATAAAAGTAAAACGTTAAGGCATTAACGTTCATTAACTATACCTAGTTACAGTACTATAGCGAATAGTTAGTCATTGGAATCAAATGTTTAGTGGCATTGAAAATAGAACTGCGAATTCCTCTCTTGGCAAAGGCTTGTATGATTTTGTCGTGATTTTTCTCCCGGTCTGCTATCACCAAAACCACCATGACAGCCCCATAATTGCAAAAGCAGAAGTGATGCTGCTGTCCTTCGAAATGCCCTGGAACCGAGAATCCAGCATATGAGCACGTCTGTGCCGTTCGTGTTGTTGCCGTGCCAACACTGGACTGAGCCGCCTTGTTTTGCGGGCGTTCAGGCCGGGAAAACCCGCTCGAACCGGACGGTCCATCTTCCAATGTTTCCGAGCACTTTCTCGATGCGGTCGTCGCAGGCCTTCATCTGAGCCTCAGTGGCTTTGTGCTCCCTGGGGAGAATCGTGGGCTGCTCAACTGTGATACAGCCGTTGGGGTACACGCGGTAAATAGGCTTCGCGCGCTTATACCAGTCTACATGGCGCTTTCGGTTCTGGGGGGCCTTACAGGTTTCTCGAGTATATGCCACTTCACGAGAGGGTTGGTCAGATCCCTGATTATTCGCAGATCCTCTGCAAACGTTGGTAAGCCTCGAACAAGTTGACTCAGCATTCCTGCAATGTAATAACGTACCATCAAAGATGATGTCCTCCCGCAACATCCATGCGTACTCGGTGATTTTCAGTTTACGCCTGACGGTAGGGTCGTGCTGGAGGTAAACGCACCTCAGGATCACGATGGACACAAAGTTTGGCGCGTCGCCGTGTGTGATCTTGTCTAACACCCGATGCGATAAATTGGCTGGTTCGAGCAAAGACTTCCTCATGTCGCACCTGTCAATGGCCATTTGGAGTGTCAATCTGACCCATCCTTGAGCTGTGGGTGATAGGCGGTGATCCGTGTCTTGGCCTGCTCCTTGAGGGAATCGCAGGTGCCTTCCTTGAAATCTATGCGTTCGAAGGCATAGAGATTCCGTAGCTTTTCCTCCAAAGGGACGACTCGGAAGACTTCATCGCAGATGGCACTGTCCTTCGACCCGAGCTGGATTGTTGTTCATTGTGTGCTTTTTGCGCTGCGGGGCCTGAAGACGGAGGGAACCGAAAATGACGAGAGTGCTGGAGACATGATTAGCACGAGCACTCTATTAAAAGTGACGATATATACTTAGCTGGACTCAACGATGATTCGGCCGAAATTGTGCATTCTGAAAATCGGCCGAAACCAATGGAATGATGCAGGTCCGTTAGGAACGGAAACCACGGCGGTTGAGCGAGAGAGCGGGCTTATGCGAGCCTGCAAAGCGCTGCGTGCAATAGCAGAGCCGTTCTTCTACCATCACCTGGACGTCTTCGACGCTCCCCCGTTACACGAACTTCATCGCTTCGGCCTGACCTGTCAGTCAATGTACGCGAGGTCATTGTCTACCGTTCCTCAACTGTCGTCGCTCCCAATGGCCCCTTTCCTCCCCCCCTGCTCGTCCGCTCAGCTTAGCCGACAGGTGCTGGTACCTCCTACGGGCTTTAGTGTGCCGAGGTTGGGGCACCACCCCAACCGAGGTCTGGCGCCAGAGATACGCGGTCCAGGTGTTGAAGCTTTTCGCCCTCCTACCAAAGCTAAAGAGCTTCTATCTAAATGTCACTGGCGAGGACTCCCGACGCATACTTGCTGAGTCAAACGCCCTGCCTGCCTCTACGGTATCGATCAAGGCTATGGCCCTCGAACTAAGCGGACCGAAAAGCACCCGCTTGATCACGTTGCACACATCTACAGCCCGTACCCCGGCCTTGAAGTTCTGCACCTCGACGAGTGCACCCTTGTTTACTCTCCCATGAACCGTTCACAGGTCCGTATGGCATTGGCTGAACTCTCTCGCCTACAGAACCTCGTAGAGCTGTGCCTTGTTGATGCCAGCCTGACAACGGCCTGCTTCACCGGCCTCCTGAGCGTAGTACGACCTAATCTCTCCAAGGTGACGATTCGCCGAAGAGTAGGGTTCATCACGACTATTCATGTGGTTGGGATCCTGGAATCATGTTCGACGAAGCCATTGCCGCTGTTCAGCCCTGGAGCCATACACTCAGGGAGCTGTCATTCGTACTCTGGCCCAGCATTTCTAAGGGAACACGCGACTCCAAAGGTGTTAGACTCCTACGCCAGTTCCAGGTTCCCAAAGTCTTACGGGCGGATGCAGGTTGCTTCGACTCCCAGTATGAAGTAGACGGAACGTGGTAAAAGGACCCTTTGACCTCGACACTTCCCGTCTCCATCCGCGAATTAAGACCCTTCGCCATTTGGCACCGTATACGTTTCCACGAAAACTTCCAAGGCTTGTTGGATCAAGTTATGGCGGGGAAAATCGGGTCTACGTCGGTTTGAAGTCGAGGAACAGCAATCCATCTGCTGGTATTCTCCGCAGGGGACCGTGAATGGCGGGCGGTTGGGGGGATTGCCGCGTCGTTCCGGTCGGTGGGCGTCGATTTCATATGGCACCCCCTGCGTAAATTTAGAGACGATGACGAACGGCACCTGGGGGATGCGGATCCAGGCCTGGATTTCTGATACATGCTTCTGCTCATTCTTCGCTAGGGCGATCATGCGGTGGAACGAGCAAATCACAAACACGGTTTCTGATATCGAAGTTATTACAGGGAGGACAACACTGTTTAGTTTGGTTATCGTTGGACTGCAGTATGTGTGCATGACTTTTGGATCAGCATCTTGGTCCTGAATCTGGGCAGTTTATTAGGCACTATCTGCTTGTTACCAGGTATGTCAAAAGACCAGACATCGCTGTCAGCGGCTCAGAATTTGTCCCAGTTCGCATCAAACTTCTTGAGAGTCGCGAGGGCAACCCTCTCCCCCAACGCAATACCCTCGACTCCAGCAAATGAGAAGTGAATCTGTCCAGAAAGTCCATGTCAGTCAACTCAGCTCAAAAGAGTTCGACACAACAAGGTAAATAACCCCTAAAACAAAACGGGATCTGCCCCGCCAACACAATGTAACGGATATTCAAACAAATGTCAAATAAAGGTAACTCACCCCGCCAAAAATACGACTCCGCGCGTTCTCCTCGGCAGCGGCCTTCAGGCTCGTAAAGCGCCGCGTAATGACGCCGCGGTTATCGAGCGTCACGTTGCTGCTCAACGTGGCGTCGATGGCATCGGAGCCGCCGTTCCACGCCTCACGCAGCACGGTCGATGCCGCACTCCCAAACGTGGCGTGCGTCGAGACGTAGTCCGGATGGGGGGGCGTCGGCCGGAGCAGCGGGGTCCAGTTGGAATCGGAGATGTCGGCGCCGGAATGGACCCAGGGGGTCGGGTGCTGGATAGCCGTGACGGGGCGCCAGACTTGGTAGGCGTATCTGGAGTGATGGACGAGGTTGTTATGGTTAGTCGTGGTTGGTGGCATTGGATGGGATGCGAGGGTGATGTTGGAGGATATCGATGGATGATGATAGGAAGTGGGAGGAGGAACAAGGGAATCACGCACTTGGTATCCCAGGCGGCAAAACCCGCGTTGGCGAGGGCATAGTTGAGCTGGGCATAGAACTTGGCCGAATCGACGACTTTGGTGTCTAGCTTATTGCCGATAATGGCGCCCGCGAGGCGGTTCCATGATCTTTGTGTGTTCAGCATTCTGGAATGGAAAGGGGAGGGGGGGGGGGGTCGATGGCGAGCAAGACTCACGAAATGGACGACTCGCGCCAGAAGTAGGCCGTCTCGGTGTCGTAGGGGGTTCTGGCGGTAGAGTTGAGCGATCCCTGCTCCTTTACGTACCGAACCTGTTCTTCGTATGTTGTCGAGTTGATGGCCGGCGGGGGAGGAGCCCTAAACTCGGAGACCTCACCCAAACCAGCAAAGGGGTGTACGTATCTGGCCTGCGGTGTGTCCGGAAGCGGGTTGGAACCGGGAGTCTGCTGGTAGACGCCGGGCTCCTTGGGGCCGTAGGTGAAGTCGACAAAGTTGGTGAGCTTGTCATCGGAGCGGGCACGAGCCACCTTGGCTGCGGCGGTCTGGCCGATGCTGACGGCTTCTTTGCCCTTTGGCGAAGCAGGATCGAGGCCGATGGCGGGGATGACAGCGCGCAGGGCTGCGTCGACGGCATTGTACAGTCGGGTTCCATGGAAGATCCAGAGAGCGGCGTTGTGGGCCGCGTGAGAGACGGCCAGCTGCTGGAACTCTAGACTTTCGTGCTTGGACTTGACTGCCGCTTGGTAGATGGCCGCTTGCACAATGGCCTGGGCCCATGCGGACGGAGGGGACTGCAGACCCCCTATGATGGTCCCATTGACGAATGTCGCCGACTGATCTACCCTTCTCAGCCGTCAGTAAAGGAAACCCAACTTTAAGAATTCGGGCGTGAACTACCAGTAGTAAACAATGTCCCCCTGATATACTGCACTGACAACGGTTGCAGCCGCGGCGATGGATAGCAGAGAGAGCTTCATCTTGGCCGGAAAGAGTGTGTTGACGCAGGCTCGTGCTGTCTTCCCGTCCGATGCGCTGCGGCAGGACACTGGTGGCATTTAAGATGGAGAGCTATTGTGCAACATTATGGTTCGGAGTTCCTATAACAGACATCCGAATGTTCCTGGGTGCTGCAGGCACCAATGGCGCAAATTGCAGCAGTGATTACTCAATGGCACGTTTGAGAGTAAGTATTCAAGACGATGCCTTTTTGAGTTGATCACAACCCAGCCCATGGAACAAAGAGGAAGGTCGAACTGTTGATCTTTTCGCAAATTGGCAGGCCTCGTCTTGGCTCATGCACGTGGGCGTCTTGTATGTCACCACCATGCCAAGGATGATGCGAGACTACTAGCTTGCATCTTTCTTTAGCTTCAACCCTTGCGTTTTGCAGTCTCCCGCTGCATTGGTGACAGCAAGGCCGACGATCCTATTGCATCATTGAGCCCTTGCCAGCTACTCCGTACTATGCAATGCATCACCCGCATCTTATCTTGATCAGCATGCCGGCAGTTGGCCCAGATGCCCTGTCGGATTACTGGACGAACGACACGTCGCCCAGCCCGTAGCGGCGCGGCTTCCGAGTAGGAGAGTAGCGGGACTGCATGATCTTACTCACACCTCAGGCAGGATCTTCGCCCAGCCGCGTCCGCTTTGGTACCGGAGTGCCACTCTCTCCTATATGCCTTAGGTAAGGTTACCGTATCCAACCACCTTAACTCACATCTGGCCCTCACAGTACTAGGACTACCTCTAAGCCGAAATCGTGCCTGGCGGCCAGCACGCCATAGACGTGTCTTACATCCCACGACCACCCTCATGCTCGTCACGCTTTTGCTTTTAGCTTCATGTTAGTTGCAGAACAGCATGGGGCCTTGTTTTCCCTAAATCAGACAATTCACGAGTCGATCACCATCTCTTCAACACATTCAGCTACATGATCATCAGCTTACGTGCTCTGGAAAGGATATGTCGTCTCTAACTAGTGAGAATGGGGGGATAATATAGCTGACATGGCGGTCAGGAAGGTGGACGAGAAGGTCTATAAAGAGTAGCCTCCAGGACAGTATTCGCTCGAACCTTCTCAGAGCCACCATCGCCTTCTGCGGATTGTTCGAACTTGGAATCAACTCCTAACTGACATCCAACGCCCGCCACAATGAAGTCGTCGTTGGCTCATCTCATCCCCATAGCCTCGCTTGGGCATTCCCTGGGCATCTCTCTCCCCGGCCCGCTGATTCCCTCTATTCCTGGAGTCACGACGCCCCTGACCCAGAATGCCCCTCCGCTCCCAATCTTGCAGGTTCCCACGCCTCCTCTGGACAGTCCCCCGTTCACGGCCAGCAACATCAAACCCAAGAAGATCGGATACTTCTGGACCGGTGCCGGCGACAAGCAGCACAAGGGTGCGGTTCTTTCAACGTTTACTTGTCCCAACGGATTGACATGCTGACCAGGCTTGCAGACTTCCTCGCGACCTACAGTCTGGATGATGTGCGTCCTGCTTCTAGCAGTAGCTGTCGCCATATCCGGAGACTTGCTGATTGGGCGTAGGATACCTTCGGCACCCTTCTGTGGATTACCGATGTGCCCACCAGTGGCAATGACCCTCACCACCTTGGGCCCTCGATTGACGGCAAGGCCTTGATTGGCGGTGGACTCCTGTCACTGCTTAAGACACAGGTTCGTCCGCCTTTCTTCGGCAAGAGTACAGGTTTGACTGACATACTCACGACGAGTAGGACACGGCCTTCTACTTCGACACGTCGAACCCCTACCGTCCCAAGTTCCTCAAGAGCAACCGCGGCATCCTGTCTTCGATTGTCGACGAGATCCGTGCCAAGCCCGAGGGCGGTTTCTATATCACCTACATGGGCTCGGCGGTTGGCACTTCGCCTGGTCGTCTTGTTGAGACGGACGCCGACTTCAACATCATCCACGAGTGGCCCGAGGACGTTGGCAGCGTGTTGAACATCCTCGGCGAGCAGTTCAACCCGCACGGCCTGAGCATCGATTGGGAGAGAAGGACTATCCTCACGTCCGACTTTGTCGAGCCCGTGAGCATCCTCAAGCCCAGTCTCGGCATCAAGCGTGCCAACACCCTGCGCCTGTGGGACCTGGACTCGAAGAAGATTCTCAACACCATCACCATCCCGGATGTTTGTTTTCCCTTTCCTCTGACTTTCTGAGCCTTCAGATTTGGTCAGGCCACTAACAAAAACAAATGTGCAGGGCGGCGGCATCCAGGACGTCAAGCACATCCCCGGCAACCCTGAGGGCGCCGCTCTCGCCACGGCAGTCCACCTCGGCCAGGTCTGGATCATCTACCCTGAGCGCCGGGACGCCAACGGCAAGCAGGGCGTTGCCGAGCTGCTGTACGATCTCGGTCCCAAAGCTCGTGATACGACCGCCATCTAGTAAGCGCACCATCAGACCAACCCCCCCCCCCCCCCAGGCTTTACCTTTTTATTTTTTTTTCTCGGGGGCAACCACACTAACCACCGGTGCAGCTCCGACATCTCCCAGGACGGCCGCTTCGTGTACCTGACGCTGACGACGGCCAACCACATCGCGGCGCTCGACATCAGCGATCTGAACAACGTCAAGCGGCTCGACAACCCAGACGAGGTGCAGCCGACCATCGGCCCGCACTACGTCAAGATCACGCCCGACCAGCGCCACCTGCTCGTGACCGACTACTTTGTGCAGACGGGCGAGATCGGCCTCATCAACACGCCCGCCGACTACAAGGCGCTGTACATTGACATCCTCGACGACGGCAGCCTGTCCTTCAACCGCACCATCGACTTTAGCCGCGAGTTTGCCAACCGCGGCGGCGGCCGGCCCCACTCGAGCGTCGTCTTTGATCTGTCGGATCCTGAAAACCCGCTTTACTACTAATCACCAAGCGGCCACTGAGGGGATGCTGCAGGAAAGACATGGGAGGAGTGTAGGAGTGTTGCCTGTTAGGCGGTTGAGTTGTCGTTTCAGTTATGGTTGTCGATCAAGGCGCGGGGGGTTGAGTGGAGTGATACTGAGGTATTGTATGTTGTTGGGTGTGAGGGCCAGTGCTAGTCTTAGTACTAGTATCTGTTAATACTATGGGTTGTCTCTCAGTGCTGCTCGTGTCGGCTTTATCACGGAACGTGAGTGATGGCTATAGTGTAGTGCTGGTAGATACGGTAGGCACCTATCCAATGCAACATGATCATTCGAGTATCTACCCCTCCGACGTCTTGGTCACGGACATGACGTGGTCAAGACTGGGACTGGCTTTACTCCTAACATCCTATGTGCTAATACAGATGCCATTGTTTTCCCTGTCTCCATTCTTACAACTTTGTTGCATTGGCTGGCGCGGTAGAGATGCCCTGGAGGAAGGAGTTGTACGCAGACTTCTTCTGGAAGTTGCTGTTCCAGAGCAGCGCCTCGCCCTCGCCGCTGAAAGTACCGGGCACCCACGAGTACTTGTCCGAGACACCCTAGAAAACAAGCAGGTCAGCAGTTTGTAGCAGAGTCTAGGGTAAACAAACTCATGCGACATACCCAGAGCGTAACCCCCACACAGCGCTTGACGTTCAAGCACGACCGAGCAACGCGGCCGTAGGCATCGGCGAGAGCCTGCTGCTTCTGCGCGTTGGACGGGGTCCGCATACGGATGTCGAGTTCGGTGTAGGCGACGTCGACGCCGAGGTCGGCTGTCTTCTTGAGCGCCGTTGTGAGATCCTGCTCGGACGGTGTGGGAGTCGACTGCGTCGGCGTCGACTCAGTGGTCAAGTGGGCCTGGTAGCCGACACCGTCGATGCGGACGCCGTACTGCTGGCAGAGCTTGACAATGCGCACGGCGCCCTCGACCTTGGGGCCCAGGTACTCCAGGTTGTAGTCGTTGTAGTACAGCTTCGCCGAGGGGTCGGCGGCGGCGGCGATGCGGAAGGCGATGGGGATGTAGGCCTCGCCAATGACGCGGAGGAAGACGTTGTTGCGGTAGGTGCCGTCCTCGTTGAGGGCCTCGTTGACCACGTCCCAGTGGTTGCACCGGCCCTTGTACCGGCCCATGACCTGGTTGATGTGGTTGGTCATGACCTGGATCAGCGTCGCGTTGTTGAAGTTGCTGTTGGACACCCAACTGGGCAGCTGCGAGTACCAAACGAGCGTGTGACAGCGCACGTCTGCCGACGATCTCAGCGGGAGAGGGTTACAAGCAGCAGATGTGCTGGCTTACGCTTCTGGTTCTGCTGCGCCCAGTTCATGTGCTGGTCGGCTGAGCTGAAGGTGAACTGCCCGCGGTTGGGCTCGGTCGCGTCCCATTTCATGGCATTCTCGGGCGTGATGGAGCCAAATTCGCTCCGGATGATATTTGCCTCCGTGTTGTCGTTGCGGACAGTGAGCGAAGTGCCGATGTACTCGCGACCAGCAGCCTTCATGGCGGCGTTAAGCGTCTGCGTCTGTCGGTAGATCAGGCTGCGGCGTTGGGCATCAGTTCCGACTTTCGGTTTACAGTGGTGTGAGCCCTGACTCGAAACAGCACTCACTTCATGAACTCGTTGTCGGCGGGGACGGGGCTGGCAACGGCAAGGCCGCTGAGTGCCAGGGCAACAGGCGCTGAGATTCGCATCTTGGCTGTCGATTTTTTTGGTCTCGAGACAACTCAAGGGAGAGTAGCAGCTGTGTGAGGAGCCCAGGTCGCTATGTTCAGTGCATCAGCTCCTTATTTATACATCACCTCCCTATGTGCCGAGGCACATGCCGTGTGGACGTATCTGTACAGGTTTCGAGTAACAATAGATCCTCAGATAACTTCATGCTGTTTCTCAAGAATATTCCGGTCCCAGGCTGCTGGTTAATTAATATGGTAAAATAGGGGGCTCCGGACCATGTCGATCCCATCCAACTCCCGCGCCAATTGAACTCCCTGAAAACGTCATATCGCCACACCCGCGCCAATTGAGGCTCGCACAAACGGGACCTGGGCCGGGTAACCAGAATCGGGGTCCCTTCCGGCTGCCGGGGTCCGCGTGGAGAGACATCCAGGCTCCGGGAAGCATGGTGTGGGGAATTATAGGCAGAAGTCATCATCGTTCCAAGCCGACAAGGCCGGCTTGTGCTGGTACAAACGAATGTATAGGACGGACATTAAACTGTTATTATATGTACAGTCTCAATCCCCAGCCGCCCGGCCCATCAACAGGACCTCCGTACCCAGCTAAGCCCCGTTGCAACCGAGTCTACCTTATGCAGACAGCATGTCTTCGCGGCGGCTGTGAGTATGAGCCAAGCTGGGCTTCATGTTGATAATTATGAGACGGAGCCTGAGAGACACCCGTGCAGAGTCGATGGTAAGAAGACAGGTTGATATATACTCGTCTGGCTGGTGATGAAGAAGGCATAATGATGCTTTAAATCAACGTATTCAACTTGAACTCAGAGTCTACCTTACTGCGCAGTCTGGTAGCATCACGGACCGGTGACCGGCAAGCTGTGCCACCGTTTGTCCTCGACAGTTTACGTACCCGAAAATCAGCGAGAGACTCTATTTGGTCATGCAATGCGTCTCTTGTTGTTCTACAAGAAAATATTGGATTGGCTATATCCCAGCCGTCTAAGAGGTATCGCATGGTACAAGTCACGGCACTTTAGGTACCTTATGTTTCCGGCGCATCGGGTTTGGATTGGAACTTTCAGGTTTTGTTGACGAAGGCAACATGAAGAATTGAAGATTCCCAGAGGTGTCAAGAAGATAAGAATTCTGATGAAACTGTGTCTTGGATCAGCGGACTCGTCTACGTTTGTGGAAGCGACCAAAGAGGAAATGTTCACCAGAACTGTAAGTGACGGTGTCCTCAAGCAGGTACCGTAGGTACGTTTCGGTTCAGAACGGAGTTTGGCACGGAGTAGATGATCCCTCTTGACGCCGACAGGACATAACTACCTCCGTACAGTTTCGACACAAAAGCCTTACTCGGCACTTCGGTGTCATGAAACCACACCCGGCTAGTCTGGTTACGCCTTCTTGGCGCTGCGCCGCTGCCCGGTTTACAAAGGAGGATGTCAAGTGGCGATGCAGGTTCCAAGTCCTTTGAGGCCAATCCCGTGCGGCGCGGCCTCCGGCTTTGAGTTCAGGGACTTCAATTGGTTCCCCACCGAGGTGTCAACATCTTGCACAGTGGGCGGCCTTCAATGGAAGGGACTGTGACTCACTTATGACGTTTTCCCCTAGAACAACTGTAGACATCAATGATGAGAGGTTTCCAGCGTCTATTTAATTACCTACATATACATCGGCCGGCCGGCTTCCGCGTGAAGGATGCCAATGAACAAAACCCTTCCAAACGAGCAAAGACACTTGCACTTCCAGTCAATACCTTGTCTAACACATACCTCGGGCGTTCTGTTTCCAACAAAAGACGCGCCTATTCATTGAACACTTACGCTCAACACATATAAAACAGAAGCTCAAAATGGACTCGGAGTCAACCAATCCTCTTCCATTTGAAAATTTTTCTGGCAATCTCAGGAGTAAAGTTGCCATCGTGACTGGTGCCTCTCGGGGCATTGGTGCCGGAATCGCCTTCGAGCTGGCTCGCCGTGGTGCAAAGGCAAGGGCGTCATCAAAAATGTGAGCCGAGTTGCCGCTCACAGCGTACGTAAATAGGTAGCTGGCACATACACGTCCCAGAGCAGCGAAAAGGTGATGGACGCCCTGATTGAGAAGATCGACGGTCTAGGCAACGGCTCCCAAGCCATCAAAATCAAGGCCGACCTGCGAGACCCTTCGGTTCCCAAGCAAGTCGTGGAGCAGGCGGTCGAAGCCTTCGGCGCGAACATCGACATCCTCGTCAACAACGCGGGCGCAGAGCTCGTCAAGCCGCTGCAGGACATCACCGTCGAAGAATTCGACTCCATCTACCACTTGAACGTCAGAGCACCCATGCGCATGGTCCAGGCCGCCCTGCCGTATCTCCGCGCCCCAGGTCGCATCATCAACATCGGCTCCGTCGGGGCTCGATACGGATTCAAGAACCTGTCGGTTTACTGCTCATCCAAGGCGGCGTTGGAGGGCTTCACCCGCTGCTGGGCGGCTGAGCTGGGCGCCGCGGGGCACACCGTAAACTCGGTCAACCCGGGACCTGTCCAGACTCAGCTGATGGAGAACATTCCCAAGGATTACATCGAGATGCAAAAGTCGCAGACACCGGTCGAGAACCGGATCGGGACGGTGGACGACGTCGCACAGGTGGTGGCTTGGCTGGCGAGTGAGGAGAGCCGGTGGATCACGGGCCAGGTTCTCTCAGCGAGCGGCGGATGGGCTATGTATTGAAAGATGTATTCCTTTTGGCGATTAGATAGAAGCGTTTTTGGATAGAGTAACCGGAGTTCTAGAGAATTCTCGTGCCACGACCTGCCATGTCCCGAAACAGGCCAATGCAGAAGCCCTCCTTGTTGTGCCTTGCCACCTCCTCCTGCATATCATATTGGCGTGCATGTCCTTGGCTAGATGTATTCACAGAGAGAAAAGCAGAATTCCCAAAACACATGGCTTCCGCGAGAACAATATCACTTGCAAATCGCATCACCGCTGCAGTCCGTTCATGGCTGCTTAGGTAGGTACTGTGCTCTGGTACTACGGACTGGAGTTAGAGGGGGGCGATGCCAACACTCACCAGGGGTAACTCCAATTGTCTCTAGGGATGTCACCCATGTCACGGCCCTCAATCTGTGAGACAGTGGATGACAGCTCTAAGAGCAAATACCCATTGCGTCTGTCTTCAGATTCTGTCCGATCTCTGTCGCAAGAGGCCCTTTCCAGCTCAGCACAGCATCGGTAACTATCACCTCTACGAATCATTGCCCATCCTGCGCCTTCTTCTCTGTGGTATAAACCCCCGTCGGAACATCATGATACCCCAACTTGCCCACCTTGAACGACAGTTCGCTCCTCCACTCCTCTCCCCTCTCCAGCCTCTCGATCGCCCTCTCAAAGGTGTACTCCGGGTTCCACCTGAGCTCCTCGCGCCTCATCGCCAACTGTGAATCATACACCCTATCGATCCTCCTTAGGAACCGCCACCCCTTTTCCCGGAAAAGCGTATCAATCCCGGGCACAAGCTCGCTAAACACCTCGTCCGCATTCCCCGTACCAAGCCGTTCCAGCGTAGCCGCGTCCTTCTTAAATGGCGTCGGCGCGCTGATGATGTACTTCCCCCACTTGACCGCGCCCTCGGCGCCTCTGCGCATCGCGCACACACACGCCGAGACGACATCGGCAATATCCACCCTCCGATACGCCAGCTCCAACACCTTCAGGTTCTCCCCGTCCGTCACCTCCCCCCTCCGCTCCTCGTCGTCGTCCTCCTCGGGGAAGAAGCGGCTCGTCCGGAGCACGATCACCGGCAAGCCCGTCTGCTTGTTCACGAGCCGGCACACGTCCTCGGCCGCGGTCTTGGTGACGCCGTAGATGTTTTTGGGCACGGGCTCGACAGACTCGTGGATCCATACCGCGGGCTGGCCTGGAGGGGAAGACAGGGCGGCGCCAAAGGCCGAGGTGGTGGAGATGAAGACGAAGGATTTCACCGTCCTGCCAGCAAGAGTAGAAGAGGTAGATGAAGATGGTGGAGCGGCAGCCTCGAGCAGGGCGAGCGTGCCTGCGATATTCGTCTGGACAAAATCGGTTTTGCTATGCGATCCGACATGGGGCTTGTGCAGCGTTGCGGCGTGGATGACGTGATCCGGTTTGTGGGCGTCGAAAATGGAGGCGAGGAAGGCCGTGTCGGTGATGGAGCCGACCGAGGTGGTGGTTTGGCTGGCCTTGATGTCGATGCCGATGGGGTTGTAGCCGAGTTCGGGGAGGGCGAGCATCAGGGCTTTGCCAAGATGGCCGGCTGAGCCTGTGACGAGTACGGTGGGCTTGAACATGGTGGTGACGACCGGCGAGTTGTTTGATGGGAGAAGGGAGAACTTCTCAAGCGACTGGCTCGAGATGATAGAAATGATCGCTAAAATCCATGCTTGGTTTCTGACTCACCGCGACCACCCCGATGAAACTCAACCATGTGGGGTGTTAGAGCTCTGGAAGCCGAAATGGGAGTCTTGCCCGAACTTAATTGGACCGATAAGACAACCCTTGGCACACTCGACTCCTCGAGCTTGGGCATGACACGGACAGCGAGGCTTCCAGGTGCCAATTGTTTGATACTCTGTATTGTATTCAGACGTAACTCTGTTTCCTTCCCGGCCATCGCCCTCGCCTAGCCCCCGAAACAGCCAGGGCTGTCATGCCGGCGTAGTCTTGACCTTCTCGTCGGCAACCCTGGGTCTTGAGAGTCGCAAGAAAAGAGCTTTGCAATACCCTCTTAGGTTGATATCCCATGTATTCCCAGTTCATCAATGCGAACACCAACAACTCCTCTTCCCAAAGACCTTAGCCAAAGTCAACGAAATCCCATGCAACCAGAAGCGATCCAATGCTTAGACGGGCCCGAAGCAACTGCAACGATTAGCTTTAGCGAATTGGGTTTCCATGGGTCAAGGCACCTACGTTTCCATGATGATGCCGGTGATCTGGTAAGGGTCGGCGTTCGACGCGGGCCGGCGATCCTCGAAGTAGCCGTAGCCCTTGGCCGCACACTCGCGCGGGATACGGATCGAGGCGCCGCGGTTGGCAACGCCATAGCTGAACTGGTCGATAGCACCCGTCTCGTGCCGACCGGTCAGGCGCTTCTCGTTGTCCTCGCCGTAGACGGCAATGTGCTCCTTGTGACGCGTGCCGAGCTTGGCGATGGCCGCCTCGATGTGCTTCATGCCGCCCTGTAAGTGGAAATGTCAGTGCCGGTCCGCAGAAATGCCGTTGGGGGTGTTGTTGAGGGCTTTGGTTACCTCTTCACGCATCTCCTTGGTCGAGAAATTGGAGTGCAGGCCAGCGCCGTTCCAGTCGCCGGGGATCGGCTTGGGGTGGACCGAGACCTTGACGCCGAAGTCCTCGGCAATGCGGTGCAGGAGGAACCGAGCCATCCAGAGTTGGTCGCCCACTAGTCCAGTCAGTCAAGCCCATTCCTCAACGGCCGCATTGTGGAAGACTCACTCTCGATGCCGACGCAAGGTCCAACCTGGAACTCCCATTGAGCGGCTAGTCGGTCGTTAGTATGAGTAAAGAGAAAGGTGAAGCCTGGCAGGAATTCACATACGCATCACCTGCAAAGGCTTGTTAGCAGCGCATTCCAAGCATTCCCTCCAGGTATTCATCTTACCTCAGCATTGGTTCCCGAAATCTTGATGCCGGCGTACAAGCAGGCACGGTAGTGCGCCTCCACGATATCACGCTGCACAACCTTGCCGGCACCCACACCGCAGTAGTACGGGCCCTGCGGCGCCGGGAAGCCGTTCTGGGGCCTGGTCCACAAGTCAGCATCTCCGTCCTCCAAGGCACGCGGCTGTAAACGGCAACACGTACCAGCCATAAGGCCGATCATTCATATCCAACATGGTATACTCCTGTTCCAGGCCGAACCAAGGCTCGTGCGCAGCGTGCGCCTCCATCAGCTTGGCCGTCTCATGGCGGTAGTTGTACTTGTTGGGGGTTCCGTCGGAGTCCCAGCACTCGGCGAGGACCAGGATGTTCTTGCCCAGGCGGATGGGGTCGGGGAAGATGGCGACAGGCTTGAGGTAGACGTCCGAGTTGTCGCCTGGGGCCTGGCCGGTCGAGGAGCCGTCAAAGTTCCACATGGGGAGGTCCTCGGGCTTGTAGTCCTTCTCCGGGAGGGTCTGTGGTGACAAGTCAGATATTGGCATCAACCAGTTCGAGGGATGGATGTCTCACCCTCGACTTGGACCTCGTGCCGCCTTCTGAGTCGATCCTGTGCAAGGTGTGAGACCATGGTCGCCGTCAAGCGGGCTGCCACTATCCCGCCGCTTTTGACAGACATGGGAGGAATAACTCACCAGATGTACTCGGCAATGATGGTCCCCTTCTGGTCGAGGGAGAAGTACTTCTGGAGCTGCGCCATGCGTGAGCAAACCACCGGTCATAAGACCAGATCGAGTTGGTTGTGCTTACGGTCCCTGTCTGGGAAACGAAGGAGGCGGCCTGTCCAACATCGTCAATTTCAGCTCAATGCCATTGTTCGTGCGCTTGCGCGCGTGCATCCAACCGCCACGACATCATTGTCAAGAATGGGCCACCTACCATGGCTGCGTTCTGAGCTCTTTCCACCGGCTGCTGGCGTTGAGACTTGAAATGGGTTCTATAGATGGGATCGGATCGAATCCGCAGGAGTCTGAAATCAGGGGAAGTTAAGGGGTATGGCGAATGTCCAAAGTCGAGAGCGTCGGGGGCGGGGATGGTTGGGTTTTAAACATGATGCCCGATAACCGGACGCAGCATGATAATTATCTGACCGCTTATCTTTGCCGAGGGCAGGAATGGGACGAACCTCATCCCGCCGGGACAGAAAAGCGCGCCTCCACGCCTGGCGCGGCCATGAAATTCTGGGGGTGCGGAAGGTACAAGGTACCTGATCCGGCGATGGCACGGAGAGGGATGGAATGCCTCAATCCCGAGCGCATCAAGCTAGATCCCTGCACTGCCCCTCAGCTGCCCCTCCGCGGGGGATGCAGCTTATCGCCGGCCTCTTATTGGTCAGGACCGCCTTCTGACAACTCTTCCAATGTCATTGGACGCGGTTCAGCCTGAACCTGCAGGTCTGGATGCGCGGCATCACACCCCCCTTTTCCTTACCCGACGAACTGGAAGTCGCGCGCCAAGGGCACCAGTGGGGTGAGGTCGCGTGCAGCAACGTCTCTGCAAAACGCTTCAGGTAAGTGGCGGCGCTTCTCCGAGGTCTCCCGCTTTAGATCATTTAGGGATACAGTGTTGATCAGGGGCCGTGTTTGACAACTCATCTTCCTGTCGTCCCCCCCGGTGGTTTCTTAGAGTGACGAGCACACAGAGAGCTGCGTACCTTAGGCTCCCACGCTCCTTCTTCCCATGCACATAGATGTGGTACCAGCACATGCCAGCATTGCACCTGAAACAAACAGATTTTGTGTGGCTATTTTCTATTCCTGTTTGTTCAGCTGATCGGCCTTCAACAACTCCACACGCTCTACCTCATACCTGCACTACTAATACTGTGCAGTCCAAACCGCTTGTTATCCGCTGATGAAAATGACGGCGAGAACCAGGTCCAATCTCAAAGCCTCAAACCTCCACGCCCTTCACAAGTGTCCCCCCGATGAATCCGCCCCATTCGACGCAAAGCGACCGTTCCCCGAAGCGAAATAGCTTTCCGAGATGAGCGGGACAAGCCCAACATCCCAGATAATATCCTTGTCGCCGGCGTCCTCAGCAGCAGCCTCATCTCGAGAGGCGAGCGCGACCTCGGAAGGAGCCCGGCTGCGGCCCCGGCTCATCTTGCGGAACACATCGACGCTTTCGCAGATGGTCTTCTCGAACGGCTTCCAACACGGCTGCGACGAGTCGTTCCCCTTCCACCGATGCAGCACCTGACGCACCTCAGGCGCCCTGGTGTAGAGTTGTCCGCGCGCCACGCCATCGTGGCCGATGAAGGAGCGCTTAGGCTGCGACTCGGGGTCGTACTCGTCCAAGATTTCGATCGCGTCGTTCCAGTTGCGGTAGGATCCCCAAGCGTGGAGACGCTGGCCGACAATGTCGGGGTCGAAGAGGGCCGCGATGTGCAGCAGCGCCACGTCCTCGACGTCAACGTACCAGTCTGCCGGAAAGATCAGTAAGCCGTCAAGGGGAGTCAGAGGAGGGGGGAGCAGAAACAGAGAACACTTACGAGATTGCGTGGGACCGGCGCCGGGAATCTCCTCGGTGGCATGGCCGAACTGGTACAGCTGCCAAATCCAGTTGCGCCAGTTGTCCGTGTACGGCGCGCCGAAGTTCTGTCCGATGATGTTTGCCGGGCTGACGATGTTGATCTTGAATGGCAGGCCGACGAGACCCTCCTCCTCAGCCTGGGCCTTCCACTGCCACACGGCCTGCTCGGCCCGCACAAGGCTCGAGTTGTGCAGAACCTCGTCGCTGCACTGGCCGCGCGAAGTCAGCGCCAGGATTGTGTCCCTTGCGTTCCACGAATCCTCCTTGACGCGCGTGTCGGTCTCCGGGACGAGCTGCGCCGCGGCCCGGATGGAGCTGGTGTAGACGAAGGAGTGCACCGACGGCTCGTGCTCGGCCGCATCCAACATGCAGCGCACGCTGTCGATTGCCAGGCTCCAGAGCGTGGCGGGCGCCCGGAGGCTGGCGGGCGCCGTGTTGTTGATGCGGGGGAGGTGGGTCGAGTGCACGATGGCCGTCATGCCCTTGACCGCCTCCTGGTAGAAGTACCTGTTGGTCGGGTAGCCGGGCGGGAGTGTGACGTGGTCAAACATGCCAGACGAGACGTATCGTGAGAAGAGCTTGTCGAGCCACTGCGCCGACTCCATCTAGGAGAGCGTCGTCCGGACCCTGCAACCAGCCTCGAGGAGCTGCTTGATGATTTGCAGCGGGATCGGCTGCGTCCCGTGGGTGACGAGCACCTTGTCATTGGGGCTAAGCCCGGCTCGAATCGAGTCGGCGGTCATTGTGGAAGATTAGCGGTGATGCGATAAATAACGCGTATCAAGCGATGCAGTGTAGTGTGATTGCAGGAATCTTGATGGGGATTGTCAGTTGAAAAGCTGATGATAGTGAGATGGAGTGAGATGGTTGGAAAGAAGAACGAACTGGCTGTCGAGGTCCGAAGCTGGGAAGCTATTAGTACTCGGGGCTCGACACTCGGGCCTCGACTGCTGCGTTAAAGTGCATTGAGCCGTCATAAGTAGGCGCGATGTCCTCGTTACCCTCAGTGGAACTGTCGTTTGCACGGGGAGGAATGGCAAGACATTGAGACGGCGGTCTGCACCTTCTGATCCCGGCACTTCTTGCCCAAAACCTGGATTGATGTTTCCTACTCGTATGTTGGAAACCTCGAGCTTCCAAACGTGCGTGTCTTCTGCTCAACAAGGACATGTCGACTTGGGAGACCCGTGTTACGGTAAGATCACATTCGTGTTATGACACGACCTCAGAATAGAACATGTTTTCTTCGAAGACTTTCGATCCCTCCAGCCCCTTTCTCTGAGGTGGTCTACACTGATGGTATGAAGGATTATGAATATGGTATGGCGTCGTTCAGATGTAATTGTCAGTGCCGCCTCGGTCACGAGCCTCTTCGGCCCGAGTCTGTGTCCGAGGCACAGCGTGGCTGCGCGCAGGCGGTTTGTGCGCTCTAGGTTCCTTGCGAGTTCACGTCCAGGAAAACTTGAACCAGGCAACCAGGGTGCCCATAACGGACACCTTGGACAGTCCTGATTCAAAGGAGAGTTCGGATTCAGAGCTGGGACCGGAAATCCAGACCACCTGCAGTCAAGCCCGGGTTGATTCGGGACTGGTGTAATCCGTACATAGTAGTTGGATTTTCCAAATGCGGCAGGAGACGCTGGACGTGGCCAATCAGCGGATTGACAAACGTCAGGCCGGCAGTGGTCCGATGTTGTTCCTAGATCAGACCACTACGGCTTCATGTGTCATACTCATACCACTGCCATCATCTGTCATATTCGGCGCAGTGTTCATTCAGGCAATTTCATTCAAAAGCGTCCAATTTCTTCCTGCTGCGGTTGTCCAGACTCATATTCCATCTCCTCTGAAGTCCGCAGTTTTCATTCTTTTTCACTGTTCTCAAGGTCCATTCGCCGCCTTACACACCTGAATTCGCAGTTCACCAAGATTTCCAAGACAAAGTACTCTATTCACAATGTCGACGGCGAGAACCCGTCCGATGCAGCACGTCGATCGCAAGTCGCTGTACACCAACCTGGAATCACGTATTCGCTACCTTCATTCCTTCCTCGACTTTGGAGCCAGTTTGTTAAAACCCTGCAGTTCATTGCATTATATAACCACCTCCGAGCATCTCCCACTAATCTCCACTCAGATGACATCGAGGCCCTCCGGTCGGGCTTCAAGTACATCCAGGCCCTGATTCCCGCAGTAGTCAACATCGTCTACCGCAAACTGCTCCAGTATGACATTACCGCGGGAGCCTTCCATACTCAGAGCACCGCCTTCGAGGGGCCTATGGACGAAAACCCGGATGAGATGAGCCCACAAATCCTGCACCGCAAGTCCTTCCTGCGGGCCTATCTCAAGAAGCTGTGCTCCGACCCCACCCAGATGGAATTCTGGGAGTATCTCGACAAAGTCGGGTATGTAACTAATCACACATTTTCTCTTGAATCCTTCTTCACCACCGCAGTCATAGCATCCTTACTAATCCTACCGTGCCCTATTCTCGTCGTAGAATGATGCACACGGGCATCGGCCGCACCCAGCCGCTGCACGTTGAGTACATCCACATCAGTGCCGCCCTCGCCGTGATACAGGACATTCTCTCCGAGGCCATCCTGTCCCACCCGCGGCTGCACATTGCCCGGAAGATTGCCATTGTCAAGGCCTTGGGAAAGGTCATTTGGATCCAGAATGATTTATTCGCCAAGTGGTATGTGCAAGACGGCGAAGAATTTACTGACGGTGTGGACTACACCCCGCTGCTTGAGCAGGAAGGATATCTCCATGGGAAACAAGTGCTTGCGCCAGAGGAGGAAGCCGCGGTGGGGTTAGAGGGGGCAAATAACGATGCTGATGGTGATTGTCCTGTTGCTGGGAATGGGCCAAAGGTGGCTGGGGTGTGTCCGTTCACCGGGATGGTGGCTGGTATTGAGGATTTGAACATCAAGGGGTCAGGGGAGGGGGAGAAGGGGAGCTGAGAGGAGATAAGCCGGGGCCAAAGGCAGTAGAGGTTGTCGTGGATGCGCAGTGAGAGGGGTTGCTAGGCTGGATGGTCTCGTGTTTGAGAGGTTCTGATTGATCACAGCATTGATCAGGGGGATGGACGGTTGGGAGTTGGCGTAAGATGTACAAGTACCAAGGTCCAGCTATTCCAAGGGGTAGAAGGGTAAGAATTATTAGAGGGATGACTTCCTTGCCGTAGGAGTTTGAGGTCCTAAGCCGTTAACTTACTGTTAGGGGATGGCTTAAGGCTCAGTTGTGAGCAGCCTCAACATTAAGCGGTTTTATCCCTGCTCGATCCTATAGATTACTAACCCTGAAATAGGAGGGAATCCTCACGTACAAGCCGTAGACTGTGGTAACTTTGAAGCAGCGTCTCAATTGACTCCAGGTTCGCCGCGTAAACTCTTGACCATTTATGAGAGGAGCAGTTGGAGGGTCACCACATCGCCAGCTTCTGACACTCCTAATTCATGACATCTTCCCGTGCTCAGTAAATGAAGAGTCTCGAGCGCTGATCCTTGCCACTCTCCTCAGAAGGTGACATGACTTTCCAGGCATCATGGTGACGATAGGTACACCTAAGTATAGTATCAGTCACGGTCTGATTTCAAAGCCAGATCCCATCGTCAAGCCGGGCGAGATCTGAGCATGTATTCTCATGCATTGACGACCTATGCTCCCAGCAGTGAGTGACCTGAGAAATATACACCATTGGCTGCCAGTTCTCATCTCCCCTTTTCATCAGCCCCTATTGTGTCATCCGTGAAGCTCCGTGCACAGCCAACCGAGTCATTCCCAACATGCGACGGCACCCTTGCTCTGCCAGTGACCTTGCAGGAAGCCTGGGACTCAGCAGGTCGAACATCTCCTGTCGCAGCAGCTGTAGCAGGAGTCATAACGCACGCGCTCGCAAGCGATTTGGCAGCTGGGGTTGCCGCCGCAGGACGAGCAGGCCCTGCGGACGACGCTGACGCAAGCCTGCTCGCAGGCGATCTGGGAGCCGGGGTTGGGGCACCGCTCTGATTGTAGCGTTATATGTTAGCTTCTGTAGGAACACTTCAACTCGCTTGCGTCGATGACTAATCGCGACGCGGCCGATGGGGAGGCGACAGGGCCAGAAAGAAGCGCATTGTTCAGGTTATCACAACGGGCTGCGTAGAGTTAGGTACGTACTCTCGATAGAGCGGTCGGTCAAGGCCTCATCGGCGGGTGCGGCGAAGGCGGCGGCGGCCATGAGGCCAAACACGCTGAGAATGGTGGTGGCGCGCATGTTGTGCAACGGGCAAGCAGCTCGGGCAGTTGGTGATGCTGAGTTTTATTGTGGCGAGGGAAAGTCCTGCTGATGGCTGTCTCTGTCTGGACTCGACCAGGCAGGGTGGTACGTCCATTTATACTTTTCTGCCGGCCAGACTCGTTTGGATCACCCTCACGCACCAAACAGCTTCTTTCATCGCGCACTCGGTTCTATGACACCCGCCATGTTGACGTTGCTGGAAGTCAGGCCGCGCTTCCGACGGCAATATCTCTGGCTGCGCATGAGGTCTGCCCCTTTGGGACGCTAACATGGCGATAAATGTTCGACACGGCCCGTACTCCGAAAGGACCAAGCAGCTGCAGTTCCTGTTGAGTCCCTAAAGCGTGTGGTTTAGATCGATTCAGGCCTAGCACTCTGCTCGAGCTGCGAGCATGTCTCTCGGCGCGCCTCTACGAGGATGCCGTATTTCCGTCTTACTCCGAGTCCTTCTACTACTACGTACACACGCCAACGGGTCCGGTTGGGGGCCCACGAACCTGCAGGCCAAGAGACGCTAAGAAGTTGTCGTACAGTAGAGGACGTCACCGGGGACGCATTTCCGTGTTCCGCTTGGGCGGGGAGCCGTTCCAGATGTGACAAGAGGTTGACTAGGGAGGCGGGGGATTTGTTACCCCGGATTACCCCAGATTTCCGCGGCTGTCGCGGGGAGCCGAAGGGGCCGGTCAATCATGGAGACAATCTCAGCTCCCTGAGCGCGCTGCTGTCCGCTCGAGATATTGACATGGTCGCACTCGGCAAAGGGGCGCACGCGAATACGGGTCTGGAGCAGCAAGCGGGTCTGCATTCCTGACCTCTCATGGTCTGAAGGATAAGGTACCGGATGCCGCCTTGCAAGATGGAGCAGAACAAGTCGGATTGTCCTTTGATCCCCTCTTTCCCCAAGTAACCGGCATGTGGTTTGCCCTGTCCCTCGAAGCAATCCGCGAATTCTCTATCTCCTGGGAAAGGGTACCAGCGGCCGGAGACACCCAAGAAATGCTCCGAACCTGAGCGTGGGACCAAGGCCCGGTTCGCCGGGTTCGGTAGGCCAAGTCTGAAGCCAGTTGACGTGATCGGGGAATACCTTGCTCGGCCTCGCTGTTAGATGCTCCGGGCTATGGCAAAAGATATTCATCTCCCGCAGGGTTCTCAACAAGATGTTCGGCGGACGGTTAACTCAAGTTAGCGCTCCCACCTAAGCCACCTTCTCATACATCAAACCCTCTGGATGGTGAGGGTTCATACGGTAGATATCCCCAAGCCATTGGAACTCTCGCTTGTCAAGAGGTATGGTCTCCAATGTCGGGAAGAACATCGGAAGGCTTGTTCTTAGACTCCTGGTTAACATCACCCAGCCAAAGTTCCCTAACCAGTCTCCCCCATTCGTAAGAGCCAGCACAGCTTTCGCCATATACACGAGATTCGGCGGTTTTGCGACCATTAACAGCTCGCTTGCAGCACCCCTTTTAAATGTCGATGTGTGACGGCTGTTGGGTCAGAAGGTTGAATATCTCCAGATCTTTCGAGCATGGCCGCGCAGTACATTCCGTCCGCTTTGTCCCAAGAAAGCATTCTTTCCTCGCAGGATATGCTCCGACGACTCCAATACATCGATGGATAGCGTCCTTCAGTGTCTGGGAATAGCGCTCTCCCCAGATTTCCATCACCCGGTCGATCAATATTTCCTGGAAATCAGCGTCATATGATTCCACTTCCGGCCCCATGTTTCTTGAAGCGTCATGTAACAGCGTTGGCCCAGGAGAGTCCTTTCTCGAGGCATATCTTGACGATTTCTCTATCTTTATCGTGTCCAGCCGCCCAATGAATAGAGCCGTACTCATTGCCGATAAGTCGAATGTCAGCACCCTTCGTAAGGAGGTGCTCAAATGCCTCCCGTCGTCCACCAACCGCGCGGCGTGCAGGCAAGATCCAACTTCGCCTTCTATCTGGTTGATTGATGCGCCGTGTTCCAAGAGAACATCGAGACATGTGATCTGCCCCCGGCAAGCAGCACATCGAAGTGGAGTAGCAAGCGTGATGCAAATCTCGCACCCGCATATCTCGCCAGTGACCCGGTGGACGTGGCGGCCGTCAGGAAGCACCCCAAGTTCCAGCAGAGCCGAAGGTTGGCTGTGAATCCGTACGACGAGGAATGCTGAACCGCGGTTCCGATTCCGTGTTCGGGGCATACAAGTTAGGCGTCGGCGCCATGCTCTACCAGCAGCCGGATCATGCGGTTAGAGCTTCCGCGCTTACCACATTGATCTAGCAGCCTTCCAGCATTCCGGGCCAAAGCGCCGAGCCGGCGATATATTGAGTTCAGATCCGGACAGCCAAGGAAGACCAACTTCTCCATGGCTTCGTAGAGTCCGAACAGAAGGCTCCCATACATTGCTTCAAGTAACTATGAGAACGAAAATCAATGCCGGTTCCGTGTATCAAGAGCTGCTCAACTGCTTTCCAAAATTGTGCTGGGTTGCGTATACAAGAGGGCTGCTGATATGGCCCGCTTCAAGACCCTTTATATAGCTCGAGAGCATCACTCTGCCTTTTGAGTCCAGCCCAGGTGTCAGAAAAAGCGTTGGCTGATTGGAACCTCGTAAGAATGATGTCCAGAAAGAGAGCGCCACCACGGTGTTACACCAATTCAGATAAGGTTCCCGGGCGCCGCTATGGAGGAATTCAAAGATTAATTCATCAAGAACTCCTCCTTCAGTCTATTCATTTGCCTCATGGGCGTGGTCGGCTCAGAAGTCTGCAGCGAATCGGGTGAACGGGACTTGTTCCTCGTTTCTCCTGCCATGTTCGATGAAGATATCATAATGCAGCAATAGGCTACTGCAGAGCTCTGCCATGACGCGGTTCCCTATGCCAGGGGTAAGCAAGAAACTGCGAGCATTGTGTTGTTTGGTCTGTTCCGACACGATGTATTCCTTGACCGAGAAATGTGCCAGACAGAGAAAGTCTGCGTCATCGCAGCCTAAACGGAACCGGGAAGGTCTAGTGAGAGTTGAGGATACCAAGCTCGAACAAGCGGTCAAGAGACGGTCCCAGTAAATCTCAATATTCTTCATCCGCGACTTCCTTCAGTGTTAAGGCGAAGAATGACTCCGATTTGGGTCTTGGATAGCGCGCGCCCGGAGAACGCCAGCGCTAACAAAACCCGCTCGATATTGTGAGCTTGTCTGCCATCAGGACGCGAGAGAATTCGCTCGTATATCGTATATAAATCCTCAAGCAGTGAGGCTAGAACCTCGTCGATCTCTTCGGAGCTACCGCATGACTCGAGCGAATCGAGCTGACACTGCGCCCATCGGAACCTGTACTCGAATAGTCAGAATAAAACACGCTCCACATACCTTGCGAAGGTACAGAACATACATACCGCCTACGTTGCGAGTCAGGTTTCTTGCACCTTTTTCTTATCTGCAGAACTCTAGACCCTCATGTTTCTCGGAATCCCGGATTCTGTTTTTGACGTATAGTGCAATGTCCTTGTCGACGTAGGCTGCAGCAAGCGGAACCTCGCGTGCAATGCTTGCCAGCGCTAGTTCGATATCTCGCTCCCCGCGGCTAAAAGCAATAAGATGAACGTTGGGAAGCAATGACAGTCCCTTGAGGTACTGGAGGAGCGGTCGTTCGATCTGAACATTCATCCAAAGTGGTCACCACAACGAACGCCTTGTGAAAGTGTGTCAGCGCGGCCACAACACACTTGAGGACGCTGACGCTTGAAGGCTGGCTTGACCCTGATGCGCAGTCATGGTACAGTCTTCGCAGCTGTTTGAAGGCTTCAGGGCTGCGTAAAGCGAGTTGAATAAGAATCGACCTAAAGAGCGCGTCGGACTGCTGTTGAGCCGCACTTTGGAAGTCGAAAACACGGCATTTAGAGAATCTTATTCGCGATGAAGCAGAGATTGTGATGATTGCCGAGCATTGTATGGTTTTCCCGGCGCCCGGGATTCCCGTCAGCCAGAGGAATTGAGGAGTTGAGAGCCAGGTCTAAAAAGCGTCGGAAGAGATGAACCAGTCTCCGGTTCCTAAGTGCTGTTTTGACACCGCATCTCCCAGGCTCTTCCAGATAACGGCGCTTTAAGCCACTCGATGGCTCTTCGATTAGTCTTATTCCCAATATACTGCTCAAGCAAAGAGGATTGCAAGCTAGGATCTTCTCCATGGCGAGTAGAACAACACTGGAGAACGCCACAAGTCAGTATCCAGCTTGTATCGTGGCGTCTTAGGGTTGTCGTACACTGATTGGGACAGAACTGCGAGCCCAATTTGAGTCTTCAAACGCTCAATGTTCTCCAAGTGCTTCTCAATGTCCTTTCTGCGGTGGCCAGGCAAGAAGGGACGAACTGTCAAGATTCTCGGGATGCTGGTAATCTCTGCGAGGCAGGCGGCCATCGGACCGTCAGCTCTCTCCATCATGTCTTCTAAGAAGGCGAGCATGGCCTGTTCTGGCAGCCTTGTCCTCTTGGTCACCCTGCGCAGTTTGAGTGTCTCTGACATTGTCCAGGATTTGTTCGAGGATCCGCATCAAGTCGCGCAGGTCGCAGTTGTGCGAAACGCGATCTCAGGTGCGTCCTAGTAGATGCCGTAGATGTAGATTTGAGCGATTGCCTTCGCTGCGAAGCCAAGAAAGGTGAGGATGGCAGATGCGGCGCCGACGGCTTCCATGATGATCTCCGCGACACGGAGAATCCCCTGTTCCATACGTGATGACTGATGTATTCGTGGCAGGGCTCCAAGACGCCGCCATTACCATAAAGCTCTCGGAGATATGAGGAGCGTCGCGAGCCCCGCATATATATGGTGGACGAATCAGCCAACCCGTCTCGCAGGTGACTGCCCGAGTTTGAAGCCTCACAGCAGCTGTCATATTGGGCGAGAACTACTCCACACAGCAGGCAGCTGCCAGCACTGCTTACTACTGTATTCACGCAGCCCAGATGCATTGCAGGCGGCAGAGAAGACCAGTGTTAGAGAGCCGGAACTGGATTGTCGAGTATCAACCATTCATTGCCTGCTTTAGCCCTTGCCCAAGGCTTTAAGCGAAGATGCGATTTGCTGCTAAGAAGGGGAACACCGCATGCCGCGTTCGAGGTAAGCTTGAAGTGGTGGTTGTCATTTCCACCGACTCTTACGGGATATCCGAACGGGTGAAATATCTTGCATTGCGAGGTTTCAAGTTGTGTGTCTCATGCTCTTGCTATCGGTCATCAATGTGAACTCTCAGGCCGGAAAATCGGGGCTGGCGATGCCAAGACCAGCCACTCAGACCCACTTCAAGGCAACAGAAGCTTGGGTAAGCTCGCATGGTCCTGGCCACAGCAACATCGCAAGTCAACGACGACGACGGCGACAGACTCCATCCACCACGAAACTATCACGAACGACTGTTTTCGAGACGACTGCCGAGTTCTAGCACTACTTCCTATTCTCCTCCTTCGACCCCGAATCAGAAGACAGATTGCACCGAACCATGGCGTCAGACCAGGAGCGCGAGCACGCCCTCGCCTCCTTCAAGCAGAAGCTCATCGAGTCGCGGGAATGGGAGACGAAACTCAAAAATTTGCGGTTGGAGATCAAGGACCTGCAAAAAGAATTCGATCACACAGAAGAAAGCATCAAGGCGTTACAAAGCGTCGGCCAGATCATCGGCGAAGTGCTGAAGCAGTTGGACGATGAGCGATGTGCGTTGAGCCCTCACCCATTCATGACCCGCGCGAAGACTGGCGCAAATGCTGATGTTATATCTCGCCATTATAGTCATTGTCAAGGCCTCGTCCGGGCCGCGCTACGTGGTCGGATGCCGGTCCAAGGTGGACAAGGCCAAGATGAAGCAAGGAACGCGCGTGGCGCTCGACATGACGACGCTCACCATCATGCGCATGTTGCCGCGCGAGGTCGACCCGCTCGTCTACAACATGTCGCTGGAGGACCCGGGGCAGGTCAGCTTCGCCGGCATCGGCGGGCTCAATGACCAGATCCGCGAGCTCAGGGAGGTGATCGAGCTGCCACTCAAGAACCCAGAGTTGTTCCTGCGTGTCGGCATCAAACCGCCGAAGGGCGTGCTTCTCTACGGGCCGCCAGGCACAGGAAAGACGCTCCTGGCCAGGGCGGTGGCGAGCAGTCTGGAGACCAACTTCCTGAAGGGTGCGTAGCACTTCTCCCTGCCCACAGCCTGTCACTAACAAAATCCCCGTTAGTCGTCTCCTCAGCCATCGTCGACAAGTACATCGGCGAATCCGCCCGCCTGATCCGCGAAATGTTCGGGTACGCCAAGGAGCACGAGCCGTGCATCATCTTCATGGACGAGATTGACGCCATTGGCGGGCGGCGGTTCAGCGAGGGCACGAGCGCGGACCGCGAGATCCAGCGCACGCTTATGGAGTTGCTCAACCAGCTCGATGGCTTCGACTACCTGGGCAAGACCAAGATTATCATGGCGACCAACCGGCCCGACACGCTCGACCCGGCGCTGCTGCGCGCCGGCCGGCTCGACCGCAAGATCGAGATCCCGCTGCCCAACGAAGTCGGCCGGCTCGAGATCCTCAAGATCCATGCTGCTGGCGTGGCCAAGGAGGGCGAGATTGATTTTGAGAGTGTCGTCAAGATGAGCGATGGACTGAACGGCGCTGATTTGCGGAACGTGGTGACCGAGGCGTAAGTTTTTTATTGTTCAGGTTTAGTATGGATTGCACACCTCGTGTGCTGACGCTCAATTTCCAGGGGCCTCTTTGCCATCAAGGACAACAGAGACGCCATCAACCAAGACGACTTCAACAAAGCGGTGCGCAAGCTGGTTGAGGCGAAGAAGCTGGAGGGCAAGCTGGAATATCAGAAGTTGTAACCGCGGGGGTGCATGCATGTGCGGACAGGAAGGGATGCAACCCTGGGACTCTGCATGGTGGTGGTGATTCTACACACGAAAATGGACGTCGTCAAGGGAGGCACTTGAACAACGTGTAATATTGTAGGAATATGGACTTGATGAGCCCCGGGATGAAGTACACAGCTTGGTGGTCAGCGCCCAAGAAAGTTGCGGCGGGATGTAGCCCGCGCTGGGTTCCATGGAGGATTCCGTGAGCATTGATGAGCAGCAAGCCTTTACGGACTTCCGTTGCACCTATCATCGGCGTCAATTGGCCTGTGCCTCCTTGCAACCTGTCTATGCCGAGTATCGGGCTGTGCAGCAGTTGCTTCCTCGCTCGCGAACGTGGCCAGATAGGGCTGCTAGTTCGGTATGCGGCTCTTTCGCATGGCCCGATGCCGAGGACCTCGCACTTGTTGACCAATGATGTAAGAACGGTAACTCAGCCTCTGCCGGATATAACAGAGCCACTGCCGCTTCTGTGACTCTGGCTGGCCCGATCATTAAGGTTCCATTTGCTACGGAACTTTTAGTCGAGCTGTTACGATATGCTGGTGAATTATTATCACATCATGCACTCCAAATCTGATAAAGCTATTGAATGGCAATGCCGGACGTTTGAGGAACAGTTCCAACAATGAACTTGGCCGCTATCGAACCGATGCTCGTGTTGAGAATGCAGTTTCCGGCATCGACGTTGTGGAGCGGCCAGATTCTAAGAATAGGCGCCAAGGAAAGGGGTCAACCCTTCATGCTTCATGGGGGGTTTCACAGCCGCAAAAAGCGGGACCCAACATCACACACCCCGGCAGCAGTACGGAATACAGCACAACCCTTAAATTATTGTTTGTGCCCCACTTAATCTTACCTTTTCTAGCAGTTTTGGCTGGAGTATTGAGCTAACGAGCGCACTCACATTCGGAACCCATGAAGCTGCGATTCTCAGCTATTGGGCCGACAGCCTATTGGCTTCCACGCCTTCTGTAAACCCACCGGAAGTCACGAGCTAGCAATAATTGGGGCGGGGGTGGGGGGGTTGTATAGATGGCTGGATGTCTAATAAAGGTTGCAGATATCGCAGGATTATTCGTTGCGTCGTCGTCGTGTTTACGCGCGCGATACCCTGTTCCTGAATCGATTAAACATGGACCGTGTAAGTTGCGGTGCTGCGGGGGGCGAGAGACATCCTTGTTTCGATCCAAGATATTGTTGCCGGTGTAACGGCCGGTGATGTATCCGCTGTTGGCATTCCGTATGTTGAAGCTCAGTGCTCAGCCAAGGGGCTGCGTCGATCCACTCAGATACGAAGCCTCTCCACTGCCGCGGCCGAGGATTTCAGGTTTGTATGCCAAGACTAGTCCAGGATCGGTCACTCAGGGCGTCATCAGTGGTGAGAGGTTGCCGGATGGCGGTGAGGCCATCTACATACATTACTTCGTAGATTTTACACGAGTCTCTGGGCGCGAACGGGCGGACAACGGCACCCTTTGTACAGTTTACTCCGTAAATCCACCTGCTTCACCAACGCAGTGCTACAGGTTGCTAGGGAAAAATGCGACGAAAAACGCTGCCAATGAGAGCTGCGAAATCCACCATGAGAGACGGCGAAGGCGCAGATACCCCCAGATCTCGCTGCTGGATAGCATGCTGCTAGCGGCGCCACGCATGGACAAGGCAGAATGGAACTAAGGGCGAGATGCTTACACGCTAACATTCATCTGATGATTTCTGAGAACATCACCTGCTTCTGGGCTATATCGACTTTTAGCTTATCGACAGAGGCGGTGCAATTGAATAGAAACAATTCCGGTCGAGAGCGCGAGTGAGACATGGTACACCACAACCATCTCATCGAAGCCTCAAGATTGGCATATGCTTATTGGGCATCCGGGAACAGAAATGGAATAGTAGCTGAACTGGCGAAGACGTTACGGGAGAGGAGGCGGTTTTACTCGTAGGTTCTAGGCGATGAGCGGTCGCCTCTTGTCAGACGAAACTGGGAAAACAGTGACGACAAGCGGAACTGAACGATGGGTGATCGGGCACATACATCATGAACCGAATTGTGCACGTCTTGAAAGAGAGGAAAGAACCAGCCGGGAGAGCTGATGAAGGGAGCTAGGAGCAGGCAGCCTCAGATTGCTCTCCTTCCCGAAGAGGATTTTCCTTTGGATTCTCAAGCCGCAACCCCTGGAGGGGCAATGACGACTTTGTGCCTGGCTCGGCTTGACCCCCTGTCTCGTCTGGCCTCCAGCAGGCTCCACATTCGCATATCGTTGTTAGCGCCTACGGCCTGCAGCATTCCAACCCCCGCCAGAGCAACAGCCATAAAGTCAACTTAGCTCCCCGACCATCGCAGCGACTGTTCCTGCCCATATCCATCCTGCTCCTCGCCATCGTCGTGCAACCTCTCGTCCACCCTCTCGCGCCTTGGGCCTTGCTACACCAGTTCTCGTGATACCCTCAGCACCCCGCGCCCGCCTTTGCATCCTTTTCTTGTGTTTTCTTCCCGTCACTCGCTGGTTAGCCCGTCAAGATGTGGTACGAACGACCCCCAAGCCCAACCCCGCCTTCACTCGCGCTTTGCTGCTGTCCTCGCGGGGAAGCAAGCGGAATGAAGGGCTGGGCACCTCTTGAGACAAGGGATCGAGCGACGACGGCTTGCTGACTGACCGGACGGAATGTCTTGCAGTGGCATTTTCGGTTACATCAACTACCTGGTGGAAAAGGACCGGAAGTTCATTCTTGACACGCTCATCAACGGTATGTCCACTACTGCGGTCGCATACAAACCCCTGGCGCTGCAGGAACGCTCTCGGCCCCGCCCTTTCCATATGTGCAAAACAGGGAATAGTCAAAAATTCCGCTCTCGCAAGCTTTGGTAGCTGACGTACGCATCTGCCGGGTAATTTAGGCCTTTCCCGTCTCGAGTACCGCGGCTACGACTCTGCCGGCCTCGCCATCGATGGCGACAAGAAGAAGGAGGTGTTTGCCTTCAAGGAGGTGGGCAAGGTTGCCAAGCTGAGGCAGCTTATTGACGAGTCTGAACTCGACCTCACCAAAACATTTGATTCACACTGCGGCATCGCGCACACCCGGTGGGCGACCCACGGCCCTCCGTCCCGCACCAATTGCCACCCCCACAGGTACGTCGAGATGGAGCTGAGCGCCGATTGATTGCGCAGAGGTCGTCCAAACAGACCGCTAAACACGACCCCCGCTAGGTCTGACCCGAACTGGGAGTTCTCCATCGTCCACAATGGCATCATCACCAACTACAAGGAACTCAAGACGCTCCTCGAGAGCAAGGGCTTCCGGTTCGAGACCGAGACCGACACCGAGTGCATTGCCAAGCTGGCCAAGTACATCTACGACCAGCACCCGAACGTGGGCTTTACCGACCTGGCCAAGGCCGTTATTAGCGAGCTCGAGGGCGCCTACGGTCTCCTTATCAAGAGCGTGCATTACCCCCACGAGGTGATTGCCGCCCGCAAGGGCTCGCCGCTGGTTATTGGTGTCAAGACGCAGAAGCGCATGAAGGTTGACTTTGTCGATGTTGAATACGCCGACGAAAACAGCCCGCTCCCTGCCGAGACTGCCGCGCAGAATGTGGCTCTTAAGAAGTCGTCGGGCCCTGGCGGCCTTCTCTCCCCTAACGGCCTGCTGAGTGCCCCCGACAAGTCGCTCCTCCACCGGTCGCAGTCGCGCGCGTTCATGACCGACGATGGCCTGCCGATGCCCACCGAGTTCTTCCTGTCCTCGGACCCTTCAGCCATCGTTGAACACACCAAGAAGGTCATGTACCTCGAGGACGATGATATTGCCCACATTCATGAGGGCTCTTTGAACATTCACCGCCTTAAGAAGGCGGATGGCAGCAGCAACGTGCGAACCATCCAGACGCTCGAGCTCGAACTGCAGGAGATCATGAAGGGCAAGTTCGACCACTTCATGCAGAAGGAGATCTTCGAGCAGCCCGAGTCCGTCATCAACACGATGCGTGGCCGTCTCGACATTGGCAACAAGACGGTGACGCTGGGTGGTCTTCGCAACTACATCAGCACCATCCGCCGGTGCCGCCGCATCATCTTCATCGCCTGCGGTACCTCGTACCACAGCTGCATGGCCGTGCGGGGTATCTTTGAGGAACTCACCGAGATTCCGATTGCCGTCGAGCTCGCGTCCGACTTCCTGGACCGGCAAGCGCCGGTGTTCCGGGACGACACGTGCGTGTTTGTGTCGCAGTCCGGCGAGACCGCCGACTCGCTGATGGCGCTGAGGTACTGCCTGGAGCGGGGTGCCTTGACGGTGGGTATAGTGAACGTGGTTGGCTCGAGCATCTCGCTCCTGACTCACTGCGGTGTGCACGTCAACGCTGGTCCCGAGATTGGTGTCGCCTCGACCAAGGCCTACACGTCGCAGTTCGTCGCCATGGTTATGTTCGCCCTGTCGCTTAGCGAGGACCGGGCGTCCAAGCAAAAGCGGCGCGAGGAGATCATGGAGGGCCTCAGCAAGATCAGCGAGCAGATCAAGTCGGTCCTGACGCAGGACCAGAAGATCAAGCAGCTGTGCGAGAAGACGTTCAAGAATCAGAAGAGCTTGCTGCTCCTCGGCCGCGGCAGCCAGTACAGCACAGCGCTGGAAGGTGCCTTGAAGATCAAGGAAATCAGCTATCTACACTGCGAGGCCGTCATGAGCGGTGAGCTCAAGCACGGAGTCCTCGCGCTGGTGGACGAGAACTTGCCCATCATCATGATCTTGACGCGCGACGATCTCTTCAAGAAGAGTCTCAACGCCTACCAGCAAGGTATGTCTCGTTATTCTGTTCCACACTATCAAGACGCTAGTTAACGCTGTGAAAAGTCGTTGCCCGAGGTGGAAAGCCTATTGTGATTTGCAACCCGGATGACGAGGAGTTTAAGAGCAATCTTGCCGAGAAGATCGAAATCCCCAAGACGGTCGACGTCCTGCAGGGCATCCTGAACGTCATCCCTCTGCAGCTGATTGCTTACTGGCTCGCTGTCATGGAGGGTCTCAACGTCGACTTCCCGCGCAACCTCGCCAAATCGGTCACTGTCGAGTGAAGGAGCTGAAGGAGCGTCAGTCCGGAGAAACTGAGGGCAACCAAAGGCGCGGTCGGATCCTTCCTTGGTCTCCCCGTCTTGGACACCAGCGCCTCCATTTATCATGTACTAGTAATAATGGCTACCATACTATTCGCCGGCTGGCTAGGAGTTGACGCTAGGAAAACGGGAGAGCGTCGCCAATAAGGTCGCTGGCGCCGCGGAGGATTGGGTTTAGTGGTAACAGGGTTGGTTCATTTGGGATAATGAATAGCGGTAGCGATAGGGTGACAGGAAAGGAGATGGTCAGGAAAGCCATCTTTCGCAGCAATATACTTGTTATGGACACGCGGATCCTCAACCTCTGTAATGCTCCAAGAGCCGGCCTTCATGTAGGGGCATTCTCACAGTTACGACGGGCTTGTTGCAGTCCTACCGAGCAGTTCAGAACACGTGCGTGCTTGCCCCGGATCAGAGCAGCTCTGCATGATGAATTGCTCGTCTACCCCGTTCATGGATAACTTGGAAGCCAACCAATCTACCATCTAGACAGTCTGCGTACCATACCCGCGAATCCGCTCGGCAAACGCCCAGCTCTGCTTCTCCAGCTGCTCGTCCTCGCTCAACTCTACGCCGTCCTTGGTTACCACCGCGATACTGTACCGATCCAGCGACCGCGCGTCGCGGTAAAAGAGCACTTTCATGCACTCCTTGACCACGTTGACCGCCTCCTCGCGGCTCAGCCGCGCCGCGTCCTCCTCGGTGGCCGCGTACCGCCGCATGATAGGCTGCGCCAGCATCGCGCCGAAACCTGACGCCAGCGAGGGGGAGGTGAAGGTCGTGCCGCGCAGGTCAACGCTCGCAAGGAAGGGTTTCGAGGAGCTATCAAAGCCGGCGACGAGGATTTGGTTCCAGAGCGGGTCAAAGTCATTGCGCCGCCGGTACATGAGCTTGGAGAGATACTTGTGCAGGTTCGCGGCGTTGAGCTGGGACTTTGCGGGATTCTCGGAGTGCTCGTGCTCGTAGCTCTCGTCGATGGCCAGCTCAGTCAGGTGGCGGTCGAGGAACTGCATGTCGGAGACGTCGCCGCCGAAGCCGACGACCGAGGTCGAGAGGAAGGGGCGGAGGCGCTTGACGTCGGTGAAGCGCGCTAGGGAGCCGTAGGAGGCTGGGACGGGGGCCCGCGGTTGTCAGCATGTAGGAACTTGGGGCCGGGGAAGGGAGGAGGATCGTGGGATAGGGTTGCTTACCCAGGTTATCGGCAGCCATGACAACGCCATCTCTGAACTTGATGGCGATGACTGAGGTGCCCGTTACAACGGGCGATTGTGTCGCCGTCTTGGGGCCGCTGGTCTGGAGGTAGGAGGCATCGTAGGCGCCGTAGACGTCGTCTCTGGGCTGTGCGGAAGGCGTCAGTTGAGCTGCGTTGTTGGTCGACGACCAAGTGATGGGAACCTACACGGCCCCAAGCTTGCGGGCGGTGATCCATGGTTGCTGGGGTGTGTGTGCGGGCAAGACTGAACAGATATTGAATCTGGAAGCTCGGCAATTTATTTGTGTTCGTCAAATGCAAGAGTCGCAGCGGTGAGTTGCCGCCGGTCGTCGTGGGTGGTTCGAGTTCGTTGTGTTGGAGGTGGGAAGCTAGTGGTTGGTAGGCTCGAGCTCCCTGTAGCTTCGCGTCCCAGTGCTGCCTTCCCGGCTGGCTGAGGGCTATGCCAAGAATTCCTGCCTGAGGCGCAGACACCAAGAATCGCATTGCCAGGCTTTTGAACCAAGCACCACGTGACCCCCTTCATCTTCACCCGGAAAACAACAGACAATTCGACGCTTACTAAAAAAAGGTATTGCAAAACGAGTTAGAAGGGTCTGCTTCCGGTAGCTTCTATAGGAGAAGACAAGGCATGGGCCTCGTACAGTATGAGAGCAGCGACGAGGATGAAACGATTCAGCCTCAAGTCGCGCCTCAAGTAAGCGGTTCACTCGCCCGTCCCGTGATAGTAACATGTGCTCACACTTCATCAAGGATCCTCAGAAACCATCAGTCCGGTCACCCCCCGCGAGAAATGAGAGTGCATCCAGTATGTCTTGGACGCCGTCAATCGAAGCCTCACTCATTGACCATCTCAACCCAGCACCCACTGTTGCTCCGACCTCCCCAACACCAAGAGAACCACCACAAAACTCTCCTCTACAGTCGCCCACAGCTCCCGCCTCAGGCCCTCAACTACGCCCCGTTCTCGGGCCAACCCGGCCCCCTCGACTCAAATCCACCTTAGCACAGCCCGAAACAGCCGCACAACCAGAAGAAGAAGCCGACCTCACCTTCCTCGACCCCCAAGAAGGAGAAGCAGAAGGGGCCTCCACGAACCCGCCACCATCTCCCTACACCCAAACCCGCACCCTGCTGCACAACCTGACCCTGCCCGCCCACCCCAACATGGACATCCCCCCCTCACCGCCAGGCACCCCGCCGCCGGGCCACGACGCCCTCACGTCCAAGTTCTCCACCTTCCTCAACCTGAAACGCACACAAGGCGTGCACTTCAACGAGCGGCTTGCCGCGTCGGCGGGGTTGAAGAACCCCAGCATATGCGACAAGTTAATGGGATTCGTCGGGTTCGAGACTGAGTTCTCAGCGTCATCATCGGAAGACACAACCCGAGGAGGAGGAAGAGAGGATGATGGCGCAGAGGTTATCGACAGGGCGGTGGGACAGTACGGCACGGTGCTGAACGCTGATGTGTGGGATAGTGGGATTAGTTTCCCGCCGTGGGCTTACAAAGGGCCGCTGAGGAGGGCTCAAGAACGAGGCGCGAAGGAGAGGGAGCGTGGAAGGGGGGAGGCGATCGAGTTTGTCAAAGCAAGTGGAGCGACTTCCGGCGGTGGTGGTGATGGGGGAAGTGGTGTGTGAAGTGGGGCTGGGACGCCTGGGCTGGCTCAAGGGTAGTGCAAGAGGAGGGGGAGATGGGATACGTGAAGGGGAATGATTGGTATGGAAACGGAGGTCAAGTTGTCAGTGGTGTGGATGACCACAGATACTCCATACCGCAGCTGCAATGGTGGTCGTGATACCCGGTGAGAAGTGAGGAAGACTGCGTGAAGTACGGTACGAGGAGTCAGCGGTTAGGGACGACCATGTGGTGATAAGTCTTGCGAGGTGTATACCTGTGCCAACCATCAACATACAGGCTCCTTCAATCTGGTTCAAAGGCAATTGGTGTGTAGCTTCTTGGCGACTCGCCAAGATGGCACCCAGATATGCAAGTCATGCGCACAGACTGCACCCATCATCCATTAAGCTCGAGACTGCATCGCCAGCTGCTGCTCAGAGCGCCGCCGCCGCCCGCCCTTGCATGAATACTCCGCGTCCGACTGCCGCTCTTGGCAGCCGGGCATCCGTCGTCCACAACCATGACTCCACATCGTGCCATGTGCTCCCGTAACCTCAGTTGTAGTATCTCACGTTATACTCCTATTAGAATGGTATCTCCCCGCCGCGCAAATAAGTACCAGGCAAAGATAGTAACAGAAAACAGCATAGTATGCGATTAAAACAGGTCCAGAGCTCTCTTGTGGCCGAGACCGCCGCACGGGATGGTGACGTTCAGGTGAGTCTTGACGGCCTCGCCGATGGGGATGTCGACCGTCTGATTGTGAGCGGCCAGGGCGTCGGCAAAGTAGGGCAGCGGCTGGCCGTTGTTAACAACCGACTTGCCGCGGATCTGGAAGGGGAGCACTCCGCCGTTCTCGCAATACGGCTTCTGGCCGAGGACTTCAATGACGTCGGCATTACTGATAGTAGCGCGCATCGTGTACTCGTTCATGCCCGGCCGCAGCGTCAGGTTGTCAATGTAGACGGTGCCGACATCCTTGCCCAGCAAGTAGTTGTAGAAGGTAACATTGCCCTGGACCAGGTCAGCGGAGCGGCCTCTAGAGTTGGACCATTGCGTGGTTGACGTACGAGCTCAAACTCGACCAACGAGGCGTTGGGAATGGAGACATTGGCCCTAAAGTTATTCCCCATCGTGTCATTTTGGAGAGAGACCCAGGTTGGCTTGACCACAGTGCCTTCCAGCCCGCGGAGTCCTGGGTCATGTTAGTAGATGATCCACCGGACAGCGGGGGTAAGCTGGACAGTTGCGCACCGTTCATGGTAAGGGTCTTCTTGAACGTGATTGGGTATGCGCGTGATATGCCCCTGACATGGACGTGGGTATCACCCTGAACGGTCACCCGGAGGGTCTCGTTGGCGAGAAGCCAGGTGTTGTACCTGGTCAAGGCCTCGAGGTTTTCGATCGGGAGGAACTGGGTGACGTTGACCGTCTGAAGCGCGTCGGCGGTGGTCGGGGGGAAGTTGAGTGTAGCAAAGGGAGTGTGCGGCTGGTAGTCCTCGAGGTACATGGCACCCGGGAAGGCATTGATATCGGCATGAACCGAGCCGTCCGTCTTGATGGTGCTGTTGATGGACATGGTCAAGTTCTGAGTCTGCGTATTGACGGCGAGGAGACCATCGAAGATGAGCTCGGCATCATCCAGCTTCTGTTGAGCAATCTTGGGGACGCCAACCAGCAGGCTGAAACGGGCGGTCAGTATACGGCGCGTGCGAGGGCCATTTGCTGTGCCACTTACACCACTGGCACGACAATGACGACGACGACCACGATGACAATCAGGTACGCCCACCAGAACCTAGCGCAGTGCCCGACGCAGCCACGCCTCCGGGGCTTGACCGTCTCGGCCTGGGTAACGGCGGACTTATCGACATCACCCATGGTTTCGACGCTTCGGTGGAGTGGTTTGAGCAGTCGGTGGGATGATGCTAATACCGCCTCTCGACTCACTCAGGCGAGAGTCGGACAAGGCGAGTGTTCAGTGGGGAAGCGTCGGGAGGCAGAATGGGCATCAGACATGGGCAGAGGAAGTCGAGCGAGGAAAGAGCAGGGTCTTGCATTTATAATAGAATTTCTGACTGCAAGTAAAAGGGACCTTGAGGTTGCAATGGTCGGGGAGGAAATGGAGTCCGTTGGAGCCAATATAGCAGGGGATGCTGCCTGCCGTGCAAAGCCCGCAAACCTCGACTGCGGGCATGGCCAGTCAAGAGAACCTGGAAGCATGGCGGGGACGGATAGGAAAGGAAGAGCAAGGGGATCATCGGTCCCGCGTGAACGCAGGAGAAAGAAAGGAGCAACCCATCTTGCCACCCGCCAGTTCCAACCAACAAACAAGCAGTCGCGCACGAGAGCGGAAACCCTCCTGGGCACTTTCTCGAGCCCGAACTTCCAGTCAGGGCCCATTTCCGGCCCATCCAATGCCGGCCGCTAAGCCCGTTATAGCATGTCGTCCGGTCCCACCTTCTGCAAGAGATCTGCACGACGGAGACGGCCTCATGGATAAACCCTAACCCTAGGTTAAGAAACCACTGTGGTAATTTGTGGCGTGCCCCTGCAATCGACAGGACAGACTGGCAGCCGTCGAATCAACAGCAAGGAGTGCGAACCTTCAAATCGAACTCTTGTTTCAGACCTCAGCCGTTTGGCTCTGGCCGCCTTCAATGTTGAAGAGGCAGACGGAGTCCACCGCGGCCAGCTCTGTGGGCCGCAGATGGTGGCTTCGGTGTGCCTCTTGGCTTCATGGGGAAGATGGGTCGCCCCGAGAGAAGCTCTGTGGGGATTGTGGAGGAAAGGCTGGACGGTGTCGGCTCTAGCGTGGAGAGGTGCTTGTCCCGTGAACATCGCGGGGTACTCCGTAGTACCCTGGGCAGTTGCCGACCTCGAGGCCGTGCAGGGACAGGAGTTCGCCCAGCTCCATGGAAACACTACTGTCCTTGTCCACACAGCAAAACCTGTTTTAAGTTGTGATTTTTCTTCAGGTTGTCTTCAGGTCCCTCGATCTGCGTGTGGTCAGTGTTGATGGCCTCGTCAACTCATGCTACTGACACTGAGTACAGAAGCAACTGCAACGTGACAGTATCGTGCAACTTGAAGCTTGCGGGAAGAGAGTCGGAGTGTACGATGTTAGGAACAACATTGTTGAAAGCTCACGTTTCCTGAAGGAACACATGCAACAGGCTCACAGGCGTGCCAGGCATGACTACCTGAGCAAGATGCAGCCAAGAGATCATCTGGTATTGTGCCCCGCTTCTGTCTGGGGAGCGTCAGGGGTGCGATTCGCATCCCTGCCCTGATAGGAAAGCTCCTCGGCATGTTGCGAGGTTCGATGGAGCACATGAAAACTTCTGGTCTTGCGAGGAAACACCATGAGTCTGCTGCATTCCCGTTCCTCAGATGCGCCGTCAGAGGGAATTGAATCGACACTATTGGGTAATTGCGGGGTCGGCCGGCAAGTATGGTGTACGAATGATGAAAGGGTTTCGGATTCTGAGTAGACAACGACTTCTGCATTTGCATGTGCAAATCCGACAACCACACCAAACGGGCCGTTTCTGCAGGGCAGAGTCCGGGCAACGCTCGTGACCAATTTGCCTGGTCGCAGTGGCGGAAATGTCCCGCCCCTTTATTGCCCGCCTTGGGCTCATCACGGATACGATGTGATAGAATGCCGATAGCTCACAAGACGTTGTTCGGTGTGGCGCGTGCCTTTATGAGGCGGACTGGACGCTGCTCGGAGATTTGAATCGAGTTGATGGCCAAGACGGCAAGGGTGGGCTCAGGGGTACTGAGTTAACATACCATGAACCAGATAGTCATTCAAACCGGCCGGGAGTTAACGACTTCTATTCATCCGCTGCCAGATATCAGCGCAAGAGGCAAACTCAGGTTTTCAGGCAAAAGCGGCTGCGGACACGAGCAACAGAAAGCTATCTTGAACGACCGACCCTAGCCCCTAATCGTGCCTACCGGAACACATGTCTTCACACCTTCCTGACCTCTAAACGGCAGTGAGCCAATCAGCTGTCAAAGGGCGAGCCGAACCTGCAGGTGATGTTGTGAGTATCTTATTGAAAAACGGGAGATCAAGTTTCCATGCAATACAATCATGGACCCCGAACCATGAAGTAACATGTTCGGCAGGAACAAGTTCAATTGGGAGCCAGTCTCCGGCAATGCTGCAACGGGTCCATTGTTGAATGTCTCAAAAACATACATGTCTTGAAATTTTGTTCTACCGATCCAGCTTCATCCGAGACGGGCGATGCCGGGCTCATTAGACCGTTCATGTAGCCAATTCAGACGAGCGGCTCGAAGCTGAAATTCATCCAGAAATCGGCTCCGTCTCGCCACATATATGGACCAGATCAGTCCCATATCAATTCTGGCAGTACTGTAGCGTACTACATCCTTTGATACATCCCTTCAGGTTGACATCACCATCTCTCGAGTAGACGGGAGACGTCAAAAACTGACCCTGTGATGTTGAAACGAGGCGCAGGCAACCAACACATGCGTAATGTCTGTCGACGCGATCATGGGGAACAAACCCCAGCCTCGGCTGGTGCTGTAAATCAGGAAGCGTACTCCCGCTAGGGTAACCATACACAATACATTGCGACTTGTCCTTGGAGCAGACCCCTCACATCTCAGGCCCTTTTCGGTCGAAAAGAAAAGCAATGGAAGTACCTCAAAGTGCCCCCATATAACGAAGTACCTCTCGGTCGTAGGTGACTATCTCCCGCTTCCCAGTTGCGGCAGCTTTCCAAGTGTCAGAGAACATCTTCGCCCGGTAATCTCGAAGCACAACACGATCGTCGTTTCCCGCATGCTTGGAAGGCACAGATCGATGCGCTCATAGCTTGGCGCGGGCCGAGGTCCATAGCCCGGACCGGTCCAGCCCGGCATCCCCGTCGAATATATCCCGCTCCACCATGCGGGTATTGATCTGGGATCGACCGTGTCAGCTTACAGGACGCTCCTGTAGCATATGATTGGGTCAAGATAAAACTCACAAAGCGCGGTCCCAGCTCCGACAGGTCCTTGGCACCCAGCATCTTCATACACGTCTCGATCTCGCCTTGCAAGACTAGAAAAGACGTCAGTATGTCAACAGGAATCGGGTGCGTCAATGGGACACGTATTGACTCACTCTCAAACGTCCGATCAACGCCCTTCCACCCGCCGGCGCCCAGCCCCCAGAGCGCCGCCCTCCCCACGCCCACCGCCTTGGCACCCAAGCAGAGCGCCTTCACCACGTCCGTCCCGCGCCTGATGCCGCCGTCCACCCACACCTCAATGGTGTCAAACACCTCTGGGCAGTACTTCCTGATCTCCAGCAGGGTATGCACCGCCGGCGGCGCGGTATCCAGCGACCTGCCACCGTGATTCGAGAGGATAATACCCCGGACCGAGCCCGGATGCTGGCGCGCATACCGCGCGGCCAGGTACGCGTCCTCGTGCGTCTGGATGCCCTTGAGCACAATCGGCAGATCCGTATGCTTGGCCAGCCACGGCAGCGTCGTCTCCCACGTCAAGTCCGCCGCGGTGCCAAAGAACAGCTGCTTGCCCACGCCCGAGTTCGCATCCGGCTTCTTCTCCTTCTTATCCTCTTCCTCCTCGGGAGGTCTCGCCGACTCCACCACCAGCTGCGCTTCGATGCCAACGCGCTCATCGTGCTCGCGCTTGCTGGGCACGGGCGCATCGAGCGTTAGCACGACGTACCGGTACCGGTCTTTGAGCTTGGCGATGCGCGCCAGCATGGCCTCGCTCTTGGCGCGGTTGGTCTGCACGTACAGCTGCCAGCCAAAGAGCTGGCCCGGCGCGGCGTCGGCGACGATCTGCTCGGGTGTCATGGACGCGTTGTGCGACACGATCTGCATGGCGCCGAAGCGGGCGATGCCGCGCGCGATGCCCGCCTCGCCGTCCGGGTGCGCCAGGCGGGCCATGGCGGCGGGGGAGACATACAGTGGCGTCGAGACCAGGTGGCCCAGGAGCGTGGTGGCGGTCGAGGCTTTGGTGACGTCGACGAAGACGCGCGGGCGGAGGAGAATGTTGCGGTAGGCCAGGTTGTTGAGGGCTTTGGAGTGCAGGTCGTCGGCGGCCGAGAAGTAGTAGGCCCAGCATTTCTTGGAGATTTGCGTCTTCGCGGCGGCTTCAATCTCGTCGAGGTTGAGGAGCGTGTGGAGGGGAGGAGGCGGGGCTTTTGGCTCGTCTTGTTGGGCCCGACCCTGGGCGCTCTGCCCCTGGAGCTTTTTGAGGCTTTCTGGGTCTACTATCCCCAGCTTCGCTTCGGGCTTCAGGTTCTCCTCAAGGATCCCCGGCGGGTGGATCGGGTCGTACTCAGCTGTGGCATCGCGGCCGGCGAGCTGGAGGATGATCTTGGACCCGCCGGGGTGCTCGGGGAGGAACTCAGTCACGTCGTAGACATTGCCGTGAAGTACGACCCAGCAGCTTTCTGGGGAGGTATGCTTGGCAACTAGAGAGGGAGCGGAGCTGTTAGCAGATGCGCGATGTCCGATGTCAAAGAGCGTCTTGCCTTCCTCTGCACTGAATACCTTCGCCATCTTGAGACCAGACGGACCTCGTTAGTTTTATATATTACCCAGACATGCAAGCGCGCTCGACGACGGGCTCAAGGGGGGACGCTGGTTGCATTTTAAGACCGGACCGGACCCTCTGCGGAGTCGGAGCGGTGTCAATTGGATGCACAGTGATTGGGTCCAGCATTCCCCTGAATCCGCTTGTGCTCGGTTGGTTCGTCGCTGTGGAGCAGCGGTTCTCATCACCGGAAGATGGGCATCGTTCGGCTCGGGATAATTGGAGGGCAAATCGCCTCCGCTCTCGGCAGCTCGCTGAATGCTGCGCCGATGCTTGGCAACGGCCCCAGGATCTTGAGCTTGAGAATCAGAGGTTTCTTATATCGCATTGTCCACCAAGGTCGGCGCGCCTAGGTAAGAAGTAAGCCCGATCACTGTGATATTCGAAGACGCGGAAAACCTACCTGTCAGACTCCCGTGCTCATCGGCCTCTGGACTTGCTGCATGTCGGCAAGTTAGCCCCCACATAACCTTGAACACAGGGTGGTGGCCTGGCCATGAAGACGTGACCACCATCTCTCGGAGTGATCCAGCCATGCATTAAAGGCACATACAGACCGGTAGTCCGTGGGGAGCAGCCTAGGAATGGGTTCTGTTCGCTTCTCTCGAGACAGCATTTTAATCCCTTCCTGACATTCATCGCCTCAATCAAGCAGAATGGGTCTGAACTGTCGGGAGCCCCACAAGACGATAAATGGACTGCCACTCCGTGTAGGTCTGCCGTCAGACTGACGTGCCCCGCCCCCGCCATTCATCCAGCTCCAGCTCAGCTGGCTCAGCCCCGTGAACCTTCATGGCCCATCCCATCTGTTGTTTGACAATTTCCATCGGGTCATCATCCTCCACTTTGGAGTCGCGTATCATCCAATCTCCAACAACCTTCTACCAGCTGCAGAATATCGACAGGGCGCCTATCCGCCAGCCCCGCCCGCCTCACACTTCGTCCTGTGCATGGGCGCCTTGCTCTCCAAGATGACAGCTCGGCCGAAGCTTCGGATCCTCTGTTTTGGCGACTCGCTCACGGCCGGTTACGCATCCTGGGGCGCCGTTCACCACCCATACAATGGAATGTTGGAGCAGATGCTGTCCATGGCCTTCCCCGACCTCAAGATCGAGACAGTTGAGGATGGTTTGCCCGGCGCCACGGTCAAGTCTGCATTTCAGACTCGCATGAACGCACAGTGTAGGTGACACCCTTTTTGCCCTGCGTTCCGCAGTATCAAGCCGTGGCACGGTAACCGGACACTGACTGGCATGGCGCGGATTCGCGCAGTCCTCGCTCCGAGCAAGAAGAAGAAGAAACGGAACGACGATGGAGGAGACGATGGCAAGCACTACGACTGGGCAATTGTGTTGGGAGGGACAAAGTACGTTACTTTCCCGTCACTTACAACACACGAACAACCCAACTAACGGAACTCACCTCAGCGACCTCGGCATGGGGTTTCCCCCTGAAGCCATCTTTGAGTCCCTCAAGGAAGTCTGGGACGTCCCGCTCTCGCATAAGTGCAAGGTCCTCGCTCTCACCGTCCCCGAGGCCGGGGTACAGGGCATAGCCAGAGAACGAATTGACGCCTCGCGCAACAAGCTGAATGACCTCATCAAGGGGTACAAGCGCGAGGGCTTGTGAGTCCATCCCCCCTTCCCCTTTGCCCCTTCTCACCATTCGCTAAGCTCGGCCGCCTTCCAACAGCCACGTCTACGACCTGCAGAAAGCCGTGCCCTACTGGTCCATGTCGCAGTCGGACCGCAAGAGGTACTGGGACGATCACATCCACTTCACGCCCGACGGGTACGACTTGATTGGCAATAAGGTCGGCATAGCGCTGGTCAGCCTGCTGGCGCAGGAGCGGGGAAACGATCCGGCGCGGCCGCAGAACCGGCGGCGCATGTTCAAGGACGACGACACTAAGTTTGAGGAGGAGGTAGGTGATCCGTCGGCTATCGATCAGGGCTATGTCGTAGTCCGGCGGGCGGATCTGGAGTAGGTCGCGGCGGGTGAAATATTCTGTGACGAGTGATGATTGGGATACCTGGATAGGACTGGCGTTTGGGTATACCGGGAATACAAGACCGAGAGAGGTATGGCTGGACAGGTACCGGATTGGGAATAATTGGATTCTTGTGTTCGTCAGTCATCATTACATCTATATCTCTAGACCGGCCGTCTTGGGCCTACATGTTGGTTGGGTAACCGTTGGGTAACCGTCAAGGGAGGGATTTGAGCCCAGGGGTCACACACCTGGGCGGTTGTCTCATACCGCAATCTGAGCCGCAACAAAATCCGGAAACTCTACGTGCAGCGCGTCGGCAAGCCGCTCCACATCCTCAGCCAGGGACTGCACATTGCCATCCCACCGCCGCATCTCCTTGCCCACTGGCACCTCAGCCCGGCCACTGCCCTTTTCACCGGACGCCTCACCCCCTTCAAACCATATCATCCGGTCAATCTGATCAATCGACCCGGCCAACCGCCCCTGCTCGATCATCTTGGCCGTTGTATCCTCAGCCTTGTCCCCATCCAACCCGAGCAACAACCCCAGCTCATCAAACCCAATATTGCTATACAGCCGACTGGCACTCAGCAGGTTATGCTCCACGACGGCCTTGGCCAGCACCGTCGACCCGTCGGCCGTCTTGGCGAGCTGGTGCGGCGCGAGCCCTTGCGCAAACTTGTCCACCTCGGCGGTGCTCAGCAGCCGGTCGAGGAACATCTTCTCAAGGATACCGTGCTCCTCCACCAGCTCCGCCGCCCGCTCGTCCTTGTACAACAGTGCCAGCAGCCGGCTGCGCAAAGGCCCCGCGGGCGCGAGCACCGCGCACTTGATGGCCATGCCCAGCGTGTGCAGCCGCTCTTCCTCGGCGATGTCGGTCGATAAAGAAATGTGATGGTAGCTCTTTGCGGCCTGCAGGAACTGCCGGTTCGAGTCCTGGATGCGGGCGGCCGACAGGCGGAAGTGGAGCTGGAGTTCGTGGTCATCGACGGTGTGCATAACGTTTTTGAGCTTGTTGAGGTACGTCTCGGCCGAGGTGGTGTCGTCTACCTCGAGGTAGTTGCGCACGATGCGAATCCAGATGACAGCCTTCTCGGCGTCGGGGATGCGCCGCTGAGAACTGTCGAGCGGGATCTCGGAGAGGAGCTTGGCGGCCGAGAGAAAGTCTTCGTTGGCTTCGTGCGCGGTGGCGATCAACTCGCGGAGAGAGGCAGATTGTTCGACAAGAGATGAGGAGAGTGGAGAGGTTGGAATGGTGCGCACGACATGTTGGCCGACTTCGATCCAAAGATCGTGGTTCTCGAGAGCGCGGAGAGCGGCGATGAGGTCGGTGATGAGTGTGCGCGTATTGACAACACCAAGATTACCGGCGAGCACGGCATCGACAAATGCGATCAGGTCGGCGGCAATGTGGTCTGGTGACGAGAATGACTGAAGGTTTGAGAGGATAGATTGGTAGTCTGCCGCCTGAGAAGACTGGCCTGCCTGTTCCAGTGCTTGGGCGACTTTAGGCGACGCCATGTTGGCAAGTCCGTTCAACTTGAAATTTGAAACTGTATTCTTGCCGTTCTGGTAGGAAAGCCTGAGATCCGTCGACAACTGGAAAGACGAGTGCTTCTTCCAGGTTGTGGAGAGCTTGAAGTCGTGGTAAGGCTGAGCGTACGGGAAGCTCAGCCTGCCGTGGGGCTTGGTGGGGCTGCCAAGCACCGCGAATCCGCTCAAGTGGAGCTCACTTGCAAACCCGAAGCGGCCGGAATTGACGCTGACGCCCCGAGACTGAAGTGGCTCAAGATTTCTACTTTATCCTTTGTGGCGCATCACACAAGGCTTTTTTACTGTAATGCTTGGTTAGCAACAAGCCGTGAAATCAAACGCAGAGTCATTAGACAGCATCTTCTCGGTTGTCGCTGGGATTCGGACCATGAGATGGTTACCGGAAACGGGGTGACAAGTGAGGAGGCTGCTGCGTAAATACACATGTACACGGATGGCATTCAGATCAAGGGGCAAGTGCAGTGATTTAAACAGTTTCCAACATTCTAGGAGATTGGAGAGGAGTCCCTCGTATTCTCTTCTGTACATTACGTACGGAATTGTATTTGAGCTGAAGCGTTTCAACGCTGATGTGAACATCGTACGATGCTCGGCCGGCAGAACAAAACAGGCGAAAACATTCTTTCCACGGAACCGTTTATCTCAATTGAGGCTTCGAGCTCGAGCTGACACCGACTGTGAAACCGATGCAATGCCAACGAACAGTGCGCCAGAGCTGGGTATTATCTCAATCATCCCCTTACATGATTTTCCTACCATATGAAATATCACGCTGGATCGTGCTGACATCTAAATCCTTCCCAGATATCCGAACTCCTCCTCCTCTTCCTTCCATCACATAACCCACCACCCACCGCACACCGTCTCTGTGCCTTTGACATAACATCCCACCGCTCGTCCCATGACTAACCCCAGGCCCATCGAGATTAACCTCACTCAGTGCATAATCAATGCTGCAAAACAACCTCCTTCCCCTTCTCCCAATGCGTCAACCCCTCGCGAATATTAACCCAATACCTTAATCGGACCGCCTCCCCCTTCGCCGCCTCCAAATCCCCCTTCTCGAGCGCCTCCCCGATGACCGTCTCGCTCCGCTCGATCCTCGCCCCGTTCTCCTCCACCAAACCAGCCAAGTCCTCCTCTTTCTCTGCCATCTCCATCGCCTCGCGCGCCTCAAGCACCGTCATGAGCAGTTCCGGGTCCGGCTCCGAGTGCTTCCCAGCCTCGTCCCCCTCCAGATCGATGCCGTATTGCTCGCGCAGGAGGTACTGCGCGCGGAGGAGCGGGTTGGAGAGGGTCTTGTAGGCGGTGTTGATCAGAGCCGAGGTTGCTTCGGCGCGTAGGCGGGCGGAGGATTTGGTGCTTTTGTCTTGCTGCGAGGCAGCAGAGTTGGAGTGCGAGGCGGAGTGGTAGAAATCTGGGTGTGAGGCGGCCTGCAGGCGGAGGAACTCGCGCCGGAGAGCGCGGACGTCGATGTGGAATTTTCCGGCCGGGGGTGGGCCGTCCGGGAGGGTCTCGGGGAAAAGGGCGTAGTAGGCTGGTAATTGAGGAGATGAAGGGGAGGAATGTGGTTGCGGTGCGGTCGCGGTCGAGGAGCTGGTTGAGCCGTGGCGGAATTGTGAGACAGAGGACCAGCGGTGCGTGGCCGGCCCCTGAATGTGCTGTGTCACGGCGGTCCGTAGGGACCGGCGGGCTGGTGCTGTTGCCGCCACTCGTGATGCCGCGTTCTGGCTGGGAAGTCCCACTACCGCGTCTCTCCGACATGCCACGCAGAGGTGGGCGGCTGCGCGCCTGGTGCTGGAAACCAGTGATGTTCTCATATTGCCTCAACCTTCTCTTCCCGCTTGAATTTCCAGCAGTGTCTCCTTGAGTAACTCTGATTGGAATAGAGAATCTGAGGTTGATAGACGTGAGTTTGGGGTGGGGTGACCTCTAGTTGTAGTGCCAGGTGTCCTTGGACAAACTTGGGATCGTTTGTAGGTGCTGCGGGAAAGAAAATTGGTGCTGCAGACACGCGAGCAGAGAGTGACGTCGACAGTCTCCAACAAGCAACTCCGACAGAGCCGACGGCCGAGAAGCGAAACCCTAACCCGTACGACTTAACTTACCCCAGAGTTTCAAGCACTGACCAAAAACATCCTCCCGCTACTTCAGGCAGTCCAGACCGAAGACGGTCATAAGCCGCTGTGACTACAATGGAAATTACAAGTATCTAATATACACCCCAAACGCTTTTTTCCCGAAGTCATCACATCATGTTACAGTACTCCCCTCAGGAAAGCACCACCCCCCTCCACCTCCCGCGTTCCTGATGCCACCACCTTTCCCGATCTTTCTTATCCACAACCATCCCACTATACGTATTCCACCTCCCGAAACACCCTTCCCTCCTCCCCTTCCCATGCCCACCAGCCCCAGAACCCTCGAAATCACTCTCCCCATCCCTGTCTCCCCCTTTCCTTCTCCCCTTCCTTCCCTCCTTCTCACCACCACCAGCACCATCAAAATAACCAATCATCTCGCCTCCATCATCACGGATCATATCCTCCACCGTCACCAACCCGCCACTCTCATCGGTCCCGCCGGTGAGGACGTCAGGGAAGAGGACATAGCTTATCCTGCTCTCCACACAACCCAGAAAAGCGCCGACCCCATGCTTCTCCACCACCGTGCCCTGCTCGTCCACCACATTGACAAAATACCTCGGAACCCTCTGCGCCGCCTCCAACCGCGCCTGCGCGGCGAGCCTCGCCTGGAGGAGATTGCTGTTGTCGCGCGGGATCAGCGCGTCGGGCGGCGGAAAGAGCGGGCTCGCGGGCGGTGTGCTGATGCTGTTGCCGGCGCCATTGCCGTGGCTGCTGCCGGGTCGCAAACCGCTACTGCTTCCGGGCCGGAAACCGCTGCTGCTGCCGGGACGAAAGGTATGCTTGAAACTGCCGCCCGTGCGAGTGGACGAGAAGCTGGAGCTGTTTCTTATGTGGCCCCAAGGAACTCCGTTTGCGAAGGGCGTCTGGACGTTGCGGTAGCGGTCGGCGGGCTGGTCGACACGCTCGCGTGGCGCGCAGAGCGTCTGGAAGAGACCTTCTGGATCGTTGGGCGTGCAGAGGCGTCGAAGCGAGGGGAAGCCGCCTGCGACGATGCTACGGGCGAGTACTGCGTCTGCGTGGGTCGTGGTGTTGGGTAAGTAGGGAATGTCCCAGTGGAGATTGCGGAGGGAAGCAGAGGCCAGGTATGGGAAAAGCATGATGAATTCGTCTGCAGGCATCTCGGGGGCGTACGTCTGCACGATATTGAAGGTCGAGAGGGCGGTAAGGTAGGAGAAAATGCGGGCGATTGCCGGAAGAGATCCGACGTTCATGTGGATAAGAGTGAGTGTTACGAGAGAGGCGCTGGTTGGTCGTGTTGCTAGGGATGAGAGACCGGTGGTGGTTATGCCTGTGCAGTGACTCAGTGATAATTTTCTGAGCGTGGGCAGGGAGAGGAGGTGAGTGTCGTTGAAGGTAGTATGCGGCACGTGGGAGAGGTGGAGGTGTTGTAGTGACGGCAAAGACCGAATGGTACATTCCAGCAGGTTGGGTGGACTCAGTGCTGCCCCTGGCTGGCAGTGAACGACAAGGGTCGTCAGTTGCCTCCAGTTCGAATGAAACCCCAGGAACAACTGCGACTCCTGCGGCTGCAGGCCGACCGGATTCCAGCGGTCGTTGTGTGAGGGCCTCCTTTCTTGGCGCTGGGACGGCGAGGGCTCCAAAATCCAATCCATTTCCTTCAACTTGGACCGCGTCGACAGAGCATGAAACAACCGCTGGAACGAGTGGTCATAAGTTGGGTAAAATCCAACCAGCCGTTCGAGGTTTGGACACGCCATCACGACCGAAGCAACCAGGTCGTTGTACGCAACGACTCCGACAGACAAAGGTCGTGCTGGTGGCTTGAGCGACCGCACAATAACTGCAATCTGCGGGTTCCCCCTTAACGTCCGACGCAGTAATACCAGCCTCGAACCATAAGCCGTCTTTGTCCGCTTCTTCATCCCCGGGCCCTCATGCCCGACTAGCTGGATATGTCGATACAGAGCCTCGCGGGCGTACTTGAGAAACTTGCGGGCACTCATGGCAACCGAGCAGCAGTCCCGCATCCAACAAGTAGCACAGCTGCCGCTTCCCGGCTGCAGATGCAGCTTGCTGAGTTCCTTCAGAATCATCTCCAAAACCTCGCCCGGAAGCGCAGCGAACAGCTCTCCAGGCTGCGCTTTCCGGCGCTGCTTGATCGGCGCGGGTCTCTGCCACAGATGATGTTGGCCGGCGGTGCCATTCTGCAAACCCCAAGCCACAGGCGACGAGGCCGGGCGCTGGTTTTTGCCCGGGCTGTTGGGCCACGAGTCGATACTCGTCTGGCTGCTGGTGGCCGACACGCTGCGTATCCGGCCGTCAAAACTGTCGCGGCCGGACATGACACTGCTGGTGGCCGAACTGGCGCTGCTATTCGACAGGCGCCGGGGTTTGTTGTATCCTCCTGCGCGCTCCGGTCCTGGCAACGGGCCATCTGGGAGCGCCGTTGGCCTGTGAATCATGGGCGCGTGCGCCATGTCGTGATCTCTGGGTGCCCGTTGTGAGCTTATAACCTCTTGTATCCTTGCGCTCGCCCGCTGCGTTCTGAGCATAGATTCTTGTCCTTCGGCTGGGTACATGGCGAGCGGACCGTCTGAGCGGGTCCGTGGCGGCCGGAGGGAGGGCGGCGCAGCAGTCGGCTTCGCTCCTGAGGATGGAACACTAGAAGACGAATTTCGAGGTCGCGTTGACGGCGGGTTCAACAGCGCATCATCGTCAGGGCTGATCGTATACCATCGGAGGACCGCAGATGCAGAGAACGTGTGGCGGTGGTGGACTTTGTTGAGAAACGTCGGCGGAGGACTGTTCAAGCGGTATCAGACCATCGGATTAGCGCCGAGTCTCCTTTTTCCGAGAGGTATTCAGGAGGTCAGAAGGAAAAGACTAAAAAGAGAGAAAGGGGGGCCAAGATCTTGTACGGAGTACCGATGAGACCATGCTGTGGGCGGAGTCCGCTTCTTAAAATGACATGCAGATCTCAGCCGCATCTCACAGCGGCAGGCAGTCACAAGTGAGTTCGGGCTGCTTCCTATGGTGTGTCTGAGCGGAGCTTGACTCAGAAGTGAGGTGAGGTGCTGCCTGCAGCCTCGAGAGGCTCTTGGTGCCGTGTCAATGCGTTTTCTGCATGCACTGCAACTCAAAAGGAGAAACGTCTGGCGCGCGAGGCGGGATCGCGAGGCAGCGTGACGCCAAGGCGCTTGCTTGAAGGTTCGGGTTGGCCAGGTGGGCTAACCGCTTTGGACGAGCTGGTGTGGGAGTGGACGGGGGATAGCGCCACGAAGAGAATGGTGGAGATTGGGTACGCACTCGCGTGGTCTCCCACGCGGATGCTGACTGGTGTGAGCAGGCAAGTGTTCTCTCTTGCTTTAGAGGAAAGTTCGAGCTGCTGATCCACGGCAGCCAGATCCAGTTTCACAAGCATGGCGTTGTGAGCTTGTGTTCCGCCGGACTGATGCTTGGGGTTCTCGTCGGGGAAAAGGGGGCTCCCCGATCTGGAGATTTTCCAGAACCCAGAAGCAGCAATGACAGGGGCACAACAAGGATCAGGGGTGATCCCCCAGTTTAATTCCCAACGCTCCTCCACCAATGTCTCCCGCCGGGGAAGGAAATCGGCGCGCCGGGGTGGCAGGAATCGACGGGATAATTGGACATCGAAGAAAGGAAAAGGCCTGCTCACCGAGACTGCGATTTGCTTTTATTCTTCGCATCGCCGGGACCTGCGGGAGCGGCGGCCACCTTCTCAACATCCGTCTTGTCTTCTGGTGCTCGAGGTTTGGCGGCCGAGGAGCCAGGCGCCTTCTTCCGAAGACGATTGACCTCTGGGGCATCGGCAGCCGAAAGCGAATTCCTCCTTCCGGTCACGAGCTCTCTCAGAGACGACAAGGAAGTTTCACTATTCCGTCTTTTCCGCCCACTCCATGGCCATGACGACTTTTGCGGCGGGGTATCTGTCGAGCTGCTCGACTTGCTAGCCATGGCTTCAGGTGCTTCCAACGCTCGCCTAGTTTGGTGGAGGGATGCCACGATGCGGTCGACCCCAGGTTATCGGGCCGGAAATAGAGAGGTCTCAGCCGCGCATCCTTCGATCGTCAAGTTTGGCGGTTTGTCGATTTGAGTTGCCGGATGAATGTGGGTGGACAAAATTCGCAAATGGACTGATCATCCATACGGCGGGCCAAACCTGGTTTTAATTCTTCGGCCAACCCCACAGCCTGCCTCCTCCGTCTCTGTTCTATGTCGACTTGCGTCGGCCAGCATCAGCGTCCGCCAGAACAATGCTGCGAGAACGGGATGCTGTGGGTTACACGCTCATGCTCAGCTGGCAATCCGTTGCGCCTCTCGAAGCCGGGCACGCTGATTGGTATACAACGTCGAAGTGTCGATGCGCAGCGGCATGAAGGTGTCGGATGCTCACCCAGCTCTCTCATAACTGAATAGCAGTCGTCCAAGGCGATATCGGCCGTGAAAGTCAGGAAGAAGGCCAGGCGAAGAGCGGTGGGGGTGGGCGGTGGGCGGTGGGAGGTTAAAAATTGCTACTACCTACACAGTACGATCGCGAAGTATGGGGTACAAGCTTCGTCGTCTGCTCGGCGGCCTGGGGAACGGGCTGCATCGTGTCAGTCTGCGGCAGGCTGACCAGACGGTTCGCAGAAAGTATTGTCCAAAACTCCACACAGAGTCAGCTCAGGGCAGCGGGTGATTCTGACGATCAGTTCAGGAAGGAACTGCGGGGGTCGGAAATGGCGGGGCTCCGTGCACAAGCTGAAAGCCCAGCAGGCTCGATGGCACGTTGTGCCGCTCAAGTATACTGCACTTGTTTTCCAGCGATTCGGTGACAATGTTGCGAGTCTGTCAAACCCTTTCTTGGGAGCTCCATGTCCAAGACATTTGGCCTCAGAAAACGGCTTCGAGGCCTCGTATCCAGCAAGCTGGAGGAGCGCTAATGCACGCTGGCACGCTGCCTGCAGAACCAGTGGCGAATTTGCACAGTTATCCCCCAACACTGAGCTCAAATGTGGAAGGAGCATAGTATGGATCGGAGAAAAAGGGCAGTAGAGGATTGGAAAGACATTCAGGTGTGCTTAATGCTAAACTCAAGGTGAATAACTACTGCATCGTATTCCGACATTAATGCAGGGGCTAGTTTGACAAACGATCACTTTCTGCCTTGTGCCCTCTGGAGATGCGCATTTAACTGATCGCAGAACAACCCCAACCCTCAACAGCAAGACCTTGAACCCTTCATCTCCAATTGAACTTGACATCTTCTAAGTTCAATCCCACTCAATTTCCAAACCCTTAGCAAGCCAAGACGCTCACAACCCCAAGTCCAAGGATCTCACATCCGCAAAGTCCTGACCTCCATAGCCTCTAAGCTTCCCAGACTACAGGTAGTCTTCATACTAGTGCTGGATCTTCCACTTGGAAAACGTTCTAGTACGAGTTCTCTAGGCCAGGTGACAACACTAAATAGATACCGGCCGAGTGTGACCAAGGCAGGTACCAAAAAGACATGTTTGCAAGCCACCTTGCAGCGCGCTGGGGCGCTTCCTTGAAACTATCCCTCCGTATAGTACTTGACAGACTTCTGTTCAGCTCTCAACCTGAAGCACTGAAGACTATCAAATCAAATGGTCAGCTTAGCGGTGCATAACCAGACATCATATACCCCTTATAATCCACTAGTCGCCAACAAGTGTCATCACTCCAATTTAACTTTCATCCGCCTCAGCAAACCGTACACGCGCTCTCTTCTTCGGAGCAGCAACACCACCGTCGCCAACACCACCTTCATCAGGGACTGGCGTACCCACGGCGGACCGGACTGGAGTACCCGACCAAGAATGAGGAGAAGTCCTCTTCCGGGCGCTCTCCGGAACAACCACCCTGATCTCACCGCCATCCACCTTCGGTTTCTTCCTCACAGGCGACTCATTCACGCCCACCAGGTCCTGATCCGGATGCGCCAGCTCCCTCCCGAACCCGCGCCCAAAGAGAAACAGCGGCGTCTCCAGTAGCGCCATCTGCCCCGGCCCACCATCATCCCCATCCCCATGGCCATCGGGCATCGGTAAGATCCGCGCATTGAGAATCCACTCATAGATGGACTTGTCGTCCAATATCGACCGGCACTTCCACTGCTCGGCCTGCGTCATCTCTGCGCGGCGCCGCACAATGACCTCCTCGACGGACCCGCGCAGCACGAGCGTCTCAACCGAAACGGGTTTCTTCTGGCTGATGCGGCGGGCGCGGCCGATGGCCTGCGCCTCGACCTGCGGGTTGAGGACCGGGTTGATGACTGTCCGACATAATCAGTCATTTCTTGCCTGTTAACGTGACTGGGGAGTATTCCGGAAATAAAAACATGCTGCTTTGGGGACAATCCGACTTCCGTGACGACCGACATCTGGAAAGGGGGGGAATGAACGCGAATTCGACTTACAGTAGATCCGCGAGGCCGACTGCATGTCCAACCCGAAGGCGGCTTGTGTGATGTCCATGAGGAGGACCCTGTAGCGAGGGGTCGGTACATTTGTTGGTTAGCGTATCGAGTGGTTTCTTGCAGGGAAAGCGGGGAGCAGTATGCTTACCGGAACTTGGGGTTGTGGTTGAAGGTCGCGACGTACTGCGCTCTTCGCTCTGGGGTCAGGCCTTTGGCGTAGATGAGGTGCTGGATCTGAAGCTGCGTCTGCTGTTAGCATAGCTGCATGCGGAAGGAAGAGAAGCACCCACTATTTCAAGAACGCCGGCAAGGTAGTATGCCACATTATCGTTCTCGTAGAAGATGATGATCTGCTCCGACTCTTGATACTTCACAATCTGGTCGACCAAGTAGGAGAGCTTTGCGGAGGCTGTCGAGATGAGCTGGGCCTGGGCGAGGGGTGCGGCGATACCATGGTCTTCCCCAACCGCAGGCATATCATCCGTCTTCAGTGAGCCTTTGCCCATGATGGCAGAGCGCCGTCTGCTGGGACTGCTGTTATCCTGGCCCAACTGGGTGTTTCCAGCAAGGGGCTTCGGCTGGTTCTTTTCCTCGGCTTCCGGGTCTTGGTCCTCAATCTCTTTTGACCGTTCTTCGCGGCCGCGCTCCGCAAACCGACCGCTCTCAAATGTCATCTGCAGCGAAACGGGAGCATCGACCATGGGGTGAAGGAATTTCTGCAGCGCAGAGATCATGCGCGAGTCTGTGCACATTGGGTCACCGTCCTTCAGATCGAGGGACCATTCGCGGCCCGCGTTCCAGGGGAAGTTTCTGACGTAGAGAGGGACTTCGCGGAACAAGTTGGCACATCGCTTAATGTCGTTTTTTGCAGCGAGTCGGCCGAATTCCACTGCATCTCGCAACAGAGCCTCGTCTGCGGGACTTATTGGCACTCTGCCTTCTTTCGAGAAATCCTCAGCAGTTTCGATGGCTTTGAGGATCTGCGGGGGCGAGAAGAACGAACCGCCGAAAAAACTGGCTTGTCGGAGGTTGGATACAAGTTCAAGAAGCGCTTTTCTCTGTCGGGGATGGAAAAAGTAATCCTGGTCTGCCCGCTGCGACTGGACGGCGTTGAAGATAATCATCATGGAGAAAAGATTGAGGACAAGGCGATCCTGAAAGGAACCGTCAAGGTAGACAATCTTCTCGTCGACGGTCGGCAAGAGATCTCCGACCTCGGATAGACGGTGCCGAATGATCAGAGACTCGAGCGTTTTCTTGAGACAATCTTCCCGGCCGGTGCTGCGGGACGAGTGCTGGGGCTGCATCACATAGACGTTCCAGTCCGCCGGAGAATCTCCAGCTTCAGTCCACTGGTTAGCCCATGGTCGCATCTGCAGGTACAACATCGCAATCGAGCCGATACGTTTCAAATCCTCCTTCTCAAGATCAGCCGAAGTTTTCGCCTGGCGCTTGTTGGGTTGACGTTGCCCGCTGTTGAGGTGTGGACTTGGAGTGTCATCAACTCCATAGAGGCCCTTGGACGGAGTCCCAGTGACTATCCACCTCGCGGAGATATGAAGATGGTCAATGATGTGATGCATGTTGCTCTTTCTACTAGCCGTAGCATGGCCTAGCTTGTGCCCTTCATCAACAATGCAGCGCTTGAAGTGGATCTGTGCTAGAGAGTTCCGGAGGACCTGGGCGCCATTCCGGTCGACAGCCAAGTCCTCCCACATCTTGTCAAAGCGCGTGGACGAGAACAAGATGATGTCGTAGTCCGCAAGTTCCGTGGCTGGCGGTAAATCCTGTTTCTTGTCAACGGCGAAGACCCTCAGACCGACGGTGTGCTTGGCGATCTCCTGCTTCCATTGTTGTACGAGGTTTGGAGGCACGATGACAAGAGAACAATGGCTGAGAAAGATATGTGTCGGCGCGGGCGAAACAGTTGACTGCCGGCCTGGCGTTTCCCGACGACGTGGCGGAGGGGGCACGCTGTAAACGCCAGGGTTGCGATGGATGGCAGCGACACACAGAGGGTACTCTATGCTACCAGGTTCAAGAGCGCCAAACACCGACCTCCAAGGCACCGAGTTGCGAGTGATGCACGCTGCAGCCATATCCGCAAGGCTTCCAATTCGACGGCGAATTGCTGGCTCATTTGTCCGTAAATGATCCGGGCCAGCGGAAGGGATATGTCTGGTGGCCAGAATGAGGGCTAAACATATGAGCGTCTTGCCAGCGCCCATCTCTTCAGCAAGAATTCCGCCGCAAGGCGCGTCGTAGTATCTCGGTTCTCGGAGGCAGGTGCCGGTAACTGCATCGTAATACCACGGCCTCCCAAGTGGATCTGCTACTTTCACAAGACGCGGATCCAAAACTTGCTGCCCTTGGGTCTCCCGGTGGAGCATCAATGCGGCGGACCGGCGCTGATAAATGTACAATTTGGTGATAAGGCCGGGTATGTCGCTGCTCATTAGCCTGTAGGCTGCATCGCGAGCATCGAAGTCGTGGATGTCGTCGGGATTTGGGTCTGGCGAGGGAATGGTGTTGAACATCTGAAGCAGGGATTGGCCCTCGGTATCTGGTGAGTCGGCTGTTGTCTCCGGGCTGTGAAAAAGGCACGGCCTCGGAGACCGATCACTTCTCGGGCGACCTTGCCAGGTATCTCTCGAGAAGTCCAGCTGCCCGAGGAGAGCCAGTCTCGTCTTTCGCAAAGAGGCATCCGAACGGGAAATGGTGCGGTTGTCGACGTCATCAGGGAGGAGGTAGACTCGAACGATGGGATATCCAAAATTATCGAGACTCACACTGAGACTCATGTGGACCCAGCCCTTGCGCAAAAGGTCTGCATATGATGCGAGGCATCCGGAGGAATAGATGAGGAAATCTTGGACCTCTTGCTCCAAAAAGCCAGACTGGAAGGCGGCTTTGACGGGATTCGTCAGTGGGCCATGGTCAGTCTGGCTGTTGATCCTTCTATCCTGCGCAGACACATGCTCGAATGGGCCGAAGTGAAGCCACTGCCCTGGCTCTACCGATGCCCAGATTCCGTCAGTATGTCGGCTTTCCGACTCGATGACCAGGCATCCAGCCGCGACGTAGCGACTAAGCTTCGCCGCGAGCATTGTTCCCGGTTACGGAGTCAGGAATGACTCGAAGGGCTTATTCGTTGCAGCACTCGAGACTCGGCCATTATCGAGGCGATAGATCTGTAAGTCGCGATATCGCGAGAGTCGAGAGCCTCAACCGAGTGTTGCCTGGAGTGTGAAGCAAGCCACTGCCAAGCGATAAACTGTCAGATGAGGCTGAAAGAAGTCCGGGGTGCATGTGGCTCAGGTTGAATGGTGGAGACTGTCTGGGGGGTAACTTCCAATCTCTCGTTGCAGCTTCTCTCACTGCAACTGATCCCCCGTCTTCACAGGAAAATATAACCGACCTTAGCCGACCTCAAAAAGCCACCAACTGCTTGAACCCGCAAGTCGATGGGAGGAGTCTTGGACTTCGAGCAATGACCACAAAACAAATCAACTTTAACAAGCCAACCTTATCAAATCCTCTTCCTTGAACAATGGCACGCCTCCGAAGTACCAGACGAATTGACTTTCCAGGTTGACCGTTCTCAAGTTCAAGGAATTTGATAACGACTTGGACACAAAGCCGATATCACAAGTACATACAGGATCTCCGCCCCCCCATCCCCCCCTCCTCCGGCCCCCGGCTTACTGGCACCCTGCGGTGAGTCTCAGCGCCCGCACAACACTCACAACTGGGACGGCTATCCCGACTTTTTCCCCGTTCCACTGACAGACGCGCCCGACGCGCCCCGTGTTTACACAACTCGTTCTCTCGTCGTACCAGTGATCGGCTCCGCACCAAACAAGCCAAACAATCGTCACTTGTAAGGGGTCAATGACAAGCTCCCAGAGGATGGCCGCCCTGACTGGGAAATCTCTTCAACAGGGATTGGATCCCGTCATCGACCGTCTAGATGCTGTCGTCCGCATTACTGGCGCGCTGCGCTAAACACATCCTCGGTGCTGTGGCGTGCTCGGCTGATCTCTACACAAATACACACAGCGCGGCTTCCGCCAGCCACTCTCAGCTAGACAGCAAGCGGACGAGAGGAGCAGCAGGCTAGCGGGGCTTCTTTTCTCAGCATTCTCCGTCCCATCTTGAAGTCCACTCAAGTCAGAGCGTGAATTCCTAGGTCGGGGAACGGGGAGGCGGTTCAACCAGCGACATCTCAGACCATGAACGGGTGATGGGGCGAATTCTCAACACCCACGTTTTCTCGGAAATCTCTCAAGAAGTGCGCCTGCACCCACTCTGAGAGGACATCGAGGCCGTGATTCCATCCCGAGGCACCCCCCGAACCCGCATGGAGTTGTGATTTTCTTTCCCATCAAAGCCCAGGACGGCCCCGCATTCCGACATGCCAAGCGTCGCCAAGACCCGGACCACAACACGGGTCCGTGATGTTCGACTGCATCTTTCCGGATCCAGACAGGAGTGCTTGTCTCAGTGATCGACCGACTGCTCAGGCGCTGGGGTCAGTGCTCTCGTCTTGGCTATGCATTCTCCCCTTTCTGCTACTGCTACCGTTTTGTCAAGCGGGGCGGAAACGGGTTTCCTTTACACTCTCCTCTCGATGGTCACGGGCAGAGTCCCTGCGCATTGAGTGCTTTGACAGGGGCGTGGCCGACGAGTGTGCCTCGCTTCATCTCAATAACCAAAGGGACCAAAGATCCGCCAGTAATGGAATCGCAAATCACCCCTTCACAAGCTGTGTGGGGGAAGGACGTGCTTTTTGGACCTCAGCACTGCGGGTTGCCCGCCCGACGGCTGCAGACGACATTGGTTACCGTCACCGGAAGCAGAGGCTGTATGCCCGCTTGTGCAGATGCCTGCTACCAGTCTGACTTATCAAGATCGAACTTAGGTCCTCGGCTCAGAAACACGGCCCGGATACAAGAGCCAGTGCCTCTTCGCTAATCTCTCTCCACCAGCCTAGCACAGTCTGGGCCATGCTTGTGCTCGAGCCTTGTTTCCAGGATCCCATTTCCCTGCCGGTACAAGTATAATTCCAAATGCCCAACCCCGTCAAGCCCTCGGATCGCGCATCAGCCTCAGGGTCCAACTCGGCCGATACCCGTCCATGCTAGCCTCCCGTCGTGGCAGCGGGTGGATCTGCGGGGAGCGCTGCCTATCGACCCTCCACCATGCCATTTGCCGCCTTTCTGTTTATCACAGTCGGCGCATTATTGCCATCTTTGGAACCAAACGTGGTTGTTTTCCGCTTGTTCTTTGCCGTGGAAAGGTTAACGCTTTGATCGTGCGGGTCCCCCGGTTTTTCTTGTCAAGACACAGAAAGAGAAGAGAGATCCCAATCACGCCGAGATGAGATCACTGCGGAATCAGGGCACCACAACTTCCTCACCTGCAGCTACCCGCTAACGGCTTGCTGAATACCCTGTCGTCAGGCTAAGAGGGTGCCGCATATGGCGCCTTGCTGTTGGCCCTGGGACCGTGGATGGCTCGTTCCACATCAGGTCGCCGAGGAGGGAAACAAAGCCCGGCTTCCCTTGCTCCCAGCACCTCTTGGAACACCACAACTCGTGCAGGGCGGAACGATTCTCGGTTTTCCCTGGGGAATTGCCATATTCCCGCAACCCTCCTCCCAGGTGCATGACTTGGTTGGAGATTCGCCAGACACTGCAAAACGCCGACCCCTCTTCTCCGTTTCGATATGATGTGCAGATGTTTTTTATGCACCACATCATAAAACGAATCGACGAAAGCACGGCCTCCCGACCTCGAAGCTGCCTGTTATACCGTCCGTTTCTTTACCTGCGCCGCGGCTTGTCGCGCTGGCTAGAGATACCCCCTCAGTTGGAACTGAATGGAGTAAGATCCTGCAAGCCGGCCACGAGTCCCAGGGTGCCGCGCAGGCTACACACTATCTCTAAGAAGCCGATCCTGTCTTCAAGTGGGGAAGGGAAGGCGCAAGCAGCAAGACGTGAGGAGAACGTGGTCAGTCGGCCAGGCTATAGCTTAGCGCTGTTATGCTACCTCTCCGGTCGCACCCTTGGGCGCCCGTCCAGGCGAGTCAGCTGCTGCCATAGCCAACGGCCTGCCGCGGGGCTTGGATAGTGCTTCCAACTCACCATGGTGCCATCATCGACGGGGCTAATCCTATCGTTTGCCCCCCCCCCGGGGCCCTCGTCGGGATGGATCTGGTCGGCTGAGGGCGAGAAGCGAGAGTCCTTTCCACAATTCCATCCTCCTCCTGCATCCGCTCGAGCCGCCTCCCCAGCGGCCGCCGCTGAGCCACGCCAACCGCAAGTCTGGTTACTCCCTCACGACTTGGCGAGTCCACCTGTGCCTTTTGTGGCACAGATTACGCCAGTGATTGCGCCGTCTCGGTGGTCTGTGACTGGCCTGACGTCCGAGCTGCTGACCACATTAGAGACCAGGCACAATTTACAGCGATATTGGACTCACCTAGTCGGACAAGGTCTGACGAACTAGGCACGGTTGCGGCAGCCACACTGTCCACGGACTTGAGCCTCCGAGGGTGTCAGCAAGGTCAAAGTCCGCCTCACTCCCGCCAATCATTCCCCGTCCATGGCCCGAGAAACCTGATCATGGGGACACTCGAGTGGGTGATTAACCTCCTGGCTCCTCCAAATACTGCCCTCTCCCTCTCCTCGTGTTAGCTCAAGACATGCAATAATGGGCTCGGCCTGGAGACCCTCGCCTGCGAAGAGAAGGACGTGCACATGGGCTGCTGTGTGGGCCATGGTTGGCACACCTATTGGACTCCAAGTGGTCTACCTCCAGAGGGACCCGCAGCCATGTCAACTGGTGGAGCAGTGACTCTCATCGCTGGGGGGGTACAGTCGAAGCATGCCCTTGCAGTGTGCTCCCACATCGCCGCCGGCGCAAGGGCTGATGAGACACATGCCGAATCAGGGCAAGAAGTCCACAATCCGCTTGCAGCTATACATGCCATGCCCTGTGACGGCCTAGGCAACCTGCGCATAACATGTCCACACCCACGGATATACGTCGGTATCACACGGAATGGACCTTTCCAGTCACTTTCGCTGGCATTCCATGCAGCACTTGGCCAGGCCTCTAATGCACGTCGACGTCTCCGGAAATGGAGGGACAGGATTGACGCAAGTATCAACGTAGGCATTAGGGGGTTGAGTAAAGGAACAAAACAGGGCAAGAACAGTCGTGCAGAACTCTTCTAATTCCACTCCCTATAGGACCTGGACATGATCATGTCATCTACACTTACGGCCTTGACAACGAGAGAGTAGCATTACATGGTGCATCGACGTGGGTATAATGCCTGTCTTTCGTCCATGGCTCAAGGACCTACACCCACTAAACAGCGCCCGGATCCCAAGTAGAGTCCTTGTCCAATTACGCGACCTCACTTCTGATGTACCATCAAGGACAGTTGACCCACAGCACACCGACAAGGTTGGCACAGCAGCTCAGGCCCCGTTCCCGTCCCAACCCCCGTCTCCTTTGAACCAAAATCAACCAGACAGGCAGCCAGACGAATACAGAGGAACTGTAGCCCTCCCCCTTCTGCATATCAAGGTAGGTCCGAACAACGTGTCTCGGCACTGCCCGCGCCGCCTTCCCGCCTCCTCTTTGCCGAGTTCCCGGTCCAACTCATTCCGCGCCCGTGCTCGTGTCCCGATCTTCAGCAAGTCATCATCCTGCTTTTTTCGCCGTTCCATTCCGTCCTGTCCCCGTGTACAGACGTAACTCAGACAAGGCAAAGAAGCTGAGAGGGAGACACCTCGGATAGTCATACACTAAGAGAAAAGCGACGACAGAATATCATCGTTGTGGCTCCCATCATATACCGAAGCTTTCCTAAGAGGTATATTACCGCTCAATACATGACGACTGGCTGTCTTTAGCATATTAATAAGCTGGACTGAGTAGAACTGAGTTGGACTGATATGAACTTGTGCTTGCCAAAGAGAACGCCGTCCTATGTTTCAAGATTTGTATGGGAGAAAACAAGCGGGAACACATGAACTCGTAGCTGGTCATTACAAAGGTGCAGTTTTTGTTTGTTCTTGACCGTTAACCCCTGATACCCGTTTATTCGATTCCTTGCCCCAGAGTGGCAGGTAGAGACTGAAATGGCGGACGATGATCCGCATTGTAACGAGTTGAAGATCAGGAGAAGAGGTAGTCGTGAAATGTGGCGTGAGGAAGACCCTGGTGGTCTGCCTTCTCTGTCCGTCTGTTGGGTACACACAGGGTAATTCACTCAATTCCGTCCCAAGTCCGGTTGGAACTGTTGTCGGTTTGGTAGGTTGATTGGCCGTTTGGGTGGCAAATCTCCGTCCGTCCCTCCCCTCCCCACACATTCTTCACTTATCCCAACTTCTCGACCCTTCAGCCAGCCATGACCGACGATGTTCATCAAAGCCGAACTGCGAAGGGCGAGGAAGAGAACAACGAGGAAAAAAAAAACCGCCGGTACTTGATAGTACAAGCAGCACTCAGCCCCAGGCAGACCCAATCCACGGGAGAGGAAGCGCCGTCTCGGGGTTCAGCCGCCGTAGCAGAGCGGGCACTGGCCGGGCAGCATGATGTAGCGCTCATGCGGGCTTTTTGGGCAGGAGCGCTTAGGGCTGCCGTCGACAGAAGTGCGGAAGAAGTGGGCCCCCGGGTCGACGCACGAGGTGTAGATGTAGTAGTTCTTGGTGAAGTCGCACATGGTGGACGACTGGGGCTGGCTGACTGATTGGGGACGAAATGGGATGGAGACTGCCAGATTCTGCCCGGTCAAGAACGGGAATGAAGATCGGATATGTGAAAGAGTGGTTGTAGCTGGTGGTATCTGAAACCAGAAGTTAGCTAGCTGGCTCTTGGCAATAGGAAAGGGCAACTGAGGGGGAAGCCTACTGGTAGCTATATAGATGAAGACCTCTGGCTCGCAGCGGGATAGTCGGTACGGCAGACCAATTTGGGATGCAACAACGGGATGATGTCAGGCGAAGGCGACGAGCTGAAGTGATGATGAGATGGGCTGGTGCTGCTGAGGAATCCGGTAGCCCGCCCGAACTTATATGTACAATAGGGACAGAAAGAAAGGGCTATATCAGACATGGGACCACCGATATGGGCCCACCTAGGACGAGAAACTCAAAGCAAAAGCAAGGCGTGGTGTGATTCAAAGCGAAGTATAAGTAAGCCCAATGCGCATTAGCATAAATCCCGCGAAGGACATCGGAATTTGTTTGCTGTGGCGGCCGGACGGAAACGAGAAACAAAGACGCAGGTCAATATCAGACCCGTCCGATGGTCAAAGGTACCCCCAAGCCGCAAACTGTGAATTGCTCCCGTTATCAACAGCCGGCCCCAAACAAAGGCTGGTGACCAACAAGCAGGTGGTCGTGGAACGGGAGGGTGTCGTTGTAATTTACGCGCTTCAAGCAACCCCATCAGCGGCCGTCATCTTTGGGAAGGTGAGTGACGTGGATGTTGACGCTTATGAGGAGGGAAAGTAGCCGACTGGAGGAACGGAAACCCCAAGGAGTGAGGAACAAAGAACAGGGGAGAATTAAAAGGGTGCGTGTAAGGTAAAGCCGAGGGCGGCTTACAAGGACAGTTATAGCAGGCGGTGGCCAGGCGCGTCATGAGAAACGGAACGACGGGGAGAGACGCACCGCGTATGGAGGGCTGTGTACTGTGTATGCGTGGTAACCTACACGTGTAACCTGGCAAAGTGATGGTCGTCAGGGAATGACGCACTGGCCTCGATCCTGGATCTTCGGATGGATCGCATCCATGTGGGGCGCAAAAGCACCTTTCTCGGCGGTTGTGTGTGTACGCCTCTGTGCCGAGTAGTTGGGTATGGGAATAAGTACTCGGCTTCGTTTCTACACGGATAGTTCATTAGTGGAGCAACCGCGCAGACGGAAAAGGGGGGGTTGAGTAGGACGGCTAAGGAGCTGCTCAACTGAGATGCTCCGCGTGGGTGCCTGGAACGCTGCCAGCACAACATCGTCAGAAACGGTGTCCAATGGGTCCAAGGGAGGAGCATCTTGCCGTGCACAACGTCGAAGCGGGCACCTTGACGGGTCAGTGTTGCACCCCTTGCGACCCCTTCTCGCGAGCATACAACCCTCCTTGAACAACGTGTGCATGCTGTGCTGCGAGGTAAATCTGCTTCGCGCCTCATCAATGCGACATTGCCTTGTTGGCGAGCTCCTCAACGGCCCCCGCCTCGCCTGGTGCTCAGGAGGGGGAGTGGCTGCAAACTCCTGAGGCCCCCGGGAAAGTTGATGTGGGGTGGTGGGGTTGAGCCGGCCCACACGGACGGAGTAAGGGGAAAGGAAAATCCGCCAGCTGAACGGGTTGCGCCCGCCCGGATCGTCGATAACTATGATCCATGGACTTTTGCTGTAATTCGTGCCTCAAGACGTGTCGAAAGAGCTCATCAAGCATGTAGCAGAAGTTGTGACCGTTTGTCCGATAGTGGGCAGGGGAAACACCTTAGCCAACGTGAGAGAGAATCGAGCAACTTGGGCTTCCGATGGCGGATGATGGTCATGCATGTCAAACGTTGTGCCAGGGGGCAGACCCCTTGTTTGCGCACTGACACCGAGAAACCGCGACATGGGAACGTCTGTCGGACTGTAGTAACGAAAGTCGACAGGCAAGTACCGGAACTTGTGCACAAGAAACCGGCTCCCTTATCCTGAAAACGATGATAATCCGGTACTTGATGGCTCGGCGTGTCTGGAAAGGATCATCTCTCGCCCGTTGCCTAATTCTCTGTTTCTGCATAAGTTGCGGTCCAGCGTGTAGTGATTGGTAGACATTGGCTGTTATAGCCGTCGCAGGCCCAGCCGACAGTTTCTGTCAAGTGGGGTTGGAGTGTGAACGAAACACCATTTGCTACCTTATGAGGAACCCTCTCCCCACACGCACACTTCAACGGTTTCTCGTTTCCAAGCAGCCAAGCCTCGCCCGCTCAGCGTCGAGCACTCGAGGGTTGGGGGGCCAAGAAATAATCGAGCGGCGGCAAAGTGACAACCTAATGATAAGCGCGTGGAAATCCGCTTTGGGCGCTGAAAGGTGATCATATCAGCTCCCGGCCAACAGGCGAGGCAAAGGTGCGTGTTCAATCACGGCCTCCTTGCCGACAATGAGATTGGAAGAACTTTGCCAGCACTAGTGGTGACTGGCACCTGATACTTCCACAGGTCTAATCTCGGCGCCAAGAGTTGGTGGGAGGTCCAAGCACAGGCAAGCCCCGGATGCGATATAACCATGCAGCTGTGCCACACAGCGCTCTCTCAGAAAGCTAGGTCCAAATCTGGGACGCCCCTGATGAAACCATTGGTTGACGGTTCAACGACTGACGCTATCCAAGCCCTTCAGGGGCGTGTGGTTGCTCAGTAATTGTGCAGAGGCCGTTGTCAAGCCCTCGACTGTGTGCCGTGGTTTGGAAGATCTGGTTGAATTTCTAATTGATCCTGGCTCCTCATAGGAAGGCGGGCTGCTTGTACTAGTCAAGGGTGCCCAAGTAGTGAGCGGTATCCGTGGGCTTCTCTTGGCCTTGGAGCCGAGGGACTCAGGGAACGTGTGACAAGGGGTCTGTCAGTCGCGGAAGTTTGCCCAGCTGAAGTCCGGATTTCCTAAAAGAGAGGATGCGATCAGCAGGTCCTTTGAAAGCACAAGCCGCCTGAAGACGCAACCTTAGGTACCTCGTACGGAGCTACGTCCGTACCTCCGTATTTACCCGGTCGACGTCGACTCGGTCGTGTTGTCGGAATGTCGATGACTGTCGGGTTCACGTTGGATGGCGATGTTTTATCGGAGCCTGCTCCCATCAGCCGCCCATCATACTCAGCGTGGCCGGCAAGCTCCTTGCTGATCTTCGGGGTGCATGTGTTCGGCATCGCAGGCGGTTGCAGAAGTCGCCGCTCAGGCCCGGTGTATTGTATCGTACCGTGCATGCGCACGGGATGTTGAAACATACCGGCATCGTCTGGCGATGTCGGTTGTCGTAAAACGGGGATAGTGGGCGCCACGGCGCCGATATCTGAAATTCCAAAGACGTGCCAGGATGATCTTTACCGTGGTACAGTAGGTATATTTGACTTTGTCATCGACAACGCTTCCGGTTTCCCACGAACTATGTAGTTTAGTTGGTGGGAACAGTTGCGGGAAGGCCCCCACGTGTAAGCCAGGGATCGTGGTACGGAAAGGTTATCTGTCATCCATGTCTGGCACGATATGGCGAATCGAAGGAGCCTGCCACAGAGCCAATCGTCCTCAGGCGTGCTGCAAGACACTGCATTCTGCATAGCAGAGCCGCGATGCTCAAGTTTGGTCGTCTTGTCGCAACGGTGGGTGGTCGGCATTGCTTGCAAGTTGCCAGAGTCTCGCACGGACCCCGGTCTCTGGCCCTCGGTACTCTGTATACCTGGAGGGAACGAGCAGGAAAGGTAGGCGATGAAAGCAATCCGGGTTTCGGCGGTCGATGCAAGCTTCACAATCTGGTAACAAAGAGGATCGAGCTCTGGGAAAGCGCTTGGGGTATCCAGTCGTATACGGTTGACAAATCTTTGTCGTAAATAGCAACGGTCGAAAACGTAATATGGTGAGCGAAGCATCTCACTAATGCGACGCAGATCGTCGCATCTGCGTTATGTGAGTTACACTCGGTGCGTCTGATGCGTGTGATGTCGGGTGTTCTGTGCATGATCACAACAGAGCTTTCTGGAAGCGGACGAGTTAAATTCGTAACGTTACACCGATGTGAACTATTTCAGCGAATGTGAAAATTCCACAAGTGTCTACAATACATACGATACGGTAGCTAAGGTTGGGAAGGGAGTGACAGCTGCCTACTTACCCATATCTTGCAATTATGGGCCTCCAGGTTGCCATGCTGCCCTGTTGAAGAAGCATCGCGCCGGCTGATTAGACGAAGTCCACCTGCATAGAGGTATGGGACCGGCAGCAAGTCACGGGGCAAAGAAGGAACGGGCCGTCTTAGCGCAATACGCTGCTGTTGAGTTTGATGAACCTAATAAACCGGGAAGGTATTCAAGGTACCTACCTCCGTAACAAGGTACAATCGTTTGGTATCAGTGTGAAGCGCCCCCAAGGCATACAACCTGTCCGACCACTTTTCCACGGTTCGGAACGTCGAATGGGGTATCACCGTCCGAGCTCACCCAAACAAAGGATCTCTTGGAACGATCGCCGACCAGAAGCCACACTCCGATCCGCTTCCTCTGCGGGGGACCAGTCGGAGGCTTCGAATCTTTTCAAGGACCTGCTCACATCATATATAAGTGCCCTGCACATGATGGCTAGTAAGTGCTCTCTGCCTCTCAGTTTGAGTTGATGCACTGACACGAGTCGTGGTATCCGCAGAGGATCCCATCTCACCATACCGTTGCATCCTCTTATCAGTGTCACTCTCTCCGCTTGTGTTCTCTCGGCAACTTCGGCACCCAGCCCCTGTCTCGGTTCATCATCCCAACCCCTAATTGCCAAGATGTCCACGGCCGCCACTAGGCCAGGGCTCCGACGGGCAACATTCACAGATCTTGGGGGCGCGGAGCACGGCGGTGACGATGCTCCTGTCATGACCCCCACCGTTTCTGGGGTCAACTTGCGACCTGACACTCACCACTGTTTCTCATCTGTTGTCGTTTCCCCATATTCTCTGCGCTTCTTCCTTTCAATCGAAGCGATATTGTGCGTATCACTGTCGGGATCACTGGGGCTAATCAAGCTACCTCATGAATGGTACAAGTACATCCAGATATCAGTTCACATAAGGAGGAGGGGTCCTTGCGCAGTCAGTTGAGCGAATCAGGTCGGTGTTTGGCATCACACCTACACAGAAAAAACCAGCATTCCATATGGCTCAAACGCAGTTCGTTTTGACTGAAAATCTGGAGCTTGAAGCACATTCGAGTGATGAACTAGGTATTGAACGATCGTGATGTATACCTGTAGGCATTTAGGGTGTTCTCTCAAAGCCGCTGGATATATCTTTTTTAAAATGCGCTGACTGTACTACTAGGCACCCGAACTAAGGCATCTTATAGTAATAGTCGACCAAACTATTCAGAAGGTATTTCCCTGTACTATAAAACTGCGAAACTTGCACCAGGAGCTAAAGCTCATTGTAGCACCAGTGTCACAGAACGTCATCTGTGAAGGTAGGAATTTGCGTAAGAAGAATGCTGTGGGTGATCGACAGTGAGAAACAATCAAGAATATGTCTAAACTGGGAGGTGCAGGAAGGGTACCTTAGAATCCCGCCGGGGGATGTTTAGCATTTCGGGTGCACAATTCAACCAGACACCACTTTTCGTACTGAGATTCCCATTGTCAACTTGAAGGCAGGGGGCAACGATATCTCACATGTTCTACAATTCTACGGCGATTGCAGGAGCACGTCAGTGTTGCCATCCAGTCCCTGCATTCTGTTACATCAACAGCCTCCTACTATCAATAAGGTAGCCTTGAGAGAGAGGCTGAAGTTCGATTGCCAATATCCCCACGCCCTTTTTCTTCTTCCCACAGCATCCGACCTGAGCGTAAGAGCTTCTGCGCGGAAGCCAGGAGGTCCTCGTTATCTCAACGAATCCACTAACCCAATCTGCGGAGAAGTCGATAAGGTACTGAATGGCCGTCGTCCGCGAACTTGGTCCACTGATGAATCTGCAGGTCGCGGCACACCTGAGTCGACACGTCGTGAGGTTGATGTCATCGCTGGTGAACGGAGGTCTCGCCTCGCAGCGAGGGAACACCTGGGGTATTATGAAGGCTGGTTGGAGGTCTGACCGTCTTGTTGTAAGGTGGTGTTCGCGGCGGTATGGGCGTACGTGAGCTGGAAGTTTGCGTCCTCTACGAGACGTCGGAAGAGTGTTTCCAATCCGCGAGATAGTGTTCTACGATCCTTGATAAAATATAGCTCCTTTTCGAGCACCTCACCAACGAGTATGATATTGATGTCGCTTGTTGGGGCCGTATTTCAGGTCGTACAGGCGGTCGGTTTGCGGGCGCTCATGGGCTGGAGGAATTCGCCATGGCACTCGATACCGTCAAGTAGGGCCGCCTTTTCGGCAGGCGTCAGCACGCAAGACGTCGCAAGGGCCAAGCGAGCAGGTACTGTAATAGACATTGTCGAATTAGGTAGTGTTTGGTTGTGTGTGAAAGAAGCGTAGGATAGGAAATGTGAACTGACCCCAAATATGTCGAGAGAATGGGAGCAAGAGGATGCGAAGGAATGGGGTCGGGCTAGACGTGTACTTAATATCCGACGGAAACCAGACTAGACTGCTCCAAATCACTCGAGCGCTGGAACGCTTGCCTGAAACGCTTGGATGCATACGTCAAGCTATGCACGTGAACATGCATACCTTACGTAGGGGAAAACAACTCAACGCTTCACCAGATTAATGCGCTAGCTGCCTTTTCCCCCATGCATTTGCATATGCAAGTTCAAGCGCAGCAAGACGCGTCAACTGGAAGACAATCCGCAACAGTGATCAATCTCTCGAACGGGTATAGTTACTCAGTATGCGCGTGCCTTCCCTCCTCCTTCTCTTCCGTCTCTACACTCATCGACTTTCTAGACACTATTTTACATCCAACACACACACAAACATCAATCGCGCCCCTATCCCTTCAACATATATCTCATCATGTATTTTTCTGAGTCATCGTTCTATCGGTACAGCGCCATTACAAGCGCCCTAGCCATGCAACCGGCGGGTGCGATGGCACCACAACAACAGTCCCAGGCGCCAACGGCGTCCACCCAGGTGCCTGAGGCATCTGTCACCCGTTCAAGTCAGGAGACCCCCCAAAATAGGAAGTCACCAAGCTATTCGAGATCCGAGACTGAACCTCCCAAGAAGAAAGGGGACCTGGCCGTTTCAGCGCGTCTGGCACTGGCCGCGTCAAACAGGGCTACCAAAGAGGAGCGTGAATCGCTCCTAGCGCCGGTTCATGCAGCAGACTACATCATCGACGAGAAGTACAATGCTACACGAGTCGACAAGCCGGAAGAGAAGTGAGGGGAAAAGGAGTATCGGTGGATGGGTTGGGAGCTGGATCGAGGACGTGTGCCGTTGGCTTGCACTCTTGTTTCACCGGTTGCCTCAGAGTAAAGCTTGGCCGGGGATTTGTATATGAGTGCAGGCCTTGGACTGTATGTTATAAGGTAGCCATTGAATGGGATTGTGGTTTGTGTCATCTGGTGATGCATCCCGTTCTCGTCGCGTATCAGTCGTGGTATCGGCAGAATCGTTACCTTACACTCACGCTCCGTCTGTAATCTCAGGGCCGTTCGTTGTTCCTAGAAATGCTACAACGGATTCTACCTTGCATCACTGCTGCTGTTCAGGATCGGTCGTGGAGTCGTCGTGCAGTATAGGCTGGCTAAGCCATTCGCCATGGTATGTTGGACGTCGTTGGTGGGGCATGATTGGGATCGGCAAAATCCGATCAAATGGGCGTCATGCGCGGCTTGTGACGGAGCATCCCGTTTTCTCACCACTTCGTTCGCCTCAGCTCGCCGCCGAGATGCGATCGTTATCTGGCTTATCCGGACACTAATCCTTCACAACAAAAATAACGACTGTACTGACCGAGCAGGGTGTCGGAGCTGGAACCTAAATTGAACGTCCTGCGTGACCCAGCGATACCCGAACGTCCAAACCGTCGCCTCTGGGATCTCAGCAAAGCCCGCCCCTTCCAGGTAATGATCATCGTCATTTACCACAGCAAGCATTCCCAGACCAAAACCCCCTTGGTGTCATGCGGGCCGCGGTCCTGGTGCATGCTGCTAACCTCACGAGCCTCAGAAAACAGATGACGAGTCTACGGGTTATCGAGGTCTTGGATAAGCTCCATCAAAATCTCCGTCAACCACATAAGGCTACTTGATGATGCTTGCACATAATCAGTTCAGACGGGACGGGAGGCGGCTCGAGCCAGCCTCCACTTTCAGGTTTTTGCAACGCGCGGGTAGGCGGTTATGGCACGCCGCGCTTGGCATCTCGCCTGCCCTGCTCGATGACGTAGCCGCTGGCCAGTTCCCCAAAGGCCCTGCGACACGCTGCCTTGGATCTCGAGCCCGGTTCCAGCTGCATGGAACTCGGCGGTCGTTGCTTCTCCGAGCCGCGCCCCCCCCAACCCACCATGGCCCCCTTGAGCTGATTTGCCCTCCGCGGCCACTGAGCTGGCCCTTCTACCCTTTGTCGCTGCTACCTTAGCTCGCTTACCTTACTCGGGACTTTGATGGGCTGTCCTACCTTAGGTTGCCGTATCTGAGCGCGTCACTGCCACCCATCTTCATCCATGCATGCCCCGACATTGTGCTGCTTGTCCACTCGATCTTCGCCCTCCCTTCTCCTTTCTTGACAGCACCCGCGCCAGACATATTCCGAAACTGGCCCTGATTTCCGGTTTTTGCAACAACCAGCCTCTTCTGTATTGGACCCTGCTTCAAGCCCCCATTCTCCCGCGATCGCCGCCCTTTTCACCGCTGAAGGTGTCTCAGGACGTGGGTGGATGCAGGCCTTCTTGACCCTGGTATGTCCTGGTTGACGGAACAGAGGTTTGGCAGACGAGATAACCACCAGCTCACACATCGGCCGCGCCGCCACGCGCCAACAATGACAGGAACGACAAGCGGGCAAGCAGACGAAGTCTCTACTCTTCCAACAAGTCTCGTGGCCTTGCTGTCGACCGTCTGAAGGCTGACCAGACGGATGAATGGTCGTCAACGCGGACCATGAGCGACGCGCTCGCCACTCCGGCCTCCCAACCGTCCCAACCCGCTGTGACCGACTCGAACTCGACCTCGAGTTCCGGGCTGGCGTCTGGGTCAAATCTCAGAAAGGAGAGGGGAGCAATCGCTGCACAGGTCAGCGCATTCCACCAGCCGAAAGCCCTTTCGCCCGGTATCTTTGTCTCACTCTCTCCAGGCCTGCGATACCTGCCGCAGTCGGAAACAACGATGCGACGAGCAACGCCCCAAGTGCGGCACATGCCAAAAGTTCCGCCTCGAGTGCAACTACCGAGAACCTCAGCCGACCAAGTATGCTCCTTGCCTCGCTTTTTGCTTGCTTGTACTGTTAACTGACACCTGACACAGAAAAGACAAAACCCTGGTCGAGATACTCGATAGGATCAAGAGCTTGGAGGGCAAAATTGACAAGCTGAGCCAAAACCCTGCTGTCGCGCCCTCGTCTCCGCCGTACCCGCTGCAGACAAGCTCAGTCCCGTCGCCGCTTCCCAGCGCTCATTGGGCTCTGGGTTCGTCTGTTTCCGCGGGCGGCGCGTTGTTCCAATTCCCCGAGGCCACGTCTGTCACATCAGAAGACGGCCAGTACCAGTATGTTTCGTCTGTCCACCAGATGCTCAAATGGCCCGCGATACAGCAGCTTTTCGCGTCCGTGCAGGTAAAGTTACCGACCATTGATCTATCGGTTCTCGAACGCGAGGGGCCCGCAAGTATGCTCGCCTTTCGCCGCTCCACCCTCCAGAGCTTGCCCACAGACACTCAACCACCTGTCAGAACCGGCTCCGACATAAGCTTGCCCGATGACACCACGTCCAACGTCCCGAACACCGTGGCAAATCTGAACTGGGAGACCATGCAGAGGCTGAGTAAGGCCTACTTTGACACGTTCAACCTTTTCTGCCCCATTCTAGACCGGCATTTGTTCATGTCCAGCACATTGCCGACCCTGTTCAACAATGGCTTCAGCAACAACATGGAGTCGACCATCGCGTTTCTGGTCTTCGCCCTAGGAGAGGTCGCCCTGGCGGGCTCCGATGGCCCTCCAGTCCACGCCTATAGTGGCCGCCCAAGTGGTATAAAGGGTGGAACCAAGGACAGGCCGCCGGGGTTGGAGCTTTTCAACGAAGCAAGACGGCGGATGGGCTTCAATCTGACTCAATCCAGTCTCGAGAATGTCCAGATCTTCGAACTTGCAAGGCAGGATCGCCTCCTACGGAACGATCGTGTCTCGCTTTTCAGCTAACCTTGTCAACAGTCTCTATTACGGGACGTGTTTCTATCACTTGGAATTCTGGAGGATGAACACGCTGGCTTCTCTGGCCTGCCAAGCGCTTGTCATGAGGTACCTACCTACCCAGGTTCTTGACTTACCCTTAGAGCCGCTAACGCCTTCCAGCTGTCCCGGCGTGCTCTCCTCCGGACAAGCAGATTTGACGCGGAGAGCATCTTGGCACTGCTCCATCATGGAAACGTAGGGAACCCCGCTGCCCGAAGGGCAACAGACTTTGTCTAACGTGTCAATCTAAGCTGCCTCTACCTTGAGCTGGGATTCCCGCTCACAAGGCTGGATAAGGTTGAATCCGTCGTTGGGCTCCCCGATTTCAGCGGTCCATTCTCCCAAGACGACTACATCAGCAACCAGGAATCGCATTTTCAAGAGCATTTTGCCTCTCAAATTGTCATACGTCGACTGCTGGTAGACTTCCACAGTGTCCTGAGCCAAGGTATGTCTGGCATTGGGTCCCCATCCTGCTACACTCCACTAACACCTTTTCAGGGGCCACGTCACCCTCCACGTTCAGTCAGATTCAAATCACCAGTCCTTTCAGCCCGGCGACAAGAACAACCGGCCCAGGAGTGAGCCCAACCACGATCCGCCAGCTCGCTCTCCAGCTAGAGCAATGGCGCGGCATGCTCCCAGCCCATCTCCGCTGGCATGAAGACGCCCCCGGCGCCTGTCCCAGCTCCAATGCAAATCTATACTTCACCCCCGCGACGACCCCAGTCTCGCCGACCGTGCCCACAACAGCAGGCGCCCAACCTGCCGCCCCGGTCGTCGCTGCCCCCAGCCCCCTCATGTTCACAACCGACCTGGATGTCCCTCCGCCGCGGTACCCGTACGTCCTCGACGTCCAGGTCGCCCTGCTCCGCTCAAAGTACTACTACACAAAGTACCTGATCCACCGGCCGTTCCTGTACAAGGCCCTGCACCATCCGGACTCCATGGCGCACGAGGACGCGGTCGGCGTGGCCGAGTGCCTCAAGGCCAGTCTGAAGTGGCCCGTCGCCATGTCGCCGACGTGCCGCCACAAGAGGCTGGTGCCATGCTCCTTCTTCTTCACGCAGAACTTCTTTGGGATTCTGGTTTTGCTGCACCTGAGCAACACGGTACCAATCCTCAGGCGGATACGGAGCACGCTGTGCGGGGAGCGGTTTGAGCTGGACGCGAGCGAGACGGTGGCATTGTATTTGGATTGGCTGAGGGATCTGAAGGCGGTGGATGTTGGGACTGAGTGGCATTGGGAGGTTATTCGGACGGTGTATGGGCTGGAGGAATAACTGGAGTGGGGCGGTGAATGGGTTTTGTGTAGAAAGGGTGAGAGAAGTGTATATACGAAGGTGGTATTTAACCGGTGGGGCAAGCGATGGGAGTCAAATGGTAGTTGCGGAGACTGGATGTGGTCTTTCGACATTTATTACGGGGAAGTCTATGAACACCATCTAGCGGGTGAAAGCGGGCAGCATACGTTAGCGTACCTAGCATATAGGCGGCGTCTTGGTAGACTTGATACTTAGAGTCTACAGTTCGTTGTACAGTTTGCGGTATGGTGTGCTAACAGTACGAGTACCACAGCAGCTTTCGATGTATATATACAGGCAGTGACTCCAATCCCAGTGCGCCATGAGGGGGAGAACAGCGACCTTAAGCTTACCAGAGAAACGAGCTACAGAACCAGAACGGCCGACCTACCTGAGTTTCGGCAAGTCAGTCACGGTAGCCAACGACGATGCACAAGAAAAGCCGGTCATAAGAACTGAGTCGTTATTCTATTGGATCATCTTGTCATCATCATGTGCCAAAATGTTCGTCATGCATCTAATGAAACCAAGAAACACAAAGATAATATGCAATTATGTCAGCCTTGCAAGAGTCAAGCAGAAGCCCTATTGGACCCATCCGACCCGGACTTCTCAGTCAATTCCAGCCCTCCCGGCAACACGGTACTTTCCCCTTGCGCCTTGGTAATCTCAGGAGAAGAAGAGATGGAAGACGACAACAGTAGCCGCGAATCGGTCGTCCTGCGGAAGTACTCCGTCATCTCCTCGGTGAAGTCATCGTCTTCTTCAAGATCCTCTATGCCGGCGGGCTCTCCGCCCACCTCCCTCTGCCTTCGGAGACGCTCCTTCGCGGTCCACTCTTGCCGCATGTCTTCAATCTTCTGATCGGCATCCAGTTTTGGGTCATAGTTCCCGCCGACGCCCCGGATGCGCTCCCAGAGTGAGAGGTGCGCTGGATGGATCGCCACGCCGTGGTATTCCTCCCCGCGGCCCGCGCGGATGTAGGCCCAGCGGCGCTCCTGCTCCTTGAGGTCGAGGCCCGTCGTGTCTGGGAGGAACAGGCTCGTCAGGAGCATGCCGGCGAGGCCGAACCAGGGGACCACGTAGAACTTGGTCTGGGTGTCGATGTAGTTGTAGAGCACCGAGGCGAGCAGGGCCCCCGACTTGCCGATGCAGGCACTGAAGCCGTGCGCCGAGGCGCGGATGGGCGTCGGGAACACCTCGCCCGCTACAAGGAAGGTGACGCTGTTGGGGCCGAACTGGTTAAAGAAGCTCGAGAGGAAGTACATGGCTTGGAACGATTTGATGCCCGCAGGCGAAGTGTAGTAGTCGTAGTTGAAGGCCGGGATGATGAACATGATGAAGCACATCAGAAAGCCAACCTGCTGCATCGTCTTGCGGCCGTAGAGTTTATTGTCGATGAGCAGCGAAGCCAGGTAGTAGCCGACGAGCGAGACGATGACGTTGTACAGGTTCCAGATCCAGCCTGTCATGACCGAGTGCGGGTTGTTGCTGATGACGGCGATGAATTGGGCTTGAAACAGCTTGTTTCCGTAAAAGAAGACGTCGTTGCAGAACCAGGTCCCGGCTGTAGCGAGCAGGCGCCCGCCAAAGTGTGTGCACGTCAGGCGGAGCGACGCGACGTCGTAGCCCGTGACGTTGCTCTTCTTCTTGGCCGCCTGGAGCTGACGGCTGGCGTGGGGCATCTTGTAGGCGCGGTAGTAGACGAGCCAGAGAGTGCCGAGGGCTGGAATGGCGAAGGACAGGCGCCAGATCCACTGGACTGTTGTCGCGCCGTACGGGGGATTTCCGTCGCCGTGGTGCAAGATCAAGAGGAGGATGATCAGCATGGCCTGGTTGACAAGCTGGCCCCAGCCCTGCATCAGAAAAGCCATGGTGACCTTGCGGCCGCGGTGCAGACGATCCTCGCGGGTCGAGAGCTTCCCGGCCGAGACGGCGTTTTCCATGGAAGATGTCGCAGTGATTGGGTACTCGCCGCCGACGCCAAAGCCTTTCGAATCAGTCAGCACCTTAGCAGAGACACGGATTGCCTATTCTGAGGCCCACGTACCATAGAAGAATAGCGACCAGGCGTAGCAGATGACCCAACCATTTAGGTCCAGGCCCCAGCTGGCCGTGATCATAAGCAAGCCCACAAACATGATGGCGGCATCCTGGATCAACCCCCAGCGGCGGCCCACCCAGTCCCCGATGACGCCCACCACCATCTGACCGACCATGATGCCGATGACCTCGAGGTACGTGACCGACGCGACCCAGTTGGCGCTGCAGGCTGTGGGGTTCTTGTCCCAGCACGAGGGCCAGGCAGACCTGAAGAGCGGCTCCAGGTTCCCAATGCTGAAGAGCACGTAACCCTCGAGGCCGAGGCCGGCGCCGGGCAAGACGGCGTTGCGGAAGTACCACGAGACGGGGCTCAAGGGGTCGGCTTTGATCATGGAGCCAATGGTGGCCAGCTCCTTCTTGGCCTCGTCGTTCTGGACCTTGTTCACGAACGCGATGCGCTGCTGCAGCGGGAGGTCGGCCCAATAGACGCCATCGGGGTTGTACGAGTCGTCTGGATGGGTCAAGTAGGCGAAGACGGCGCCTTCTTGGCCAGGAAGACCAGGAAGACCGACGCCGACAGTTGAGGTTGCTGAGCCATGATGGACGGGAATCTCGCCGATAGCCATTGGGGGCAGGGCAGTTAACCAACCCGTCGAGGAGGAGGACAGGCGTAAGGGATGATGGGACGAAGGTTTCGCATGCGGACGATTCTGAACTTTATGTGCATCTTCAACAGCCAATGACGGAAGACCGATGGAGGGAAAAAGCGCTTCGTGGGTGAAACTTCACTCAGGGTCCACGGCTTCCGTCTATCCCCACCACACTTGACCAGGCATCCCGCAGCATCAGTTCTCTTTTCGGCAAGTAGTCGCGTGCTCCAAGCTCACCATTTTTTGATAGAACCTTGCTGCGTAGGTAGGTTGCCGATTGACGCTGGGATGACCGAGTGTTGATGATCCATCCACCTCCTGCCCTTCGCTTTTCTGCTTTCTGCTTGCGTGTTAAGACAATGAACCACAGCAGTCCAACCACTCTCGGTTGACAAACACACTCTCTGCATCGTCTCGCGAGGGGTCCTTTCCCGGCTCTGTCCACCAAGGTCGGAAACATGCATGGGGCCATCCGAGTCCTCCGCACATGCCCACCTCACCGCCCCGCCCGCTCATCGGTTGCTAGACTGGAATTTGTATGGAGGTACTCTGTAGGCGTTCATCACTGCCGTATTCCGTAAGGTAGTTGCTGCCAAGTCGATGTCCCAGATCCAAGACTCGAGACAAGCAACACGCAAACGACGCCGCAGCTGGCTAAGCTGTCTTGGCCTCTTGGCTGTCGCAACGCCACAGAATCACAAACGCTTCACTATTGACGAAGACTTCAGAATCGAGGCGGCAATACTCGTTCTGGACCATGCACTTCGCCAAGCCCTCCTCAGATCTCAAATTGAGATAGAAGTGGGCCAATCAGCAACTGAGATCTTTACACGTGGGCAAGTTGGTTGGTCAAGGGGCATCTGAAGATTAACCAATGATGGGACGACTTTGGCCAAGTGAAATCCCACTATTCCCCGGTGCCCAGCGCACCCGAAAGCAAAATGCTTCACCCCAGACCCGCAACGCGGAGCCGGTGCCTCGGAGACATCCCTCATTGGACACAGAGTCCCAATCTCGGCAGCAAACAACGTCGAAAGCCGCACAGCGAGCCAGTGTCGCGTGCCAGCCTTCCCAATTCGATCAAGATCTCTCACACTGGCAACGACAACTGCCACTTGGTTTCGGAATATGTCTTAATGAGCTCTAACCCTTACATCGAAGGTCAGTAACACGCGACACAAGTCTCGGCTTCCTTATGCACAAGTGCTTGTACTAACCTATGGTTTGTTCCTGAGGAATAATGATCTGAAGTAAGACTGAGGTAACAATAAGACAGAAGAAGGTGACGAAGATACGCCCGTGGGCCACGACACGCATGCATCCAACCTTGGGGCACAATACCTGAATAAACATCTGCGCCAGCTGCTTAGATAGCGAGTAAGAGATAGGCCAGTCCCAGTCGGCGACGGAGATCCCTATGTTTCCAGTACCTAGTGGGGCATCGATGCAATGGCCTGATCCGAACAAAAGACCTTAACAATCTGTGCAGTGCAGTTTGCTCAAATCCTACAGAGGTATGGCAGGTAAGCAGCCCGGAAGGCTTAAAACGGAGATTGGGCTCACAAAACACGCCTGATGGAGAGCGAGCGGCACCGCTTCTCTTGCCTCGCCGTTTTTACCACCTCTCATGGGGACATTCAGCTGGTCTAACCCCAGCTTGAGGCTTCTTCTGTTCGCGAGTCCCTTTCGCCCTTCTGGCACGAAGGTCGAAGACGGTATCCAGTCATGCACCAACACAGCAGTAGTCCTACTATCACTTCAGCAGCATCAAGACGACTCCATCCAATCTGACGTGTATATTCGGCATTCGCAGCAGTTCCTCTGGTTAAATTACTGAATACCCTACGCAGCGCTAGCAGCTTTAGGTCGCTCGCATCTTGTCCGTCTGCCAGCAAACTTGCAACGCCAAGCTTGATGAACCAACCCATGGACCCTGTCTGTGAAACGCGACTGTGAGACATGCTCTTTGGTTCAACTCTGAAACCTTTAATGCTTTCCATCCACTGACCTTTTCTTTTCCCCCTTCTTCCACCCATCACATCCTGTCTGTCCAGGTGGTGGAAAATAAAACCGCACAGCCCGGTCGCGCCTAGCCAAGATATATAGAGAAACCCCGTGCATACGAACAAGCCCAGTGCTCAAAGCACAGCTGTGATTGAAGGATAAATGGTAGACAGAGAAAAAAGAAACCGAAAGGAGAAGGCAATGCAGTAGAACAGCGGCTTAAGTTTTGGGGTTAGGAGACACGCAAAGCACTACCTCCGGATCCTGACGTCTTCCCCGCCATAACAACCCTATTTGATGGTAAAGACCAGACAGAGACATTGTAAGCAACAAATGCAACCGCAACGCAGGGAAACCACAGAGCACCCAGCCAAGCCCAACCACCCAACACGCAGCGAGCTAAACGTTACGTCCGACCCCCCACCCCCTCCCAATTCCCCAATTCAACCCCCAAACACTATTCCCATTCCGCCCCGCTTCATCCCAAGCCCACGACCAGACCGTTTTGGAAAAGCGATCGCAACCCCTGACGCTTCGATATCCCTCGCTTGAATGCGACCACACCACGCCGCGCTATGCGATATGCCATGTCCACCGAGTCCGCCCCAAGTCTGGCCATCCCAAACTCCTCACGCCTCGCGCTCCAATAGAAACCCAAGCGCCCTCAAATCTGTGATCCCTGAGCAAAGAGAGAGAGCCAGACAAAAGAAATAAAAAAAATGTCTCTGCCGCCGACAGACATCGTAATGTCTGAAATCCTGCCACCCGCACGCCTTGCCCTGCCTGCATGCCTGCCTCAATCCGACCCCAACCCCGATCCAGGAAACGCCACGCTGTTGTGTAAGAGAAGCGAAACCAAAGGAGAACATTGACATGAGAAAAGAAATGTCTGAATAAGGGGAAGGGAGACGATGTGCTGGGAGCGTGGCGACGAATGCGAAGGTTGGTGATTGACGTGTTCGTTGGACTTGAGGAGGCATACATATCATATCCCCTCAGGAAATGGCGACATAGTGTCGTCCCGATCCGCCGTCCTGACCGGCGGTCGTCGTGGAGTGGGGTCCGGGTCTCCGACCTCATCCCTCCCCAGAACAGGGGTGAGACGCGGGGTCTCATCGACGTCGGCGCCAATACCGTGCCTGCCCAAGGCCCCTGCCTCTAGACCGGGCGGCGTGCGCGTCACGATGGGATGAGATTGCTGCCCTTGTCCCTTCGACACGTGAGTATCATAGGCTGGCGTTGCCGAAACCGTAGCTGCTGTCCCCTCCAGATGAGGGAACTCCATTTGTACCTCCTGATTCGGCGTGACTACCTGTGTTGCTGGTTCCACTGTGCTTGCGTCCTCTGACCCGGCGACCAAGCTCTCGTGGCTGTTGACGCGCATCATCTCGATGCCAAGTTTGGACGACGGCAGCATTGGCTTGGTGCGGTATTGTTGGCCTGATGGGGATCCCGGGCTGCTGCCACTCGCGCTGCCGCTGCCGCTGCTGCTCCCGCTCCCGCTCCCGGTTTGGTTTGGTGATGCGCTCAGGCCAAGCTCGTCGTCCTCGTCGTCGGCCGAATCGACACTGCCTTGGTACCGGCGCTTCTCGATCGATTCGCGCTTGGCCTTCAATTTCTCGAGCGAACGCTGCGGCGCGGGCCCTTTCGTCCGGACCGGAGAGTGCTCCATCTGTGGGGGGTCCGACTGCTGCGTGACGAGGCGTGGGTGGAGAGGAGACAAAGGCGGGTTGCCGGAGCCCGCGGCAACTTCTTCGGGGCCTGAAATGCCGAGGCCACCTTCGTCCCAGTCACCCGTCGCCTTCCTGCTGATGAGGACCGGAATGTCGTCAGTCGCCACTGATTCAGAGTCTCCATAGAGGCTGGAGCTGATGGAATCTTCGCGGAAGCTGCTGCCGGATCGAATTGCGTACCCTGACGAGGCAGACGTGGGGCTATCCTCCAGCCGCAAACTCTCTTGTCGCAGACCAGATGGAATGGGATGTGGGAGCGTCAGAGACAGAGAGTTAGTCTGGCTTGGCGAAGGGGCCTTCCAGTGGCAAAGCGTGCTCAGCACCTCAATCAGCTTCGACGAGCTAATAGGCTTCTCGACGAGCGAGTCAAAGTACTGAGGGGCCGGCAATTCCTTCAGATACGAGGTAATTGCGACCATCGGGGTGTGCGTGTTGGTGTGCTTGGTGTCGCGGATCATGCGCGCAACGTCTGACCCGGAGAGCTGGGGCAGCCGGAACTCAAGGAACATGATGTCGAACTTGATGTCGCTCATGGCGTATCGGATGGCTTCGCTGCCGGTGGCTGCGGAGATTGTACGGCACCGTAGCTTCTCCAAGAGCTTCTCCATCACCATCCGAGAGACGGGATGGTCGTCACAAATGAGCACATCCAAAGGCCGGAAGACGGGGCCATCTCCTGCTGCGATGTACGACATGCGTCTTGCGCTTTGACGACGTCGCTGGACTCTGAGCAATGCATTCGCTTTATCCCCCTCGTTGTCCGAAGATGACGGCGACATATCAAAGACCTGGCTGCGACGGTTTCTGTGGTGTGCTGCCAGCGCATCCGTCATTGCAGGGCTGCCTTCTTGCGAGCCAACCGTGACCGAGCGAGAACGGCCACCGGATGAGCTGCTGCTGTGCCGAGGCGTGGACACTACATGGTTTGGCATGACCTTTTGAGGCGACAGCGGCATCGGGACAGGCGCACCTCCCCGGCCCTTGATGTGCGACGAGGTGGTGGCGATTGTGGTGGCCGCTTTCTGCAGGCTAGGCGGAACGCGTGGCACCTCAAAGAAGCTTCCTGGCTGCAACGAGGTCCCCGACGGCTGGGATAAGCTGGACGGATTGCTCGATGCCTTCCGTCGGCTTTCGGCACCAGTACCTGCGACAAACGAGACCAACAATGGCGACGACGGCTGTGAGATGCGGCTGGGCGACGAATTGGCCTGGCTGACGCCGGACGGGGACTGCGGCCTACGGGACGGCTTTGCGTTCGAGCGTGATCTTTGAACGGGGTTCGTCATAACTGGGCTGCCTTCAAGTGACGGCCCTGATGATGTGAGGTTGCCCAGCCCGCCGGGACTGATCGGCTTGCACTGAGCCGCCATCGCTTCGGCTCGAAGCTTCTGGATCACATCTTTATTCGCCTTCTCGAGTACGGGCAGGTTCTTGAAGGAGAAGTTGCCAAAGTCGTCAGCCGCGACGGGCTCGCTCAAGCGCCTGCTCTTCAGATCGCGGACATGCGGGGGAATGTGAAGCGGCATGAGACCGCGCTTCACCGAGTTGACCTGGGCCCGGACACGGGAAAGTGCATCATGCGGGCGATCAGGATAGTCGGTAGCGGGCGTGGCTGCAGGCGGCGAGTGCTGATCCTCAATCTCCTCGGCAAAGGATTGTAGGGTGGCACCGCGAGCATCAAAGTACTCGGTATCTTCTGGATTCTCCGGTTGCGGGACAAACTGTGCTTCATCCTGGAGCAGCGTGTCCCAGTTCACATCCCTGAACCACGGGTGGTGACGGATTTCGTCGCCTCCAGACTGGTACTTCTCATCGCGGTTGGCTCCCAGCCGCTGCCGAGGGTCGGAGCAAAGCAACTTGTTGATGAGATCCTTTGCTTCCGGAGACACCTCATCCTCGCTCTCGTCTGGCCAATGAATTCTGCGAGCCAGGATGTTCTCGAAAACCTTGTCTGCCTCGCTAGCGTGGAACGGAGGAATGCCATAGAGGAACTCGTACATGATGCACCCGACAGACCACCAATCGCTCGTCTCATCCTGCGGTTCACCTCTGATGGTCTCAGGGGCCAGGTAATCAGGCGTGCCGACAAATCGACGGTTCGTATCCTCAGGGTCAAACAGAGCCCAGTTAGGTGGGGGCATGGCTTGCAGCGGAGGGGTCCCCCTGCTGGACTCGGTGCTGTTCTGCGTCGTCGTGTTGGAAAGCAGGCCGAGCTCCGGGGACCCAGCAGCCTCGGTCTCGCTACCGTCGGCAGGAGACAAGATGACCTGCGAGTTTGCATGAGTATCATTGAGAGACAAGGCTCCGAGCATCTGCGTCAAGGCTTCGCTGCCGCCACTATCGCTGCGATGGTTCGAGACGCGCCGCGGTTCTTGCGAGAATGCGCCCAGGTTGAAGTACGACGGCTGTCCAAAGCTTGTGCCATAGTCGCTCGGCGTCATCAGGGGTGTTGATCCCGGGGAGTGACTTCGCCCGTGAAGATCAAGCGACGTGGATCGAGACGACGCTATTGACGTGGACCGAGCGAAAGGGCCCTGCTTGAGGAGGTCAGGGGCTGCGTCAGTCCCGCTGGTCAAAGCTCGCTTCTGCCGTCCAACCAACCCCATCCGTGACAGACCGAAGTCGGTCAGCTTCAAGTGTCCCTTTTGGTCGATCAGCAGGTTGTCTGGCTTCAGGTCTCTGTGAACAATTCCCCGACTGTGCAAGTGCTCGACCCCAAGGACAACCTCTGCGAGGTATTTCTTGACCCAGTCCTCGGGGAGGCCCCCCAGTACCTTGATCAAAGAGGCGCAATCGCCTCCGTTGAGGTACTCCATGACGAGGTACAGATAGTCCTTGCTCGAGAAGGTCCAGTACAGCTTTGCAACGAAGTCGCTTTCGCCTTGCCACATCATGATTGCGCGCTCTGCCTTGACGTTGGTGACCTGGTTCTTGGCAACCATGTCGGCCTTCTTCAAGACCTTTATGGCAAAGTACTCGCCGGTGGATTTCTTCTTTGACAAGTAGACGCTGCCAAATGCGCCTTTGCTTATGGGCTTGATGATTTCGAAGTCCTTGATGGAAGGAGCAACGGCCTTGGCCTGGGGGCCTCCAACAACGGCGCTTAGTCGGGGCGAAGGTGGCGGTTTGACCCACGGCTCCCCAGGAACTGAAGAGACCGCGGCGGATGACTGCCTTCGATGATGGTGGTAGGTGTGCGAGATGCTGGGGGAAGTGAATTCGCTGCTTGGGAGCATTGGGGACGGTTCCGGGGACATCAAGGCGTCGGGAGCGAACGGAAGACTGCGGGGCTTATGAATCCGGAGGGGCGATGACGGCTGCCCGGTCCTTGACGGAGACTCTTGTCTTCGTGGTGACACGGCTCCCGGCAGAATCAAGCTTTTGCGGTGGTGCTGTCTGGAGCTTGCCTGGCGGCGGAGATCGCCAAACTCGGACATTGGCGAATCGGTCCTCTGCGGCACTCTAGATGCCACCGAAGAGGATCTTAGACTGCCGTCGCTGTCCCCAGCATCGCTCTCGAAAACCATCGACTCCCGGCGAGATTGACTCGCGCCAATCTGGCTACTGACAGGTCCACGGTTGGACCGCGGCGTGGGGCACTCCTTGGGGCTAGTTGACTTTGGAGAGTGCAGCGCCAGTGGTAGCCGACGCTTGTCAGGGTCCTCGTTGATATCAGCATTCTGCAACGCCAATGCCAAGCTAGAGGGGGCCTCGAAAGACCCGGAGAAGATGCCTTCTTCAGTTACAGTGGGGATAAGCTCGGCTTCCTCTTCCTCTTCTTCTTGCTCATCGGCCGAGTCACTGAGGCGGCCGGCGGCAATCTTGGCGGCCTTGCGCATGGCAGCATCTATGCAGTCCTGAACCATGTAAGCAAATTCGATCCGAATCCGTTCAGAGTACTCTAGGATCCTGCGGTAGCGAAAAATGGCCTCAACCTTGTCCTTGGCAACCTTCTCGGTGTCAGCGCAGAGAAGGGCGAGTCCTTGTTCTTGCTCCAGGGTATTTGTGCCTGGCGTCTCCCACTGCAGCACCTGCGCGATCCGGCTTTCAGACTGCGGCGACTGCGTGCGAAACTCGCCAGGTGTCTGGGATGTCTCCTTTATGGCAGGGGTGCTAATTTCGATGGCCGTATCGCAGAGATCCAGGAGCAATTCAACGATCCTGGCCTGGGGTCTGCGAACGGCGAAGGAGCGAGCTCGCGCGTGCCCAAATCCCGAGGACCGTTCACGCGACCGGCCAGGAACTGCACCGGGCACAGGAGACGAGTTACCGGGGGACGAGTTGGACGAGGTCGGAGGACCAATGGCAAGACCCTTGTACTCGGCGAGAGGTAGGTTCATCTGGTCTCCTCCTGCCAGCGACCTGCTGTGTCTTGCCTCAAGCGCGTCAAGCACCTTGACGATTGCATGGCGGTGCTCCGTCAGACTTTCCTGGGCCATCTGGACATCCATCTCAGCACGATGCTCCTGCAAGCACAGGTCCGTGTGTTTCTCAAACCACCATGGCGAAATCTGTCGTTCACATATCCTGCAAAGGACAGGTAGCGGCGGTGGGTGTTCGGCAGGGTCATCCAGACCGGACTCCGCAAGTTGAGTGAGATAGCTGGCAAGAACCTGAGCACCGGAGCCCAGAGAGTCGACAATGACGGCAGGCAGGTCGATCTTGATCTCTCGCGGGGCAACCCATTGTCGAATCATCCACATGGTCTAGTGTTCGGCATCAGTACAGCTTCTCGGAGCGCAAACTCAATCAAAGAAACGCACATGGCTTTCCCCGCCTGATGGCCCGCTATAGACCATGATGCCTTGGGCTTCCAGGTCGATAATAACGGGCCGGGCGGGCTCTCCCGGTTCCTGCTGAATCTCGAGGTGCATCAGCTTGGACAACGGGCCCAACTTGACAGCAAAGCGGATGAACTGGCTCCGTCTGTCATCTTGAGCCATACTTTCAACGACATCCGAGAAGATGTTTGGATTGTCGCTGACAATGAGATTGGCGATCGGAGTACCCACGACCGAGTCAGGTTGAGTTCCGATAACGTCGACCCAAGAAGGGCTGACCCAGCGGATAGTCCCGTCGATATTGAGGTCCATGATAACGTTCAAGGTCTGCTCAGCGGCCTCGCGGAGCTCCTCTCTCTCCTCCCGGATGTCCTCGGTGAGCGACCGCTCCATTGTCCCGGCCCTGAGCGAGACCACGGCCGGCGGAGCGAGCAGATCAGGGATGGTAGCGGCTTCTTCCTCCATTTCGATGTGTTGAGTGATCCAGGGATCAATCCTTGCAATACCATTTGTAGTGACGCCAGATGGGTCGGGCCCTCGGTAAGGCTGTTTTCGGCGCTGGGGGCTATGGTACGAATTGACGTCTTGGGGAGGACGAGGACGGGGTGTAGTCTGGAGGTTCGGATGGAACCAGCCAGTGGTTCCGGCCAGGCTGCCAGAAGCTAGAGCACCGCACAAGCCTGAGACATAATGCGGTGCGGTCGACGCGAGTGTCCCGCTGCGATGCCGGTGACGGCAGGTTGTGGTTGTGCAGTGGGAGAGAATCGGTCGCTACACGTGCATCGAAGGGAGAAAAGTAACCTTCGAGCGTTGAAGTCGTTGTCCGTAATCAACAGGTCAAGATACCGCAGACGGGCACCGAGAGAGCTAAAGGTCGCACTCCAAGTGGTGTCGAGGGCGTTGTTGCCGTCCTTCGCGCCGAGTTCGAAGCGAGGCGAGTAGGCAACTGCAAGGCCGCGGCTCGTCGAGATACGACAATTTCGAAAAATGGCTGGCAGTACGGACACAGGAGTGCGTTGCCGCACCAGGGCAACGATATGCCTAGCGGTGGTGGTGTTGTCGTCGACGTCGACTCGGGGTAGGTGTTGTTCCCAAAGCCAACCAAGAAAGTTTAAGTGGGGATTTCTTTGTTAGGCTCCGTGCCCCTCGTGCGGTGGAAGGAGGATGGAAGCGTCACAAGTTGGACGTTTGCCCAAGAAGCCAGGCAGGCAGCCAATGGCTCTGGCAGAAATTGAGAGACTACCAAGTCTTCCCCAGTCTATTGTCGGTTTCTTTCCGTGAGTTCAGACAGCGACACTTGATGGAAATGCACAACGCTCAGAGTCGAAATTGCTACGAACCCAACCGCAGAAGAACGAGCTGCTGTGAATAGAGTGGGTGCGCAAAAGCAAGATCACACTGTGACCCGCTCGCCATCTTCGAACCATGCTCGCGACTCCCGTCCTGGGCTGCCGTTGAAAGCGGAGAATCTTCAAATCATACCAATCAGAATAGCAGATATTTGGTTGTGGGTCAAGTGATGTCTTGGTATTGCTCGGTCTTGCACACGGTGCTCACTAAACCTAGGCAGCGGGTGTTCCGGCACCAAAGGTTGCGCTACCTCGATGCGCGAGTCGACTTAACCTGCGTCGAACAGGCTCGCCAGGCTCCAATTCTGCTGCTCCGGCTGGTTCGCAAGGCCAAGCGGACCTGGAAATCAACAGCTCACTATTCGAGCCTGAGAGACGGGGAAACTTCGGAGCGGACCCAAGCAATCGAGTTCCGGGCTCCATTGATTGGCGGGTTTCTTTTGCCAGGCCAGCTTCGCAGGTCGCATACTCCGTACAGAATACATACTGCGTTCAAACACAACGCAACCGAATTGACCTAAACTGTCGAGAACCCGGAGGTAAAGCAGGAGATTACCCACCTTCAACGCCAAATACAGAATAAACATTACAGTTCTTTTGTCTCCGTCCTTCAACCGTCTTTCTCGTCGTCCATTTCCTGTCCTTGTATACCGAGCCGACTTTAATCTTCAACTGATCGTCGATTTAACATGACGTTCCCGGCTAACATCAACCGATGAGGTGCCCGGAACAACAAACAGGCCTATAGGTGTGTCGAGCCACTCGTGAGCTCATTCTCTTCCTGCATGATTCTGGGTCGCACGAGATACCCTATGGCACAGCCTATTTGCCTTGCAGGACGCCACGGTTCAGACCGCTTCAATTAACTGGCTGGCGTTCAATGTCTAACTTACTCTTACACCGCAACGCATCTCAAGATACTGAGATCCTTGAGCGATGGAAGTGAACCCCTCCATCTCCGCTTTGCCCCACGCTCATCCTTCAACTGACTAGCACCGGTCCGAGCCACACGGTGACCTCACTTCTATCCCGTGATCACATATGACGATGAAGCTCCGACCGTTGCGGACGATGGATGAGATGGATCCGATCCTCGAGGATGGCTTCACAACAAGATGGCTGACGACCGAGTCTCCTTTGGCTTGCACACCCGCACTCACTCTCACCAATGCAAGCTTCTGCACCCCGAATTCTCCTCAGCGTCGTTACTCAATTGGAACATGGGCAGTCAGTGGCCTGGATTGATTTCTCATACAGTGCCGAGAATCTGAGGTGCTCAGAAACCGTGGGCAACGGCTCCCAGCACTTCTCCAAGCTTGGGCTGCAGAAGTACACACACCTTACCTACCTCGGCGATGGACAGAAACGATTGTGGTACGTCCAATCCAACGGCGTGGCCACCGCTCCAATACAGATAGCGTTCCCCGGCTCAGAAGCTGCATGCCCTGGGTTGCATCGTCTGCACGTTCGTCTGCACTGTGTGTGGCTCTGGCCGTGGTGGTCGTGCTACCTACACCGGAAGTTTCTGGTGCGCTCGCGTCCCGGTCCTTGCCCTCCGGACAGCCAACGGTCCCGAGGGTTGGCGTACCTCCTGCAGCCGCTCGCTTGAGGCTATTCGGCTGATACGGACCCCTCGCTTGCCGCCATGTAAACGCAGCTGAGGTGGTGTTGTGGAAGCACGAAACACCTGCAGGCGTGTATCTCGAGAGACTGTTTCCAACGACTTCATCCTGGTTCTCAGCACTTCATTGGAACACCACATGTACCATCGCCGCGTCCGAGATACCACCACATATTGCAACCTGTTCCGATACACCGGCTCGTTAGAGTGCGTGCATCCGGCCTCGCACCGCACGTTATGCCGAGTCTACCTGCTCAGTCCGGTGGTCATACTAGCTCGTCAGCTAATAATCAAGCGATGGGCGGCTTAGCCCCATATGGTCGCTGTTTGTGTGGCTTACACCAGCTCACAGCAACATGAAGCAACCCCAAGCTCAGTCCAATCGCTGCACTTCCTCGACCAAGCATGCGGGGCACTGGATCAATGAGGTCTCGATGGAGGAACAATACCCCAACAGGCAGTCCTGGTCGTCACCGGAGGTTGCTGTGGAGCACCTATGTTACCTCATGACAGACTCCTTGGGACACAAGACACAAGAGCAACCCAAAGGTGCCGGACAATGTTTACAAACAACCCTCCCATCACTCAATTGGATTGCGCACTGCTCATGCCCTGTCCTCGGTCTTCATATGACGACCCGCCGGCTACCGAAACGCCCCCCGCCCGAGTCCTGAACCACGGTGCTGCCTCACATAGCGCTTGCAGTGTTCCCAGGCGGACAGGCCAGGATACGTGCATGCTGCAGTCGGCATGACACAGACTGAACGGCTGCCCGCTGGGTTGTCATTGCAGGGACGATCTGCCACGACGAGCCGTTTCCGATTTGACGGACTGATGCATACACAGATAGATAACTTAGCCTTTCACCGCAACGACATCTGGGACCACACCCACTACGTGATGGATGGCAAACTCGCTCCATACCTGGGCCGTACACATTCTCGGTTGTGTGGACTGCTCGGGGCCAGCCCGTGGTAACTTGGGTGCTGCCGCTCTGCCACTTCTTTGTTGGGAAGAGAACCGAGTCCAAGATGGCTTACAATTTCCACAGTATACATTGAATGCGAAGTGATGCCCTCGCGTTCTTGATTTTCCTACTCATCTGCTTGTTTTCCTGCCTTTGACCCCAATTTCGATTCCTGTCTACTCGAGGACCCAACATCCAAGATGTGAAAAGCGGAATGTTCCCTTGGACACGAAACAGTGGAAAAGAAGCCGGTCCTGATGAGTCACTCGAAAAAAGCGCATAGGGACGCCAGTACATACGTCAGTAAAGGAGAGGCAAATCATCATCATTACGCTACACGAATGCTTTCAATAGCTCAACTCTAAAGCATTGGCAAAATAGGATTAGTTGTCCAAATGTCCCATGGTTTGCAAGTGGGTGGTGGTGTATGCTAGAGGAACCAACGGAGTCGTCTCCGATAGGCTGGCCAGTTACTAATATCGAAACAATGTCGTCCGCCACCTGAACAGCTGACCATGCTGCTCTTGCGCTTCTACATGTCTTGATCGGCCTCCTTGCTCTCGCTCAAAATCTGCTCAAGAAACCCTTCCCCAGTCTTCTTCGTCGAATGAGATGACGTTGATCTCACAAACGTACAAGAAGGCAGGTGACAACAGTTTACCGGGGAGTTATCAACATCTGGACGAACATTAGCAATAACCAGGCAAAAGACCGGACAGGAGCTCGAAGAGTGTCAGCTCCGTGCTCGGTGCTGGGTCCAACTGATGTACCTCGATTGCCTGACCTGTTAAGAGGGGTAGTCGAGGGGATGACTTTTCCATACATTAATTCCAGCTGCACGAGCAGACTGAATAGGGCGGCACCTCCGAACACGATGCCGCTTTAAAGGAGTACGCTGCTCCTTCCAACACAATTTTCGGCGGGGGACCGATGTGGAGTTCGGGCCTGCCGCCTTGGCAAAAGATTTCGGCGTGGCGTTTGAACCCGACTGGTGGAGCCGCCGGGGGAGATGCGTACATCACGATGAGAATAAAACCAGAAAGCCAGGCAGGTCCAGATGAAACGTGACTCACGTGCTGCGGGTCAGTCAAAACCCAAGTTGGGTATTTACAGAAGGCCAGAATAAACCGACTGTCAATGCGATCAAGGCGACGTCAATGCATCTCGTCGGTCCCGAGACGTGGGGGATGTCCAGCATACTGGTATCAGATGATTTGGGGGTGAAGGGAAGGAGATTTGCATTGGCCCACCACTTCAGGGAATGCTTGATGTGTCCGCTGCATTTTCGATATCCTCCTGACAAGGAATATCCGCGTCGGAGCCTCAAAAGGAAATTGAATACTATAAGGTCAACGCAAGACCACGTTCATCTCGGTACCTTGATCTTGACAGGCTGATGTCGAAGGTAGCTCGCCGCACAATTACCCTAAGCGACGAGCCCAAGCGTCTTGTGACAAAGAGCTGAGTTTACGCTGGGAGAGCGAAGCGAAGGGGGGTAGCTAGATAAACCGCGAGCATTTGGTCAATTTGGGATCCTTCAACCACCCGGAGTGAGGGTTGACGGGATGAGTTGGCGTTGCGCTCCGGAAAACGCGGTTCATGCAGGCGGCTGTAATCCATACACTGCACGTGTAAGGCAAGTTGGAGGGGAAATCAATGTCAGTGGTCTGTGCGCCGCTATGGGGTAGCCACCCGTTTCGCAGCTGGAACATCCTGTCGTTTCAAATCAACTTCAATCCGTACCTTACCACAGTACCTTAAGATCAAGCAAAACGGGCGACCAAGTTCGCCCTAAATTCTCTCCTGTCACGTTACTAGGCTCCTTCTATAGGAACAGACACTCCAATTCAGATTCGGCGGTGCTCGACCTCCCATACACACAGAGAGGACCCGTTGTTACATCTACAGCACCGAACTGGGGGCTCAAGTCAGGTAGTCCATGCATGTCAGTCAGACTCCAGCTTTGACATTGCACCCTTCCAGTTGTATTGGAGGTAATTGCGGCCTCTGAAAAGAAAGTGGCCCTCAAATTGCTATTTTCTTCACGAACCCTTCCCCTGTGGACCAACTTGAACCTGACCACAAACTCAATCTACCGAGTATCCAAGCATCTCACCGCAAACTTCAAGTGCAAAAAAACATTCCGCCGCGGGGCACAGCTTATCCATCTTGCGGGTATCTCTAGATATTCGGATTGTTGGAGTTTGGTGTCATCGGTCATAATCTGTGTCCTGATGGCCCCAGCCTTCGATAACTGGAATTCATGAAGATCAGGCCGAGATTCTCAGACGGGGATTTACATGCACCAGTTTCAAATTCTCCACCCTTTTTCGCAACTGCATGCTCGAGCCACACCCCTTCCTACGCCAAGTCTGTCACTCCTGCGACCTCAGCATGAGGTTGACAGCCACCGGCGGGCTACACTGAAGGAGGTTCGAACCGAGCATCACTACTTCTAGGTATGCAGCATGTCTGTGTTGTGGCCACCCTCTTGAAGATCCCAAATCCACATGAAAAGGAGTCCCTTACCTCTCATGTTGGTTGCTTGGCTTGCGTCGTTGCAACCTGCTCCAACTCACGAATTCTGAGACTGCTTTATTGTGTGCATCTACACCCGCAGCAGCCGAGTCTAAGAATAAGGTGTGTCGAGATGACGGCTGACCTGGGATTCAGAGCCGCCACGGCCTACTCCTCCCCACCAAGTTATTATTCGTCGACTTCGCACAGAAAGCCTCCTGGCCCTTCGTTCTTTGACCGGACAGTCATGACTTCGCTGTCACCGAACCAGCCCTTGAGCTTTGGTGGCGGGCTGACTGGCCAGGACAAGACTCCCCTATCAACCTTGAATCTGGATTCCCTGAGAACTTTGAATGATAAGAAGACGACAAGAGGTCCACTGAATGCCTTGATCACCCCAAAAACATGGGTCAAGCTGACGTTTGCCCCAGACGGCCAGCCACAGAAGCGACGCGGGCCCAAGCCAGACAGTAAACCGGCTTTGACCAGGCGACAGGAGCTGAACCGGCAGGCTCAGAGGTGAGCCGCATTTGAATTCGGGACCGCCGCGAGTCCAACTAAATCCCCAACAGAACCCATCGGGAGCGCAAAGAGCTCTACATCAAGGCACTCGAGGACGAGGTGCTCCGGCTAAAGGAGATATTCAGCAACGTCTCGCAAGACAAGGAGCGGCTTGCCGACGAGAACAGGCAGCTCAGAGCCCTACTGGCCCAGAATGGCCTTGGCGTTGGATCCCTTACGGGCGGCAGCAGTGTGCAGGACGACTCGATGAGCAACCCTAGCGTTGGTTACTCGCCCAACGGCAGCATGGCAGGGAGCTATATCCTCGCGTCTACCAACACGAGTGTCTTCACGCCACCGCCGCCGTCGGTAGGCAGCGGAGGCCGCGGCGGCGGTATTTCGCCCAACAGCGCGACCCACACCCACGGTCACCATCACCAGCACTCCGGACAGAGCCAGGTGAACGTCGAACTAGGAACAGGAACTCAGTCGAGGCTGAACATGAACGTGGACTATGAGCAGGCCGGAATTGACTTTGTATTAACGTGAGGATCCCTAGGAGTGGCTGATGGCTTTGCACTACCCTCCAAGCCCAACCTCTCTCTAAGAAACCTCGTCCCTCTCTCCCATGCTGATATCTCCATTCCATCACACTCTCACACCGCTTTTACCCCTGCACGGCTTTTATACTGGCTGGCCTCGATGATATATGTCGGGGAAACTAGGCATCCAAGCTAACTTTTCCCCACTTTCCCCCTACAATCTAGGCTCGAACAGCCCTGCATGAACCATCTCCCCTGGATGCTCGAACGCGGCACTCGCGAGCCCTGCGGACACGCCCTGATGGCTTCGTGCCCTCCGGAGCCCTTTTCCGAGCTCACGCCGGACATCCCGTTTGGGCGAGACAGCCATCACGGCCTCCTCCACCAGCAGCATCGCCACCCTACTACGAATATCACCGAAATCACCGCCAGCAACGCCAACAACAGCAGTAACGGACAAGAAGGCGGCGGCAACATGATTGGACAGGGGGAGCGTGCTCACCATGGAACAGGCGGCGGAAGCACGTGGCAGCTGAGCAAGTCGGATCTGACGACGCTGCTGGACCTGAGCAAAAGGCTGAACCTGGACGGGGAGATTACGCCTGTCATGGCGTGGGGGATGGTGCTCGCGCATCCGCGGCTTGGGGAGCTGAGGGGGGAGGACTTTGTGCGGTTGGCGGAGGAGTTGGGGGGGAAGGTGCGCTGTTATGGGTGAGTCTTTTACTTTTTCACCCTCTCTTTGCTCTTTGTCAAGGGGCGGAGATATGGGCTATGCAATTGCTGACATAGTGTAAACCAGGTTCGGAGCGGTGATGGAGGAGTTTGAAGTGCGGGATGCGCTGGAGAACGTCTTTTCTATGAAGGGGGATTATGGGATGGGGTATTGATCGGCATTATGTTTCTTTCTGTACTCGTTGGGTAGAGCCGTGGCCTTTCTGCTCTGTTGTATCAAGGTCATGAGGTGTATGGTAGTAGTGTGGTTCAATCGCCGACTTGGGACTCTGATAAATGCTGTTGCAAGCAACGTTTTTACAAAGATTAAGTTATCCATGTTGCTCCGTTGTGATGTAGCACAAGTTGTCCTGGATTGCTGTGGCCGTGGCATGACAGTAGATGAAAGCGGCTATCCACACAGTGCTCCAAGAGTGACTGCAGCCCCACACCACAACCCCACCACAACACGGAAGAGAATTTGGAGGTGCAAAATGAATAGGCGATTTGAGCCTTATCCTCCTACGACGCCACACGCCAGAGCCTCGGACTATAGCGCTTGTTTATCTTTCCAGCCGATTTAATTAGACGCTGAATCAACTCGAGTAACCATGGCGGAACCAGCGGCGGGCGTGTCGTCGCTTGTCGACCTGATCAATTCGCTGCCCGAACCTGATGGCACATGGGGCCCTCCCGTCACCACCGAAACCACACTCAATGGCGTCCCCTATGCCCCGTTTTCCAAGAGTGACAAGCTGGGCCGCATGGCCGACTGGACCGAGAATAAGGACGGCGGCCGCGATGGCCGTGGCAGGCAACAGTACAATAGGAGCTACCGTGGTACGTCGCTACTTTCGCTTCGGGTTGCAGTGATCCCGTAGAACATGTTCTAACGTTTTCTGTTCTAGACCAGCAAGTGTACGGCGCCGGCTCCGCGTCTCTCTTTGCCGCTCCCGTTGCCGAGGACGAGGCCTCTTTCTCTGTTGTCTCCAACGTCCGCGACACGACCAAGACCCGCTTTGGTCGGGGTGCTGTCTTCACCCGCGGGCGTGGCCAGCGAGGACGCGGACAGGACAGCAGGGCCGGTGGTCGCCAACAGTTCCAGCGTCAAGGACGTGGTGGAGCGCAGTATGGCGGCTATGATAGCCGTGGTGGTGCGCGGGGCGGCGGTGCTCGCGGCCGCCGCTTCGGCTGGAAGGACTACGACAAGCCGCAGCGCAACCGTGATGCCTCAATCAACATCCGTCCCGACTGGAAGCTTCTCGAGGAGATTGACTTCAATCGCCTCAGCAAGCTCAACCTGGAGACTGACGAGGGCGAGGACATTGACAGCTACGGCTTCTTGTACTACTACGACCGGTCCTACGACAAGCCGCCCGTCAAGAACGCCGAGCGCAAGCTGGCCGTGGTGGACCGAGCAGTGTACAATGTCACGACGTCGTCGGATCCCATCATCCAGGAGCTCGCCGAGAAGGACGAGGCCAGCATTTTCGCCACAGATAGCATCCTGTCGATGCTCATGTGCGCTCCGCGGTCCGTCTACCCGTGGGACATTGTCATTGTCCGCCAAGGCAACAAGGTTTTCCTCGACAAGCGGGACAACGCGGCGCTCGACATGGTCACGGTCAACGAGAACGCGCACGATGCGCCGCTCGAGGCTTCCGAGGGCTCTAAGGAGATCATCAACCAGCCTCCCGCGCTTGCCGAGGAGGCTACCTACATCAACCACAATTTTGCCAATCAGGTTGTGATCGAGAGCCAAAAGGTCGATATGCCCCACGAGAACCCCTTTTACAGCGCGTCCGATGAGACGGAGCCACCCGCGTCCAAGGCATACAAGTACCGGCGGTTTGACCTGTCTACCAGCGAGGAGGACCCGACATACTTGGTGGTGCGCACCGAGCTGGACGCGGTGCAAAAGAACCCCAATAATGGCGAGGACCAATTTGTCACGATCCACGCACTGAACGAGTTTGACAACAAGGCGCAAGGCAGCGGTGGCGCGTTGGACTGGCGCACCAAGCTGGTGTCGCAGCGCGGTGCCGTCGTGGCCACCGAGATGAAGAACAATAGCTGCAAGCTGGCGCGGTGGACGGTGCAGAGCATTTTGGCCAAGGCCGATGTCATGAAGCTGGGGTGCGTCCCTCTCTACGCCCTTGTAACTTGGTAACCTCTACTGACTTGGACAATTTTAGCTTCGTCTCCCGCGCATCGCCCAAGGTCAACGACAAGCACGTCGTGCTCGGCGTCATCGGCTGGAAGCCCAAGGACTTTGCCAACCAGATGAATCTGCAGCTGTCTAATGGGTGGGGTATCGTGCGCACCATCGCCGACATGTGCCTGCAGCGCGACGAGGGCAAGTACGTGCTCGTCAAGGATCCCAATAAGAGCATCCTGCGGCTGTACGAGGTGCCGGTTGGTGGGCTGGATGAGGATGATGAGGGGCCGGAGCCTGAGGCGGAGGCTGAGGCTGAGGAGGAGTAAACGACAAAGGGATACTGAGTCCCACCTAAGGGTGGTCAGAAGAAGGGGGGGTAAAAGTGAAATAGACTGGTATTCCAGATGGCTCTTTATGTCGACCAAGTTCCAGCCAATATCCGGGATAATTCGAAGCTCGGCGCCTGCCATCACTCAATTTCATCCTGTCTTTGTGTGCTTTGTGAACACTTAAGGGATTGTGCGGAGGTGCCCCTTTTTTGCTGCTCAGAGAGTTTTAATAGAACCACACGTGACAGCGCGACTCCAGTAGCGTTTTCAACCACCCCGCCCTTTTTCGCAGATCGCGTTTGTCCAGCTTCCAACGCCACCATCTTCACTATTCCGTACAGCCCTCATGACTTGCGTAGCGACTCTGTTAAGGTCATTGGAATACCACACCCAAGACAATGGCATCGGCCGCGAGATTAAAATCGACGTCAAATACGAAATCGAAACAAAAGTTGTCCCAATCTCGACTACAATTAAACACACCACAGAAGACAACCTCCCGAAACTCTGTCCCCTCGACTCCGTCTGCCACCGCGACCAAGTCCAAAACCAGTAACTCGAAATCGAAGCCGAATCAGAGCATATTGAGCTTCTTCAAGAAGATTTCTGGTGATGAGGATGGATTGTTCATCGGTGGCGAGGTGATTGGTGGTGTTGCGGGGTGTGGTGGAGAGGAAGAGGAGGCTCAAAGGTCAGGGGAGGAGGTACAAGGGGAAGATATTTATGAGGCGACGCCTCCTGATGGCGAGAAAGACAGCGAGAGGGATGGGGATGATCGTCAGTCAGAGGGAAGGTATAATGAGGCCGGAGGGCCTGTCAAGAGGCGGAGACTGAGTCCTGGTGGTTGCGATTCAGAGGTAGGGGAAGGGTTGAGGTCTGAGTCAGAAGGGGCAGTCGGGACAGGGAAGTCGCGCAATGGATCGGTTCTGGAGGGCAACCAGAATAGGATGTTCCGTACACCGGCCGCGGTGACGAAAAGGAAGGCGGCCAATCCGTTCCTGGACGATTCCTCGTCCGACCGGGAGGACCACGACGACAACAAGGAAAACGAGCCAAAGCCGGCCACATCAAGGGTGAGATCGCCGCCGCCTACGCTTGATGATTGTGACGAGAGAGACTCAGGTCCTGGACCGGCAAAGCTTACCAATGGAGGACCATTATCCAGGGATGTACCGCTTCTGAGGCAGCAGACCTCGGGAACGGAGCTCGGAGGTGACGTCGCCGACATTGACGACGCAGTCGAAGACGACGACTTTACCGGCGAGGAGCTGGAAGCAATGCGATACATGGAAGAGCAGGCGAGGTTAGAGGCTGAGGAGGAGGGCGGGGAATACGAAGCGAGTGGCGAAGTCGACGACGAGTCCATGGTGGAGAGTTGTCCTGTCTGCAACGGCAGTCTTGGTGGAGCGACGCCAGACCAGGCGGCAGCTCACGTCAATTCCTGTTTGGACGGCAACCCGACGCCGTTGCCGAACCCGCCTGACGCTGTCATCGAGGCTGAGGCTGCAGCCGTGGGCAAACGGTTTGCGAAAGCTGCAGTGGCCCGGCCAGGGCAGGCGAACCCCATCAGTCTAGGGGACGACGCGGGAGAGGGGACGTCGAACTCGGCGTTCACAAAGCTCATGTCCGGCCATGCCGAGGATGCCGCTTGGGCTTCGGCTGCCGCGGCGGAGACGGCGTCGAGAGGTATGCCTGCCTACAAGCGGACCTGTCCGTTCTACAAGTTCATGCCTGGATTTTTCATCTGCGTCGACGCCTTTCGATATGGCGCCGTCGAGGGTTGTAAGGCATATTTCCTGAGCCACTTCCACAGCGATCACTACATGGGCCTGACAGCGAACTGGACCCATGGGCCCATCTATTGCAGCAAAGTTACCGGGTCACTGGTCAAGTCGCAACTGAAGACGGCAGCTAAGTACGTCGTCGAGCTGGAATTCGAAGAGACTGTGCCGGTGCCTGAAACCAACGGGGTCACCGTCACCATGATCCCGGCGAATCACTGCCCGGGCAGTTCTCTGTTCCTGTTCGAAAAGACGACCCCCGGGAGGACACAGCGGATCCTGCACTGCGGCGACTTCCGCGCCTGTCCTGCCCATGTCGAACATCCGAAGCTGCGCCCGGAGACAGTCGACGCCATCACGGGGCAGACGAAGCAGCAAAAGATAGACGTCTGCTATCTCGACACAACCTACCTGAACCCGCGCTACTCCTTTCCGCCACAACACGAAGTGATCACCGCCTGTGCAGAGCTTTGCGCGCTCCTCAACAAATCCCTCCTTGCCAACGACGACCGCGAGTGGGAGTCTCTGCTGCGCCGTCAACGTCGAGGCGCCAACTCCAGCACTCAAGACGTCAGCAAGTTCTTTACCGCGGCTTCCCCTTCTTCCACCAAACCCTCCACTCCACCCATCCCCAACGCTTTCACAGCCCTCACCAGCCGCCAACAGCAATACCACCCCAACCGCCTCCTCGTGGTCTGCGGCACTTACAGCATCGGCAAAGAACGTATCTGCATCGCCATCGCCAAGGCGCTGCGCACCAAGATCTACGCCACGCCGGCCAAGATTCGCATGTGCAAGCAGCTGGACGACGCAGAGCTCGCGTCCCTGCTGACGTCGGACCCAGCCGAGGCCCAGGTTCACATGCAAATGATCATGGAGATCCGCGCCGAGACGCTGGCCGACTATCTCGAGGGGTACAAGGCGCGAGGCGAGTTTGGAAGGGTGGTGGGGTTTAGACCGTCGGGGTGGAATTATCGCCCCTCCGCAGCTTCTTCTGGTGGGGCGAAGAGCGGCAGCGGTGGAGGATTGGGGATAGGTTCGGTAGGCGCCAACCTCCCGCCCAGCTCGCTGCCTACCGCGCAGTTGCTGCACGGACTCGGGTGGAAAACCAAGTTCGCGGCGGGGGACCTAGTCCCGCAGCGGGGGAGCTCGAGCGAGGCCATGTGCTTTGGCGTGCCGTATAGCGAGCACAGCAGCTTCAGAGAGCTGGCGCTGTTTGTGATGGCGTTGCGGATCGAGAGGGTCGTGCCGACTGTCAATGTGGGGAGCGAGGCGAGTCGGAGGAGGATGAAGGGGTGGATCGAGCGGTGGGTTGGGGAGAGACGTAGAGGGGGGTTGGTGAGGGTTTTTGATGAGAAGGAGGGAGAGGAGCATAGGGGTGAGGGACGACGGGGGAAGGGGGAGCTGTGGGATGGGAAGGATGGCAGGGGAGGAGGGGTCTATTGGTAGATGGTGGTTAGTTTAGCGTGATAGGGAACGGTTGTCGATATACGGATCCGTACTGCCACAGCTGGCTTGTGATAACTTATGGAAAATGCTCGACACAATCATGACCAGGAGAAACCCAAAGATACCGTTGCATGATCTGCAAACTTGATCTCAAAAGGCAGAACAAGTTACATTTTCGTAACACAAATGCCTTTTCGAGATTCTCACCTGAGGGGAAGGAAGCAAAAACAACATACCATGTTTCCCAAGTTGTTCCACTCATCGCATGGGAACTGTGAGGCTCGAACTCACGACCTCAGGATATCCCGATCTATGACCGGATCATAGCTTAGTATGAGACCTGCGCTCTTCCAACTGAGCCAAGCTCCCGGTGGAGTTGGGTGTGTTTGGTTTGCTTCTTTGGCGGCGGCGGTTGTGAGAAGGTCCCATATGCTCTGTGGAGGGGGGTTGAGGGAATCTATGGCCGGGAAAGGGCGGAGTGAGGGGGTGCATATGAACACATGAAGAGGGTATGGTAATGTGGTGGCTGAGATGGAATCTCGTTTTTGTGGAGTTCTAGATAGTTATATGGATGGAACTGTGGACTTGATGGAGCCTTGTTGAGCTCCTTGTGGACGCCCGCATTTACGGTAGGCTATTGGTCGAGAGCCTTCAAGAACCCGAGGCTGGCGGGATAGACGATGCAGCGGGGCAACTCAGACATGAGGGTCCCAAATAAATCGCATCCCCTGGGGATTTAGTGACATGTGTGCATAGACCAGCACGGCAACGGTCAGGTTCTCCTTGCGGGGAATTGACAGCTTATCATGCCTCGAATCTCAAGGCTGTCAAGTCCAGGCACTCAGTATCTCTGTTCGCACCGATGGCCATCACCCAGCCCAAGCCCAACCGGATGGCCGGCCCATCAGTCGCGTTGCAACACCGAAGCGCTCTGTTCAGGATGCCCGAGCACGCCTACTCCTCATAATTCCCTCCAGCCATAACCCAGGCTCGTCACGCCTGGACCCTCTCATTTACTCTTCCCCGCTTGATTCGCAGCTTCTGCTCTAGAGTTAGTCCACCAGACAACGGCATCTCAGCGGGCAGAAATAACGTACCTCTCCTCGTAGCGTCCTCCAACAACGGCACATCGACGGCACTGGCCGGCAGATGCACATACCTCACGACCGAGCCGCGGATAAACACATTTTTGACGGCGCTCTGTCAGGCAGACGTCCGTTAGCAATATCCATCTCTAATGCATGTGTTCACCGAGCCTGCCCTTCATGATAAAGGCTCACATGGCAAGAAACAGAGTGAAAGAGGGGTGTCGCGACGCGGAGTAGAAGCTTACCATATGCGGGTACTTAAGCTCCTCGAGCACCTGGATGTTGTCGAGCTTGATGTTGAGGTACTGATCGACACTTTTGAGGACGCCGCGAATCTGGATGTCGTTCTTGAGCTCGACCGTGACCTCGTGGTCGATGAGGGTCTTGAAGAAGCTGAGTGGTGGCTGTCAGCATCCGGCGTTGGCTGACTGTTTGGGATAATCAGCTGGGAGGAGGTAGATTGAGAGGGAGCTCGAGGAACAGAAAGGCTTTATAAAATTGGCCGGTGTGAGCTAGATAGATCGGGAAGAGCAGGGAGCATTTGTGTCTCATCCCCTCCAGGCACAAGGCAAAGGCTGTATGGCTCTCACTTGAGGTGCGAGCAGGAGATGAGAATGAGAGCGGATGAGCCTCGAGGACGGCGGCATTGCCCAGGATAGTGCGTATGTCATCATGATAGGCCTGGGTAGTGACATGAAAAAAGCTTTGGATGAGAAGCTCTCTGCACTGCTCGTCGCCTGCTCACGAAATTGATGGGTGAATGCCATGGCTCCGAACTCGACCGAGGTCGCAGAGGAGACGATTTGGGCGAAGTTCAACTGAGATAAGAAGAGCTGACAAAAGGCACCAAAATCAGAAAGAGAACATACCTGAAGAACAACATTTTTGACCGTTAGTGCTGTTGTCAGCAAAATGAGCGACAAGACGGGCACTGCACTGTTGATGTTCAGCTCAGCGGGTGCAGCTGCCGAGCTTCGCAGCCAGTGCCATGGGACCAGATCCGGTTCTTGGCGGTGAACTCGACCCACTTCCTCTTGGCACTCCCGGCACTGCGGTGGCACCGCCCTGGATTTTTGGAAAAGCAACAACCTGGAGCTAACCATGTCGCTGCTTCTGGATGGGTTCACTCCAAAGCTTGGCTTGTAAGTACAGCTATCTAGCCACCAATGGAGTGCTCATCACCGCGAACTTTTTCCGAATGGTTACTCGCCCCGTTCCGTCCCTAGACTCACACACTACCATCATCAAATCGGCTGGCAACCTCTCCCGCCCGCACGTCATCTGGCGGCCCGCTCGCGGTAGCCAGGGGCATGGGGAGTTAATTGTCAGGACTTGACCCAACCTGCCACAGAACCCGGGTGAATCCTCATGTATTGTTATTGCTCGAACTTGTTATTGTGTCCTCTTTTCTCTTACGGTATCTCCTCCCCCATTTTCTTCCCATCGCGAGTCGCCATTCTGTCAAGGTTGGTATCCAGACCCAATCCTCTAAAACTCTCACAGCGAACCGTAAAACCAAGGTAGGTATCCTCGCCAAAACGGAGAAAGAGATTGGAGAAAAGTATAGTAAAATAACCTAAGAAGAGAAAACAGAATGTAAATCCGTCCATCTACTAAAGGGGGGCTAATAAGTGGTGGGGAAGGGGTATCCGTCGTAACCCATCAATCCATCCATGATGCATACATTCTTCCCTTTCCAGAACACATTGCGAAAAGAGAGGAGATCTCTCCCAACCGTCGGCCATCCGTCCTAGGAAAACAACCCCCCGCCAACCCTCCATTGGATATAGCCGACCTGCCTGCCAAACTGGGAATCGCTAAAATGCTATGCTCTTTGTTCGTTGATATGCTGTGAGGCCAAGTGTATCGTGGTATTCGAGACGGAAATACGCGCTTTGCCCAACCAGAACAGAAAAGCCAAAAACAACCGTCTCTTCCCGCTAAGAAACGAGCGAGCGTTTCCCCCGAAGGCTGCTGTGTTGATGCACAGGAAACAAAAAACCAGCATATTGTTGCCCAGTCTGCTAAGGAAACAGGAGAAAGCAACAGCTAAACAATCAATCAACACACACCATCTCGCAAGCACTCCAAGGATACTTGCCGGAGTTTGTCCCGTACTTCCGCGCAAGCGATCCCGGTTTAGATAGATAAGAGTGGGGTGGGCTGTCGTAACTTCGTGACATGTCTCAGAACATACGAAAACGGGGGGTATATCGCTCCGACTACGTCTCTCCCTTTCGACTTCTGCCCACTTATCACAACCCATCAGTCGTCCTCGTCCTCCTCATCCTCGGGCGTCGACGCTGCTCGCTTGGACTTCTTGGACGCCGTGTTCGACGCGCTATTGCCTTCAGACTTGCGCTTCGTCGCTCCCGTCGCTGTCTTGGTATTCGCGATTTGATCCGACCCTTCGGACTTGTCTCCGGATCCGCCGCCTCCCTTCTCCCTCTCCATCTGCGCAACCTCCTCAGCCGTCAGGAAGCGACCACCGGGCCCGCGTGGCCGGCGCATAGCGTGGTTATGCCTCGACTCATGGAGGTAGGGCTTGCGACCTTTGCTAGTCAGTCGAAGGGCCTCCTCCAGCCTCTGCCGGGCAACCCTGCGCTTGAGAATCCGGTGGAACTGCTTCGCGTTCACATACAGCGGCGACTCCTCCACGGTTCCGGACGGCATCTCGGGCGACTGTGGCGGCGGCATCTGCTGCGCAGCTGTCATCGGGGGCGGCACTGCAGAGCGCGGCCCACCATGGTTCAGCATTGTCGGTCCGTTCGGGACGCCAGGGCTCGCCACCTGGCTGAGCCGCCGCTGCTGAGGCATGTTGGTCATTTGCTGCGGCGACCGCGGCCCGGCCCGGGCGTCCTTCTTAGGGCCGACCCCCGACAACCTCGGCGACTGCTGCATGCTTGGATCCGATGCCATGTATGGATACGAAGACCCAGACGCGGCTGCAGTGGCAGCCATGGCCGCAGCTTGAATCCCCGGCATACCATAGTGAATGCCCTGTTGAGGTACCGCATACTGCGCCTGATACATGTTGTGGGGCTGTGTCGGCGACGGCTGATGTTGCTGTGACGGGAGGATCGGTGATGTCTGGGAAAGGTGCTGAGTTGACGGTGATGTGATGCTATTGCCTCCTGCAGATGTCGGATACCCTGTCTGAATGTGTGGTTGTGAGTGTGCGCTTTGGGGTTGCTGCTGGTATTGGGCGTATTCCATCATCGTCGGAGTGGTCCCGACAAACTGCCGAGCCAGAACTGATAGACAATCGCGCTACTGCGGACGTGTGAAGGGGTAAAAGATCCAATAACGCGGAGGCAGACTGCAGTAGATCTAGATAAGATCTTGATGATGATGAAGATGCCGAGATACCAGTCGGGTTGGACCCAGGTACTCAAGCAAGGCTGTTAAGGCTTCTTCGAAGCTTCCCAGTCTTTGAGAGGTCAAGGGACAGCCGACAACCTCAAGTCACTTTGTACCAGTGGGTTGGGCTGGAGGTGCACACTCAATCTAATCGAGCAATGCGTTGGCACTCGATGGGATGCTAACGGAGCTGCGCAATTGGTCGCACCGCACCATATGCAGGCTGATGTCGTTGCAAGGCGAAACTTGGGTGGCTCAGTCCCAAGCCTGACAGAAGATGGCGTGGACAAGAGCAGCCACGTGAGTGTGGATGGGGTTTTTCGGAGACAGCTTGGCTGTTTGTGAACAGACAAGTCTGGAAATTCGCCGAGGTCGGAAACCGAAGCAAATGCCCACAAGCGGTCGCGCAGGTGCACTGTCTGCTGACGAGACAAAGTCCAGCAGTGTTGCCACAATGTGCTTTCCTAATTCTAACGACCCATGCGTTAATTCATCGGTTATCGGGCATATGAGTGAGGAAAGTTGAGGTGCTTCTATGTGGCGGGGAGGATTTTCGTTTGCCGCCTTGGGCCAGGGCAAGTTTGATGCGCTGGCATGCATGACGGGATATGCATGAAGCAGGCCCACCATGACAGCCAGCTCATCACCACAAACCCAGCCGGGACAGCAACACCAACAAACCGAGATGTGAGGCAGCCCGGCATTTGGGCTGCCGCTGCGTTGATTTTGACTGTGCACCCTCCACTCCGTAAAAGCGAGCTGCACCGGAGTCCATGTGTCCCAAAAGGCCGGCAAGCAAGACAGAAGCGCCAGGTTCGGTGCAGAACTACGCTCAGCATGCAGTTCTTGCCGCTGTCTTTAACCTGCAGCTCGAAACGCTGTGCGGGCCAAGAAGAGAATGGGAAAGGTGCAGCATGTGGCACCAGAGCGCTTGAGAAGGTGGGGAAGTCCAAGAATACCCGATGATGTGGGGGAGTTCTGTGTATGTAGGGAACTAGGAACTTGGAGTTGTCGAATATGGTGTTTTCGGGTTGGGGTGAGACATGTGAGATGGTAGTGTGAAATGAAGAAAAGAAATAGCACAGGTACGCACCGTCAGGTTCTGCCGCCGTTGTTTGGATCTATCTCGGCCGGATAGAGGACCTTCGACGTTCAGGCTGGTTGTCGGTCAGCAACGCCCACAAATGATGCGAGAAGTTAAAGCGGCAAAAAAAAACTCCGGGCGATTCAAGTATTGCTGGGTACAGAAAGGATAAAAGAGCTTGACAAGCGCGCCAAGGGATTGGTTGAGCGATAGCATGAAGTAGCAGGAAAGACCAGATGCGTCGCCGCCAAGGCGAGAGCATGGCGAGGGTTCCAGAAGCCCAGAAACTTGAAATAGCAGGAAGGTCAGAAGGGGTACTTACACCACCGTCGATGAGCCGCTGTCGTGCACTGAGCAGGGCGTCAATCTCGTTTGAGGTTATGCCAGTACCGGCGGCTGCACTCAAAGTTGAAACCGCAGCAGATCTGAAAGACCCAGGCCGTTGATTGAACGACGGTGTTATCGTGTTAATTGCGCTCCGCAGGCGGGAATTATCACGGGACCGGGACAGGGCCAATGGTGAGACTGAAACAAAGGCTGAGGCCAGTGATAGGTGTCCAGGCTGGTGGTTTATTCCCTGTAACTGATGTCGCTTGCGACAGGTGCTGATTTGTCGTGCTAGTTGTCGAGGTCTTGGGAACCTCTTGCGCTCGGCCGTTGACTGGCCAGAAATGAAGCTACAAGCTATTTCGGAACTTGAGTCGCTCAAGAGCGGGCTACCAAGGAGATCTTCCGACCGCAAAATCGAATCGAGACGTGCCTGTGACAACGTGTGAGTTGGCTTTGTCTCTTTATGTCCAAAAGTCCGAGCTAGATAGATATCCCTGCGATTGTCCGCCTTGCCAGTGCTGGCAAGCAACCCAGCAAGGCGGAGGGGAGGCTGGATTGCGCATTGCATCATCTGACGAAGAGAAAAGAAAACCCGGCCAGCTCTGCGACGCGGACCCAATGTTCGGGCTGAGAACTCAAAGCCTGGGTTCGGGTGCGGCGGCGGGTGCGGCGGCGGAACACGAACAAGTAGTGCAAAAATGGAAAGGGAGCACGAACGTCACCTGTCTGAGCTTTGCTGGCTGGCGAATGCGCCAAGGATGAGTGGCAGCTTCGTGAAATCCCGACTTCACCTGACCTGGTGTCGCTGGTCCGGGCTTTACGGCTTCGCTGCGAAGGCGGCAAGCCTGGCGCTTCGGCGCGGATGGGGTGACTAAGCGAGGCGTCGAGCGACTCCCGATCTCACGAAATGACGTGCCGCTGAGCGCGAGACTGTTTCGCTGTTCTGGCAGCCCTTATTGGACTCTGCAAAACTGTCCGTTGATTTGATGAAATTTTTGGGTCTGTTTGGACGGCTGCGCTGCGGTACTCGCAGCTTGTTGGTGGAGAGGGCGATTGGCCGGGGGTGGATGATTGGTTGTGCGAGGGAAAGAGGAGAGACGAGGGAAGAGGGCCGAGCGATGATTTGAGGGCGCAGCCCGCCTGCTTTAACAGCAGGATTTGGTTGGATGACGGGAATCAGCTAGCGAAGTGGAGCGCCCACAGGAATTTTGCAGCTGGCTTCCAAGGTGGCTGGCGGGGTTGAAGGTCCCGGTCGACAGGGAGGGGTCGGTGCAGCCTTCAGAAAAAGCGGCCCGAGAGGAACCCTGGACAAGTGATTGGAACATTTTGCCAAGATGAAATCACCAACGACGCGTTGGCTTCGCCGGCTGCGCGTCTGATGCCCAAGGACCGCTGTGATGCGGTTTTATTCAATACAGCCGAAGTTCGGCACTGCAGCAAACAACGGGCATCGATACCTACCTATTTGAACCTACAGTCAGCCGCCGCGATGGCAGATCCATGGCCACAGTTTTACACCCAAGCTTTGTCTTTGCTTCTACCGTCGATAATGGCGTGACACACGCGCTCATCGGCGCTGCCAAGACACCTCAGTCAGAGCTTGGAGGAGCTTGAGGACTTCTGTGGACTTCGAACGGCGTACACTGCAGTTCAATCAGACTCGGGGGTCCTGATGACACTTTGAACAGCAGGGTTGTCAACACATAGAGGTGTAACGCGGGTTCGCTGCCGTCCCTCCAGTCGGAGATCGGGGCGCGACCCTTCTCGAGCCTCTCTGCCTGTAATCGGCACGATGCCTTCTTCACCGGTGATCGGCAAATGAATCCCGTCACTCCCACCGCTGCTGACAACTCACCAGACTCCTGCTGTGCTCTTCAGGCCGCTACCAAATATAGGCCAAGCAACGACATTATCAGGTTCGAGTCAAGCTGCTCTTATTCTGGGACAGACAGCCGTCTTCACTGACGCCGATAAACGCCTGGACCCGTGACCAGAAAGTCAGCCCTATGGACTGGCCCAGAACGGCAACCCCGTTTCGCCCCGACCCCCCCGTGATCCACGAATTCGACAAGAGGCGCAGTCCGGAAATGGATGAGGTCGATTCGCAAAGGGCGCAACATCAATCAGACTGGGCCAAACTTGAGATTATGGATTGCCATGCACTGGATCTGGCGTGAAGGTGTGGGTGGTTTTGGTCGGAGCCGGATGCCGGACCAGGGACCGGGCGTGGAGAGAGCAGTGCCAGCACATCAGGCTCCAGCCAAAAAGTCGGTGTGGGCCCCGCATCCTGACCAACCATCCGTCTCACCCACCCACATACCATCAATGGCAAGGTTCCAATGAGCCGGCAGGCGGTCAGTTGTGACAGCGTAACACTTGTTGTTCATCAGGCTTTCTAGAACGACAAGCGAATGCCGTCTAGCAGAACGGGACAAGCTCAAGATAAGCTAGTAACTACCTCTCTTGGTTTACCTCCTACAAGAGTTACACAAATAGAGGTGAGAATAGACAAGACAGCCGCAGTTCAGGGCAAGATGTGTGCCATCGGCCAAGAGAGCCGACCGCGAGCGTAACCGAGGCTGGACGCAGAATGACGAAGGATTATCGTGCTGAACTGAGTTGAAACTCTTATTAATCTGTCAATGCCTGATGTGGACCCAGAGCATTAATCACAAACATGAAGGGCCGTAACTCAGGGATAGCGTTTTGTGCATGAGCCCCAATCCCGATCAGGTGACGAAGCCACCTCAATTGTATACGCCATTCGAGCAGAGCCACAGGGCCAGTTGTCAGACCTGTCCAACAAACTTTCTGTCTCTCCAACCTGCTGCTTAGAGTTCATAGCTCATATTTATATTCTCGTGGGTTTGGACAGACTTGTGCCCACCTTGAAATCTCATGTTGGCTCAAAGGTATGGCTAAGAAGGACGATAAATGAGTCTGAGTAACTCAAGCCAATTCTTGTCCTCTTAACCACGGTTCGAATTCAAACGGCTCTGTGACATTCCTCAATACCACAGCAGCTCCGCTGCTGGCCGCTCAAAAGGAACAAAGCATGAACATCCCGGATGGGTGGGTTCATGAAACTGCCTAACAAGCTTCTGAGCGACCGAGAACAGTGATGTGGAAGACTTCCCCACATCAGATATCTAACTACTGCGTAGGTATGAGAGTAAGGTAATCTTTTGATTCCAAATCATGTCAAACCCCAACAGTGAGGGAGCTCCATCCCTCGCCCAATCCCGTACTAAAGTGATAGCATTAGTTGCAGCTGTGATCACTCAGTGATAGACTGACAGTCCGTTTTCAGGACTTTGAGCAAGGTGAGAAGTCGCCCAGTCTGAGCATTTCCACGTCTGCGCATATACCCTAACCCTTGTCACTTGTATCCAGATCCAAAGTTTCTTGCTGCAACGCTCGAGAACCACCACATGTATTTTGTCAT